GAGATTACGCATGTTCTCAGCTACTTCCACACCAATGAAGCCGGCTCCAATTATGCAAGCGTGCTTCACATCGCGGTCCGACATTAAGGCACGGACTTTTTGAAGATCGGAGATCGTCTGCATCGTGACGACATGGTCCAGTTCTGCCCCATCAGCCGGAGGCCGAAATGCTTCGGCACCTTGAGCCAGAATGAGTTTGTCGTAGTCAACTTGGCGAATGTCATCCGTTCCCACGGTCCGCACATTGACCAGGTGATTTTCACGATCAATGCCGACGACTTCCGTGTGAAGATGAACATCGATGTTAAAGCGCTCCTTGAAGTCGTTGGGTGTACGCAGGATCAGCGCATCATCATTCTTGATGACGTTCCCTAGAGCGTAGGGTATGCCGCAGTTGGCGAAGCCGGTGTAACCTCCCTGTTCGAATACAGTGATGGCAGCCGACTCATCGAGACGTCGAAGGCGGGTGGCCGCGGACATGCCACCCGCGACGCCGCCAACAATAATGATTTTCTTAGTCATGTTCGAATGTTGTGTTCTTAATGATGAGTGGTAATTCACAAGAAGTAAAATTGTTGAAAATGATATGGCTACGCGACTCTTGCGGATACAAGAAACTATTTAAATACAACTTGCAAGACTTAAACTGTAACCTTTTCGATCATATCATATAACTTAATCAAATTCCAGCTAGCAAAATGTTGTGACGGAGAGTACGCCGAATGGGGTGATGTGGTTGTAAGCTGCGCCGCTAGTGTTTATTAAGCATGGGGTGACTATGTGAGCAAGCAGTCCGCGGTGCCACTGGTCCCCGAGTCGCCGACCAACGCCGCAGTCCCCGAAATCACGGGTTGATGTATCCTGTTTGAGACAGTATTTGAGATTCATACAGCCCTGCAAATAAGTACGGAGGACCATTTCAAAAGTCTTTGCCCGCGCTACGGACGCCACACCCCTTAATCCTTGTTAAGTACCTGACGGTACATTAGACATTATGTAACTGCAGGTAATCATCCGCTAAACGCACTACAGCTTTAGTGGTGTTAGAGCCATGTCATGCACAGCCAGTGGACTAAGTGCGCCATAATATAGGGCTTCTTATGGCGCTAACACTCGTACAATGTACTCAATGTTCTTCTAACAAGAAAAAGCAATATGTGGCTTGTACGCGAGCAAAGACTTTTGAAATGGTCCTCCGTATGCGGGATAGAAGATGGGGACAGAATCGCCGATGGGTTCCAACGACCTCACCCGATGACTACAACTATTTTTTAGAGGAAATTTAACTGATGGCTGTGGAATTTTTTTTTTAAAGTTAGCTATCTCACGATTTCTAAACTACAACTGCTACAGAGCCGGCTCTTCCCCCTCAAAGCTCCCCATCGCCACATCACGACTGGCGCTGTCAAACACAGCGCGATAGCAGTACCCGCCAGCACTCCATTCCCCTAAGCCATTCCAAATCTGTCGTATAGCGCCGGAGCAAAGAGCGGGATGTAGGCGTCAACGATGTATGTCTGCGCGCATTGAAATGAAAGAACGAGCCCGGCGGCAAAGATGGCGGCTCCTACGTTCGGGATGATCCAGTGGAGCTTGTGATGGGCAGAAATTCCATACAGCAGTAGCCCCGTCGGCGTAACTACTGCTGTCGGAATCATCAAAGAAGAAAGGCAAGACCAAAAGGGACAGCGAGGACGACAGCAGGACCGACAGCGAGGAAGCTTCTGCTGGACTGCCCCCAGGAGAAGACAACGAGCAAACCAAACGGATTCAAGATTGAATCGCATCCAAAAAGTTCCTTCCGAGTCCAGAGGAAGGAAGACGCATTGAAACTAAAGTCCGAAGAGGAAGACATGAAACTAGCCAACCGCGACTTGTCGAGCCAGGTGACCGACCTGAGGCACAAGCTCTACGAGCTTAAGATGCAGTTTCTTCAACACACTGCAGCTGCTCTTTGATCCAAAACTACATCGCCAACGAAGCCGAACGATACATCCGGGAGATCCAGAAGGATTCATCTCAGTGTGAAGTCCACTATGGCCACCAACATGAACTTCGAGTCTGGGCATAGAGGAAGAAAAGAGGTGACAGCACTGACGAAGCACACGAACACGACGCAAATACCACGGCGGTATGGCAACGCAACAACACTCAACACTTCGGACGTTGGCAAAGCGCCATTGTTGGGTGTTGGCATCGGGTCTGGAGATTTTGGATGAAGGCAGCTTCGAATCAATTTGCAATACACGACCAAGACCTTTCTTGACACAAAGTTGACTGAGATTCTAGATATTGTGAAGTTCGCCTCAACCTAGCCAACGAGGTAATAATCTTGATCGTGTGGGCTAGGGGATAGTTATTGTCTGCATCCCCACACCCGTTCTCGAGGAAGCGGTCCATATCTGTTGCTGCGGCCTAAACGCAAGCGTCCTCACTGGCTGTGTATGGACTACATCGACGTCTAAGAACGCCACCGGACCGAGCCAGCGCGTTGGTTGGCACCTGTTCCCCGTCACATCACAGAGGAGGCTTGCAAGCGGGAATGCTTCATGCTCAATAGAAGCCTGCTGCAGCGTCGTATCTGGGCAGACACACCGACGACGATACCAGTGCTGCGGGATCCGTCTCTGGGACATCCCTGCCTTGCTTGGTTCTGCGGCTTCAACCCAGCCAACCATTGTTTGACTGCGCATCCTATTTGCGGCCGCTGTTACATGGTGGTAGCATTCGGGCTCTTTCGACCCGCGACCCGTTACCCACTTACCTGTACTCTCACTGCTCAGAAGGCGGTGGATTGAGGCTTCGATATAAGGCAAGGAGGTAAGGGGGTTTCTGCATAACCATCATGCCGGCATATGAAGTGCGGACTAATGATGGGCCCCTGGAGGCAGGACAGCAGTGAACCAGAAACCACCGACCAGGGTCTGGATGCCCGTATGTTCTTGGCCCACTTTGGCCTTCTTCAATTGATAGGACTTTGAGGCGGCATCACTTCTCCGTTTCAAGCTATTGTGAGGTTTATTTCGATTTTACTTGTTCCGATGACGGAGCGTGTTACATGTGGACCTCCAATAACCTGTCATATCACATGTTATGACAATAACAATGTTTGTATGTTGACCCCCATTCATGCACAATGACAAGACACGAGGCATGAAATGTAATACTACGAGATGAGCGTGGCGTGATTTGTGCAAAGCAATTCTAGCCATTTATTGGCCCCATCATCATCAAATGGCCCCTCAAGTCAAATAGGTATCCCCGGGGACAGCTCAAGTTCAGTCCGGTGCTCAGCGCCCCTGTCGTCAGTATCATCATACTTCACTCGTCACGCGACTCGCCACAAGCAACCAACCCGAGGACAGAAGTGGGTCATGACACCATCCGGCCCATCCACCCAAACAGAGGGCGCGTAGCATGCCATTGCAACAAATATTCAAAATCGGAGACATCGTCGTCGCAAGAATAGCCGCCCACTTCTTTGGTATTGCCGGGCGGGGTAGCGACGGCGGAACGAGACGGCGTGATGGTAGTACTTTCATGGGCTGATGGGGCGTTCCAGCATGTTCTGCTGCTGCAGGTGTCTGGGTTTAATAAAGAGCATGAAGGGACTCCACTTGACCGCTGTAAGCCGAACATAGAAAGCAAGCATCAACAAAGGTATGCCCCCGGTTGATTGAGCATGCGCAGAGGTAGGATGGGATTAGACTGCTAATGGTTCTCTAGCGAAACCACCAACCTACTTACTATACTCTCTTCTATAAACACTCGGATAGCTGCTAAATCCAACTACCGATACAGATGACATACATTCTGTACACTCGAGACACCACTTTGACTGTCCAGACCATCACCGCAGAGCCTGGTTCCTATACTACCAATACCTCTCCAACCATCTCCAACACCACCAGCCCGTCCATTTTACAAAGTACATTTCTCAACATCCCCACATCTATCTCTGCATTGTGAATCTGCAGCCGTTGACACCGATCCTCCATCTTAGATAACCCCCACCGTCGTCTTAGCGCCCACGCGCAAGCTGACGCTGCCCGCGCCATGCGTCACACTGACAGCTGGACGCCTATCGAGCGCCGCCAGAGCTGGAGTAGAGAGGATCAGAAGCACGAATTGCAAATGACGGGGATTAAAGATACCGAAATGGGACCAGGGTTCACGGAAAGTGGAGGCTGAAGACTCACGCGAGAGAAAATCACCCATGGGCCGGCTATGCTAAAGACTGGTTCAAGCAGGTGCACCCTTGAGAATGGTGATTTGATGGGAATTGTATGAAGGTAGGAGTAAAATTGGTATGGCGGCATTGGAAAATTTGCATACCCTCTGGCAAATACGCAGAGCAGAAGAAAATTCTTACGGTAAAAGGGGAGCAAAATTGAAGCTCGATACACTACTTGCTAAGAGAGTATAGGAGATCATGATGGCGTGGTAAGGGAGGTAAATTCGAATCTCCAGCTTACGAGAGGCGCTCTGGTGCTTCCTACAGTAGATCTGCCCGTTGGAACGTTCGGGAGGATGGCCCCGTTACTGACAGGGTTTGAACCCGGTAGGGAATTGCTGGGGAGATCGGCGATCGTTTGATGAGCAGAGCCGTGGATTGAGAGATCTAACGAATCAAAAGAATGATGGCCACCCACCCTCTCCGCGCGCTAAGGCTTTGCAGGCACTTATGTGATGCGACACCGTGCGCACAGGGTAAGTAGCTCAGGCCAATACTAATCCTGATAAGCGGCGTCTTTCCAGGCCAAGACTTCGCCACAGCTCCCTACAACGTGAATCACCTAGCATTGCTGGCTACGAGTTTTTGCACATACCTGTTTTTCTCGTCCTTGGATATCCTACGCTGCTCGCGTTATCGTCATTTCTGCTACCCAGTCGTCTCAACAAAATCTCGTACCAGAATGTGGTTGCCGCCAATTGATCCGGGAAGTCATAATTCTTCCCTCCCTAATCGCACTTTACTTTGATGCCCAAAAGGCTCTGAGCTATCGCCAACTCCATCGCTGCATTACCCGCGCTATCTGAGGCACGAAGAGCTTCTCGAAGCTAATCTTATCATCGCGCTCGAGCCAGCAGTGCGGCGACGCCAACAGCAGCCACGAGGGCACATCATGCAGGTACTGGGCCGGCATGGCGTTGGTGAATTCGAAGTCGAGTACGGCGGTGATCTGGAGCGTCTTAGGGTCGGCGAGCATGTTGAAAGGGCCTATGTCGTCGCTGAAGAGCCTGAAAGAGAGGTCGCAGTCGATGCAGTACTTCGGAATCAACTGTGCGAGGCGGCGCCGGGCGATAAACCTTTGACGGGCGTCTTCCTTGGTTTCGCAGATGTTTCGTTGGGTGCAGAGATGCGTCCACAACTCGTCAGCTCGCTGCCTGAAGAATTCGCTGGAGCGGTTAAACGGCCCGGAGGGTAGCATGTGGGCGGGAAACCGGTGTCAGCCACGAGCTCGTTCATGTCGTAAGTCATGGGGCGTCCGGTGACGGCCCACCTGCCCAAGTCCTTAGATATTGCGCCGATGCTCGGAAACCCCAGCCGGGAGAGCTGCACGACATAGTCGGCAATCTGGCTGTAGACGAGCTCGAGCTTCTTCTGGTCAATCTCGGGATCGAGTATCAACGGGTCTTGATCGCTCTCTGTCGGCTTCTTCAAAAGATTGTCCAGGCAAACCCCGTCCAGGAAGTCGTCACATCGGCGGTCCACGAGCCTGTAACCCGAATAGTGTATCGAAGTGTAAATACGAACGTGTGCATGGCCATGATGACAGAACAAGAAGCAAAAACATCATAATCCCTAGTGCGAACGAGGTGCGGTTTGAAGGAGAAGGAAAAATTTTTTTGTTTACGGGCGCTAATGAGCCCACTACTACACCAGCCGGACGACAAAAGCCCACTTGTGGGGAGGGTCCGCGCCGATCGTTGGTAAAAGCGTCGGAGTTCGAGCGACGCTTTTACCAACGATCGGCCGCTCCGTCCCAAGTTGCTTGATGCCGGGGGGTACCTTGGCTATAGTGGTGATGCTAATGGCTGCGAGTGGTGTGAACTGCGGTTTGGTGTGGCCTGGTCAGAGTCGATGCGTCGGCAGGCAGGGGAGCCAAGGGTTGTTGGATGGTTGGAGGAGTTCCAGCCAGCAGCAAGGCTGGGCGAATTGTCTGGAGCGATTTGGCAATGCAATGCAGACGAAGCAGAACGAGCATGGATTACAACTACCCTCAACGTCGGGAAGCGTGACACCACGTTGGAAATGGAAATGGGCGTGCCCTAGGCAGATGGGACCAGGTTCGTCGGTGATTGGGGCGGGGGAGCGGGTCTCGTCTAAGCCTTGTCTCTCGGCGGATGCCTCGACTTTTTGTCTCGGCCGGATCGACGGGCAAAACGTTTAATGAACTGACCCTGCAGGCTCGTGTGGTCCGTGGCGGCGGGTGCCCTTGTGATGAGGATTCCCCGTACAAATGCGCACATCGTCGTAGGCGGACAACTGAGAATCCGCGTGGGGGTTTCTTATAGCCAAGAACGGGGGGACTCCGTCGAGGGGTTTTTGTTCTTGACGGACAAGAGAGGGAGAAGGTGACGGCGTGGGATTCCGGGAGGAGAGAGATGTGGAATCGCGGATATCTTAGTTTTAGGGAGCCCTGGTGGCTGGCTTCCTCGTGTTCTGGAGGTGGTCTAGGTGAGTGTTGGCGAGGATGATGAGAATAGCAAAGCGCTGATTCGCTGTCCGTCTTCCTTGCTTTCTCCTTGCTTTCTTGCTTCTGGATGCAACGCCAAAAGCACAGACACAGGCACAAGGCACGGACGCTGACACGGTGCAAGGTCTCGGGTCTTGCTTGACCCAGGGCATCAAGTGAGAGAACAAGGGGCCCAACGATCAACCAAGGCTAAGGCGAACAAGTACGAATGCGGAAAGTGGGAAAGGATAGTATGGATGGGTAGAATGGCACGGACGATGGACGATGGGTAATGGGCAGGTGGAAGGATACCGTGATAGACAACAAGTTGTCGAGGGCTTGTGATAGCAGGGGAGCAGGGGGGTGTCACCCGGTTTGGTTTTGGTGGTGGTTTTGTGGAGTTTGATGGTTTGTCTTGAACGAAAATGGGTTGTACTCGGGTTCTTCCACGTCGAAAACAGCTGGGAACCGTCGACTTCATATGGTTTGTCGACTCGTCCAAGTCAGTCAGTAGTGAGACCGCAAGAGCCCAGAAGGCCCGTGAGACGGGACGCCGTCAGCGGGAAGGGACGGACCACGGGCCATGGGATGGGATGGACAGCGGCCAAACGACGACGCCCGCCCGCGCAGAACGCCAAAAACGGCGCAAAGCAACACTAGGAGACAGACAAACAAACGGGAAACATGCTCCACCGCGAAGCCTGCACCCTCCTCATCCCGCTCGCCGCGGATTGGGGGGGTGGGGCATAGGAATTGGGGCGTCGTTTTGTTGCTTTCTTTTTTCCGCCTTGATGGCTGGCTTGGTTTTCTCCGCCACGCGATGATCCTCTCTCCACCTGTGTGCAGTTCATCCCAACGCAAGCCAAGCAATGATGTCTCGCCGTGGCACCGGCACATGGCACGCACTCGGGCAAACTTCCAAGCGGCTTCATCGCCAAAACGGACTCCGCTTCAGCAACCCCCGCCATGACGGCATCGCACCTCCAGAGCGGAACGTCCGGGAGGTGCCGCCACGCCCACGGCACCGTATCCCGGGAACCCTCCTGTTGTTGTTGTCTCCTGTCTCCCGCACGCACCCCATGGCCCCAAGTGTTTGTCGACGGGCGTTCTGTGTCGAAATTCCCTCTCAACTGCCGTCGATATATTTTTTCTTTTACCTCAATACTACGTGCTTAGCGGCCGAGCCGGACACGGTCGAGGTGGAGACGGCGGCGACGGCGGCGGCTGCGGCCTGACATGGTCCACGCTCGCTTTTCTCCTCGAGAACACGTAGTAACGTTGTCAACCCTCGCCAAAGGACCGTCGAAGCCACTTCGCGACCAAAAACCCCACCCGCTGGCTCGAGTCGCGTCGGCTGCAGTCTCGGCCGGCTGATGGGATGGAAGAGGAGGGGTCACTGATCTGATCTGTCGATGACCCCGGATCACTCTCCGTCGGCATGAATGGCTGTTTTGCCGTGTGTCTTCCAGGAGGGAGTCTGCAGGGCTTCTTCTGCGCCAGTAGAGTGTAAGCTGTCTGCAAGCTGCCTGTGAGCTGCCTGGGAGCCTCCCCAGCAAGAATGGGGCGTTATCGGGTGCGTGAGCGCGAGTGTGCATGCGTGCGTGCGTTCGCACTGCTGTGCCGTCTGCTGGGTTGTGGCGCGTTTCTAACGGCTCGTCCTTGTTGGACTGGTCCGACTTGTCGTGCCACTCGTCGATGCGATGGGCTTTCCAAATGGTGTCGGGTCAAGGGTCCGGGGTTGCGTCTTCTGGTAAGGGTTGACTGGTAATTAGAGTGTCTTCCCAAACGCGGACGTCTCCGTTGGCGTGGATGAAGGACGTGCGCGCGTGGTGTGCGTGTGAGCCCTGCACTGGGCGTTGGTCGGTCGTGACCTTCACGGATCGTCCCTTTACTACTTGAGGCCAGTGGGGCTTGGCAAGCAGGGAATCAGGGATGTCGAGTTTAGGGGGGAGAAGGCTGAGCGACGATGGGGATGAGAATGGGGGTGGAGTGATCCTGATGGAGAGGAGATTGAGAGGGACGGTGTTTAGGTTTTACTACTTGTGACGACTGAATCCGGTGATGGTCCTGGCGACGGTATTGGCGATGGCGGTGTTGATGATGCTGGCGATGAAGCTAGCGATGGTGATGATGCTACTTTGTATGGGTTGTGTTGCATGCCAAAGCATTGAACCGTTCTCCTCAGAACCCCCTTTCTAGCTTGCCTACCAGCCCTGAGGAATCCCAGGGAAGTGACCTGTGTCCCACGAAAACGCTTGGCATCAGCACTACTGTACAATCCCACGCTCCGTGTTGCCTATCGGATAGGCCAGCACCAATGAATAGTGGGCGTATATAGTACTTCATCGAGTCTAGCCCCACCACTCCAACTCTACTAGTCATTCCCCACAACAGGCTGTACTGTAATCCGTACACAGTGTAGCATCGATGAGTGGGTCCGTGGAGACCTCGGGATGTGGGCTTGTTGAGCAAAAGTGGAGAACTTCATTATGCAGGGCCGTTATCGTGGTATATGGCCTTTCAACAGGGCTGCATTCGTAAGTGGGCCCTGTTTAGGTCGAAGTTCAGCCATCCTCATCTGAGCTCCGTCAGTTGGCTCCATCGGCTCCCTCTTATCTGGCCCTGCCCAAAGGGAAATCCACCCCGATGGCTGTATCCTAGACATTTTCAACATCAACGCCCCGATGGATTCAAATACCGACGCCGATCAATCCTAGACCTGAATAAAGCTCCGTGGAGCTTAAGTCTTGGCCACGCCAGACCCAAGGACATGAGGCCATGGGTATCATCAAGACTCACTAACACTTGCCCTGGTCTCTGTCCTACCGGGCCTATGTAACGTCTTGGACCAAGTGCCAAGCAGTCGCATGCGCTATGACAAAGTTTAGTTGAGAGATTCGCACCCTCATGGGAAGAACTGATGTAGCCACCAACAGCTCGTCACTTCGTCCCAAGCACACGTCGCTTCGCCCCCTCTTTCCCCATCTCGCAGGGGGGCAGTTCAACTAAATTCATCTCAGAACTTACGGATATGACACCTTAGCCAGCCGCCTCTTTCCGCAGTCAACGGTTTTCATGATCGTCGCAATGGCATCTCCTCAGCTCACCTCGGGAAGGTCGCTGAACCCCTCAGGTTTCGAAGGCGCTTCGCGCCCCTGACATAATCTCTGCATGTGCGGCACAGGTTTGCCAGGGCGTGGGCCAAGCTCTGGGTAGTGTGCCTAGTTACCGTCTTTCAACCGGTTGGTCGTTGGTGGGCGGTCCGGATTTGAACCTCGCCTCTCCCTCAATCGTGTTCTGTCTTCGCTATCTGCTTCTTGTCAATGCAGCGATGCACCTGAATCACCCCATTATTGTCAGCAACTCTGGTTGAGGTCTTGCATCCGTCTATAATATCATCATTGTGGATCAAAGTTAACATCCTCGGATCTGTCATCCTATGTCAGACTTTGCACAGTCGTGGTCCCCTCGGATGGGAGATATCACGTTTGGATCTTAGACGACATCGGAACTCCTCAGCACGGAACATTTCCGCTATCCAGTCCCACGAGCATTGCTTCACCGATGCCTCGAAATAACTATTCATGTCAACCGATACCGAGTCAAGGCTACCAGAGCTCCTTTTTTGAAGCAGCAATTGATGCATTACCCGCATCGATAGAAGACGGCCTTGCTTCTTTGTACGACTCATCACCCATCCTATCCACAGAGCCCAAGATGTCTCAAGACAACGAGACAGCGCCCTATAAGTCACCAGTCGATGCCTGTTACCAGGCACCTATCCGACAGACCCGTGGCTGGGAAGGGAATTCGACACAGTTGGAGCCCAGCGTCACTAGAGTATCTCCAGGTTCATCCAAGCAAAAGAAACGAGGCCGAAAGCCTAAGAAGCAGTTGAAGGACGAAAAAGGACAAAAGAACGAGCCTAACGACGATAATCTTCCCAAGGATCCACGCCGACGCAGGATACTTGAACGCAACCGCATCGCAGCCACCAAATGCCGTCTCCGCAAGCTTGACGAAACCTCCGCTCTCGCATCTCGAGAACAAGCCATAGAGGAACAGAACCGTTACCTGTCGGCGTGCTACGAATCGTTGACTGCTGAAATATACCACCTAAAAACACAATTGTTGCGACATACCGATTGCAACTGTGTTCTCATCCAGAAATACATCGCCAACGAGGCGAAGAACTCTGTCGATGCTCTACTCGCTTGTTCTTCGGGCTTCCAACCCTTCGGCGGTTTCATGAGTCCTAGCTATGCGAGCTCAAGCGGTTCCAGCATTGGTGCTTCGTTTAATATACATTGTCCAGAGGCGGATAGCTTTCCGCCTTCCTGGACAAATAATTTTCAGCGAGGACCTGGTGAACCAGAAGTCAGGGACGACATTTTCGGCATGGGTTTAGAACCATTTGGAAAGGCTGCGATGACACCTGATTGCATGATCTCCACCCAACCAACTCTAAATCCGCCCTTTGCTGGATGTGGATCGGGAGTGTTCCTCAACATGGGCCTGCAGGAGCAGCAAACAGATGATTTTTCCCCAGGCATTTACTGGGCATTTTGATAAGATCATTGGATGGCAAGCGAAAACTCTTTTTCGGGAATTAAGTCGATTTTTTCTTCTTTGATGGCGCAATTCCAAGGCAGTTCTGGAATCCGTGATGTCACGGGCCAGGACCCATATCCTTGCGGCTGTGCCGCAAGACGTACTAGGCTCGTGCGCGCCAGGGACGAGAAATCGTTCCACAGCTCAGGGGCACTTGGGATCTTCTTTCTTTCTTCTTCATCTTTGATGTAAATACCATCCTGGACTAGATAGCTGGAATCCAGCTCCTAGAGGCTGTTCACACGTGAGTTGTGCTAAGTCAAGGGCTTGCCAAACCTGAGGTTGTCATGGCGATCACAAAGGTCTTCTTTTGGTGCTTCCGGCTCGTTATCCGTTGTGCTACTGCACACACAAAACCTTCTCGAACCTTCCCTACGCGGGCGTTTCCTGATATGATTGGTCGATATGCAGTAATCCCCACATGAAAGTTGGGGCTGTTCGATGTTTCGCAAGTCATCGAACAGCCTACAGCTGCCTACTGGCCTCGTCATAGGTATAAGTAAACGAATCAGTGCCGTCTTCAACATCTCTACATTATCCGCCTTTTTGTCCTTCGCTATCAATGATGAATCTCGATATCGAATGGTTGCAACGCGAAATTGCGAAATCGGCAAATGTCAATGAGGTCTAGATTCAAACCCCACATTGCCCTCTAACTAATGCAAAACAAGGTTGCATATCGCATCTACATGATCCCGGAGATATCACGGGCCATCAAGACTTGACAGTTCGGCTACACTACACCCGCGGCAACGCCTCCCCAAGACATTGACCTGAGCCTGTCCTCGTCGCGCCAGCAAACACCCCACTGCCAACAGACCGACGATCCTAGTACTGATATCGTGAGTGGATCCGTTGCTAGAGATGCCGGACATCGTCTCCGTTTGTATGTGATTCAACTGCAAATTAGGAAAACTGAACAGGGGCCCGATATGACTAGGTACGGCATCACCGTTAGCAAAGTAAAGCCTCTCGCCCAAGAGCCTCTGGATGCACTCACCCTAGAGCTCCAGTCGCTCCTGCTCCAGGGCTTCGTTGGGAAAACGGTATGCTGCATGTCCATGGTCGGTTGGGACTCAGGGAGCCAGAAAGTGCGGTTCTTATTAGCGCTGCGTAATTGAACGTTTGGGATCTAGTCATACGTGAGGTCGACAAACTCGTCGGGAATAAAAATCGGTAGGGTATCGGCCGCTGTGATATGGGCGTCCATGGATGCGGCGGTACTCGAGGATGCCGGCAGTGACAGAGGCAGTAGAGCTTTCGGCAATTGTAGAGAAGCCCCGCATTACCCGAGCTCGTTTTTCCTTTTGGATTTCGGCACAGTGCAAAAACAACCAACCAGACCGCCCAAACCTAACTCTCACCTCCCTCACCTCACCTCAAATCGCATCGCGACTTGGCCTGGCCACAGGACCTTTTTTCACTTCTTTCTACTTCCGCACTTCCTCGAGCACCTCGTCTCGAACGACAACCCGCGATACCTTCCTCGCCGCCTTCTTTCGCCGTCGTTACCGTCATCGCTCTCGTTGAGCCGCGTCTGCGTCTTTCTCCGTTCCTTTGCCTCTGTCCTCGTCCGACCGCACCCTACGCAACGCAGCCATGGCTTCTCAACCGCTCAACATCGACCGCTACGTCGTCATCCACGTTGCGACTACCTGCGACGAGCACGGCGTCTATGTGACAAAGGACTCGGCCGAGGTCATTGAGCTTGGTTGGATCCTACTTGATGCAAACTCGCTTGAGGAGGTGAGTTGCCAAAAATCCCACGTTGGGGCCAACATGCCTCCATCTCCGCCGGATCAAGCCTCGCTCACGATTCCTCTTTCCCTTGCTAGATCACCCACGAGAGCGTTCTCGTCAAGCCCGTCAACACTCCCATCACTCCACCGTGCAGTAAGCTTTCCGCGCCCTGATTCAAGAATTCTTCCACCCGCCCCGTCTTGCTCTATTTCTCGTGGGTTTGGCCGACCTCGCTTTCGTTTGCCAAAGTGCCCCTGGCAATGCACCCTTTAGCCAAAAATTTGTGCTAACTCTGCGACTTCTGCAGCGAGCCTGACCACGTTGACCTGGGAGCATGTTCGAAACGCTGGTACCTTTAGAGATGCTATCACCCGATTCGACACGTTTGCTACCGAGTACTTGACCTCCAGGAACCTCGACTTCGCCTTCGTGACCCTCGATGCCTGGGATCTCCGGGTCCAGCTTCCTCGCGAGGCCCGCGACAAGGCCGTTGTGCTACCACCCTACCTGCAGTACTCTCGCACTTTCGATCTCCGCACAGAGTATCAGCGATGGCAGCAGCACCATCCCGAGTCGCTCCCCTTCGGCCCTTCGATGCTCTCCAACATCTGTGCCGCCCTCGAGGTTGAGCCTGTCCAGTCGAGTGCTCCAATCAAGCATAACCTGCCATTCCACCTGCAGGCCCTGGCCCCCGCCTCGCCTCGCCTCGCGATGGAGGAGGCTATCACCCTCGCTCGCGTTCTCCGTGGCCTGATCCGCAAGTCACAGCCTCCCCAGGAGCACCCCGACGTATTGACCCGACCCATGGACGCCCGAGCCGATGTTAGAGCCTTCCTCTCTGAGAGGAGTAAGGTTCTTCACATGTCTGGACTGCCTCACGATACTACTCAGTCCGAGCTTGAGAGCTGGTTCACCCAGTTTGGCGGCCGTCCCATTGCTTTCTGGACTCTGCGTACCCCCGAGCAGCACAAGCCTACTGGTACCGGATTTGCGGTTTTCTTTTCCCACGAGGAGGTTAGTCAAAATTGTCGCTCGTTGATTTTAGGGAAATCCTCTACTTTTCGGAGATGAGCAATGCCATGCCTAACATCAGGTCACTCATCGATTCAGGTAGATGTTAACCTCCAAGACAGGCTGCCGAGAGTCTCTGCATGAACGGCCGTGCCCTGAACGAGAAGGCCATCGAGGTCTCGCCGTCGTCTAGCCGCGTCCTCCGCCGCGCTCAGGACATCCTGACTCCTTTTCCTCCCAGCAAGAACCGCCCCCGCCCAGGTGACTGGACTTGCCCCTCTTGTGGCTTCTCTAACTTCCAGCGCCGAACCGTTTGCTTCCGATGCTCCTTCCCGACTGTTGGTGCTGGACCCGTTAACGAGATGAGCGCCAACGCTTATGGATATGGTGGCTATGGTCCTCCTGCTACGATGCCGCCTCCTCCTCATGGTAGCCACCACGGCCCGATGGGCTACGGTGGGCGCATGGGTGGCAGTGGTGTCGTGCCTTTCCGTGCTGGTGACTGGAAGTGTGGCAACGAGGTGTGTGGCTACCATAACTTTGCCAAGAACGTCTGTTGTCTGCGCTGCGGTGCCAGCCGTGCTGGAGCTGCGATTGTCGCTGACCCTGGGTACCACTCTTCCATGGACAACTCTTCTCAGTACAGCATGAGCCAGGGCTCCATGGCTGGAACTCTCGGACCCGGCCCCTTTTGCTCTGTGAGCTCCTTCGGATCGAGCAGCCGCTATTGGTCAGCAGCTATGCCAGGTCCGCGGGGGTTTGGCTGACTGCCGAACCGCCCCGAATATTAATCCGTGACCCCCCACTTCGTCAATGTCGACGACATCGACCAGCTGTCCCCAAATTTTCCGCTGTTTCTCCTCAACCTCTTACATTTGCTGGTCGGCCTGTGTAGATCGTCCAAGCTCTTGTGAGGCGTTCGCCTCGTGTTTCGCGTCCCTATACCTACAGTCTCCCCTCAATGCTCGACTTCGTCTGGTTGTGAACGGCCTCTAGTAACTATGTTCCAGCTATCTAGTCCAGGATGCTATTTCCATCAAAGATGAAGAAGAAAGAAGTTCCCAAGGTGCCCCTGAGCTGTGGAACGATTTCTCGTCCCTGGCGCGCACGAGCCTAGTACGTCTTGCGGCACAGCCGCAAGGATATGGGCCCTGGCCCGTGACAGGGCTCGGAACCGAGCATTGGACTCTTCTAGAATAGGCTTAGCGAATCTTACGTAGCTGCCCCTCTAATTATTGGCGTAATGGAATATCGTAACGTATATGATAAGTATTAGATTAACCAGCTGAGCCAAAAGTATACGGTACCGCACCTTGCCTTGCCCAGGGCAGAAGTCACCACCAAACCGCCCAAGCACGAAAGCTCCTTTAGGCTTCCAGGCAGACCAGCTTTCTCCTCCGACTCCTCCAACTCCTCCGCGTTTGCCCTAAACCTACAAACGACGAGCCACCTTCGCTGCTGCCGCCGAACGAGACGAGATGGGAACGACCGACCGATAAGGATACCGATGAGCAGACTCTCCTCGGCGCATATCGGGCGACAGCTATCACAAATCGACAACTACAATCGCCGCACGCTTGAATGTGCACCCTCGACTCGTCCCCCTCTGGACCGCCTCGTTCCATCACCTCCGCTCCCTCGGAGCGGCCTACGCCAGCCATCGTGCCGCACCGATGTGGTTGCTATTTCGGGCCATCTTCAACTCCATCTTCCTGCTAAGCATCGTCCTCTCCATTCCCGTCGCCTTCGATGTCGGCGGCCGGGACAGCGGCCTGGCCTACAGCCTCGCCCTCTTCTTCTTCTACATCGTCTACTCCGGCCTCGAGTTCCTGACCCCCGAGAAGTCACCCTCTCGCTTCCTCCTCTCCGCCTTCCTGCGGTCCGCGCAGTGGATCGTCATCCCGTCGTTGCTTATTTGGGCGCTGGGGCAGTTTGCCGTCGATGCGGGCAGCACTACGTGGGTGGAGCGGACGCTAGGTGGTTTGCTCAACTCCAAGAGCACGAGCTGGACGGAATGGAGCTGGACGGAATGGACGTTTGGCAAGGACGGGCTGTTGGAGACTGTTCTGCTGGGAGGGTGGGATAACGTGCTGCGATACTCGGGGCCTGTCTTCCAGCTCCTCGAGGGCTTCTGCACCCTGCTGGTCATCCGGGCTGCGGGACAGCTCACCCGGTGGCTGGTCAACCGAGGGAGAAGCGATACTTGGGTGGTAAGTGGTCCTTGATGCTCCCTACGAGTCCCTGAACTCGATCGGGATCCAAGAGGTGCTAACTAGTACGCATATCATTCTCCTCGTCTTCTCGAGCTCCATCATGGCGAGCGCCCTCTACTTCCTCTGGCGGGTCGCCCATTTCCCCCACATCAGCAACGCAGACGCCACCCTCATCAGTATCGCCATGACAACGGCCGTTTTCCTCTGCGCTTTCGGCATCGGCAGCGGCAGAGGAAACCCTATCGAGTCGTCTCTCCTCTTCGCCTACATCGTTCTTTGCGTCTACCAGATATTCACTGACTACCTACCCTCCGAGCACGCCGATCAAGCCGATGGCCAAGCGAGCTCGCAACCCGACATTCCCCCTTTGCCGCCCATCATCATGGCGTCTTACTCCACATTTCTCCACATGCTGGGCTCGCTCCCCTCCGCTATCTACTCCGCCCTCGCCCTCCTCTACGCCGCCTTCCAGACCATCACCCCTTCGGTCATCATCTCTCTCACCTACCGCCTACTCGTCTTCTACTGCGCTACACGAAATATTCCTTCGGTGCGCGACTCTGGCGCACGAGCCATGATGCAGGAGCCAGACTGGGAGGACACGGAGACTGCAAGCAGGCTCCCGAGCTTCCTCAACTGGTTCTCGCCCTCAATTTTAATAGCAGTCTACACAGGCTTACTGTTGCAACACTTTTCGACGAGCGACGGCCCCGATGGCTGGACGCTCAGAGGCGGTGATGTCGGTGGAAGCACATGGCAGTGGACCAACGTGGGGTTGACCATGCTCCTCTACGGCGTGGAGCTCTACCTGGGCGCCGACGAGCATGATCATTGGAAAGTGGATTAAGATTAGTAGGTGAAATGGATGACTTGGTGGGGGAGACAATGGGACATTCGATTCGGACAGATGGTGCTCACCTTACGAACATGAACGGGGCTCGTGGCCCGAGGAGAGGGGGGATGGGCTAGAAGAGAGGGCGTCGACATTCAGTACCGATACATGTTCAAGGCAGCATAAGGGGACTGGGACTTGGACTGGAATGGGCAGTGGGGATCGGCGCAGAACCGCACATGGCGTTAGGGTAGGCACTTTTGTTCTTGAACAGCATGGCGATATTTGATAATGTTTTTTTTCCCCCTCTTTTCAATTTCAACTATAGGGGGTAATGTGATGTTGTATTGGGAGAGGAGAGTGAGGTTGTGACGGGAACGTCTGGGTGCTGGACCCAGGGTGGGGTCGATACGTAACTAGGCGCACGGGGCAGGCCACAGGGACTATCATACACGTCTACGCGTCTACGCGCCTGCCCTTCTCTCTTTCCTCTCCATCGTAGTATCCTCGCAATACAGTGGCATTACCTCTTGAGTTGATCTCATCTGGCCCGTGGCAGGGGGGAGAAGAAGAGGACGAGGACGAGTATAACTAAGCGTTGATATCGTCAATAAAAGAGGCGGTTAGCCCATTTGTAGCCGGCCCTTTTCCGCAGTGCGGGATGAAGCTATTCTGCGCTGGTCCGGTGCGGTCCCGTTGCTGTTGCTGCTGTTGTCTGCCGTGTCTAAATCCAATGAGCTTTTGAGTAAAAGTACACGCCTCAATGTACTGTGGGGCTTAAGTTTATTTGTGCAGACCCACTTCACTTGATTGAGCGTGCTTTTTGGGGTGTTGCAACAGTGACCCCTATAGGCTGCCGCACTCTGGGTCACTCCCTTGTACCGCGGCCTGGCAGGGGGGTGTTGGGCGCGGATCCCAAGTGTAGTCTTACGACAGTCAAAGGGATACACAAATGAAAATATTGCCTGTTTAGGCAGTAGCAGCTGCCTACCAGGCAGCTGCTGTAGTCGGGCAGGGCTGATATGTGACAAAGGGCCGTACAACAGGTAGCCTCGTCGATAAGGCATGGATCGCCTAGCGTACCATCGTCGAGTTCGCGGATTAAGGAAATCCTCAACGTCTTTGATGAACGATTGCTTTTGCGCGTCACCCAGGATGACGGTCGACGGCGGTCTGGTGTCTACCGCTGTCGCTCGCTCCCAGCGATCGTTGCGGTGTTTAAAAACAGCCGTCTTGTTCTTGATAAGACGAAGATATTTATCTCGACACTCGTTCAAGAAATTCTTCGACGCCTTGGAAGATCGGCCTAAACACCTCATGGAGATCTCTTCCTCCTTATGAAAGCTGACATCCCTCAGCCTGCTGCGGATCCTTTCCTCAGACTTCTCATTATCCCGCCGATCGGCTATCCGCTTTTTCTTCTATTCGAAGCCCCTCGGTGAAGCTAACAGACTCGCGTTCACGGGTAGATCACCACTCAATTTCAGATCCAGAACACGGAGGCTGTCTGTCACAAGGGATAAGTAAATGAATGGAAGCAACAGCAGATCGAAGGCATGCATTTCAACATGTCTCACTTACATCGCCACTCACAACATAAAAACTAAGATTAGTAACATCATTAGATAGAAGAAATAAGTCTTTTCCCTCTATATCGCCCCATAAAGCTTGGTGCGACATCTGCCGTCTGATGCCATCTTTCCCCCTGGGAAGAACGAGAGGCTTCCCATCTTGCTCTATCCGACTCGTCGCATGCCTTCGCGCTGTGCATCCCATTTCGTGCATCGAAAAAGAAAGTGCTCGATCGTCTCGGCCGTTTGTCCACCACAATCACATATGACCGATTCCACTGCGCCTATTTTAGACAGGTAGCTGTTGATTCTTGCCATCCCTGTGCGAAGCTGCGAGATGACCTCTGCTTCGCGCCTCTTCAGTCCGTCATAACGCGCGCTAGACTTGCTGCACCGGCCCACTGCTCTATCCTTCCTTGGATATGATCGTATTCGTCAGCTGCAGCGGGGTTTTCCTTTCCTCACCATCTGTTTTAGAAAGAGAATATCGACGCCTAGTAACGCCGCTTTTATGGATTGAGCTCAGGCACGCCTCGAGTGCAGCTTATCTGGTCCTCACCCCTAGGTCTGGCGGCCCATCCGGATCCCTTCTAGGTGTCGGAATGTTGAAATCAAAAGGGTCTGCTGGTGATTGTTGGTGATGAATAAAGGTTTACGTTGTGTGTGTCAGTGAGGGAGCATAGCTCAGTACATAGTATCCACATCCCGGCCACTAGTTAGAAGATCGGACTATCTTAATCATACGTTCTCAAGACTTAGAGACCCAGTAACAGTAACAGTTATAGCTTGAGATCACGGAGAAATACTTTGAGCAAACAATTGTGGCCATTTTGCAGTTTAACTAGGAGTAACTATCACTTTCCGTTAACTGTGAAACATTCGCTGGAGAGTGACTGATCAGGAAGGTCGAGAAGCAACTGGGGCAAACACCAGGGCCAAGCGACGTGTAGGCCATTTCATTTGCCATGGAACAAAGTTTGCGGATCCCATATCCTTGAGATGCAAGATGATCTCACCAGAGTAGAGTCCGACGGTCTGTAGATAGCAAACCACCATCGTGAAATGCCCACGTAGTTAGTTTCCATTAGTTAATTCTGCCATAACTTCAACTAGTTTGCCAAACCAGCATCGAGCCCTATTCATTGATCAATGACAGCCATGTAGAACCTCGTATCCTCAGGAATCAAGTTGCAGCCGTCTAGGGCTGCGTTTGGTTTCCTTCTTCCTCAGCCGCATCCTCTCGGTTATTGACTACTCGTTCAACAGCAGTTTCAATATCTTCAGCGCCATCGAGCATATCCAGCCAGGATGTCTGCCCTGTCTTATGCTCCAGCAGCAATACAATGACTTCAACCACAGACGCCCGGCTAACATTGCCCCTCGACGTTTTAGTTTTTCCAAGCTCAATCGGTCCTGCGGGTTCGTCCGACTGTATGCCCAGGCGAAGACTTATTCCTGAGAAGTCGGCTCGGTTGGACGCCTCCTGAAGAAGTACCTCATCTGCTGCTAGTTTAGCTTGACAGTAACTCAAGAGACCGCCACTCTGCATCTCTTGCGCGTATCCCCAGGCGTCCCTATCCCACCAACTGGGTCTCTTTCGACGACAGGTGATATACGAGATGAGAATTAATTTTTTGATGTTCGGCGTTTGGACTGTAGCCTTGATGAAGTTAATGGCAGCATCTCGATCGATGGCAAAAGTCTGGGGAAAATATCAGTCGTCATCTTCCATTGAGTTGGCACATTCCTTACTCGATCAAGTCGTCCCTCTCCACCTGCCCCAGCACTCCAAACAACGGTGTCCGGTTTAACTTCATCGAGGACCGATCTTGCCTGGGAAATATCCTCAACGTGTTCCAAACTGCGGACCAGCACGTTCAAATTTCCCTGGCCAGCAGCGGCTAGGGTCTCGATCTGGGAGACTTGGTCCTGACTTCGAATGACACTAGTGACAGTCCACGACTTCTTCAGCAGTTGCTGCGTAAGGATCTGTGCGATCTTTCCGTGGCCGCCGAGTATCAGCACGTGTCGATTCATTGTAGCAGTTGGGGAACCTCTCGTGGGACGTCCCTGCTCGAATGCCCAAGAGAGTGATGGATCGCTGATATGGGTAAGACTGCTGATAAACGCAAATTTGAGAATTATCTGGGCGGCCTAAGTAGACCGCGCAGACGACTTCCGCATCAAATCTCCGCGCTAGCCGGGAAGACTCTAGTCCTATGATGATCAATCGTGTAAACGAACCATAGAAGCTAGAAGGGCTGTAAAAAGTTTTCACAATGCCGTCAACGGCTGAAAAACACCTGAGACTGAGTTATCCCGTTCCTCCACCAAACGAGAGCGGTCGCTGAGTTCCAGCTTCACGATTCGTCAACAATCCACTAACGCTAGAAAAGGACCGAGCGATGGCTAGATAACCTGATGATGTGGTGCCCGAATAGTGATGTAATGGCAGGTTTAATTCGTCATTGTGCCGTAATGATCCATCGTATGTAGGGGCGTGGCGGCATCTCAAGCTTCACGGGCGTTACTTTCTGTTTGCGGAGCCGGAAGTCCCAGATGCTCATTTGTCAGCCTTGACCAATGAGGAAGCAGTCTTAAATGTTCGATGACCCAATATTCATGCGGTCAGAAGAAAATAACCATTGCCCGAGTTTCAAACAGAGCTTACTAGCTATCATCAGTGATAACCATGCCTTCAGCCATCGCTGCGGTTGCCACTGATCAGTCTACCCTGTGCTGTAGCAATGCACACGATCCCAGGCATCAACCGTTTCTGACAACTTTGTGCGATAGGCACTCTCGACCGGGATATTGTGGAAGAATTGTGCAGCGGGTCCGAAGAATGGAGCACTATTGTAACGAGGGCTGTGTGTAGTTTGATCAAATACAACAAATCTGGCCCGTGCACACGGCGAGGTCTTCAATTCAGCTTTTGCATGAACTGCCCAGCCCCGAACAAACGCCCTCTTTCCCAATGTGATGCTCGTGTGTCTCGAGAGCGTCCTTTGCCATCTCTCACATTCTTCTCTAGATTAGGTTTGCCGCTGAAGTAGTTCGTCTTGCACTCACTCGCTTGCTCGTTGGACACCGCTCGGCCGAGAGTGGGGACCCTTTACGTGGCAAGCTCCGTCGGACTTGCAGGCCAGATCTGAAGCTTGAGCTGCTGAACCCAAATGAAATACCATAGCGGTGATGAAAGCAGATTTCTGTTGCGGTTTCCCGAACGGGTTCTTACTAAATTCGGACATTATGAAAATCGAATTGCCTCATCCCCTGTATGGAGTGATTTTCAGAACTTATATTTTGAACCAGTTGCGAGATGGTCAGGAGCATGCTCCTTTACCCGTCACGTGGAATCACATGATAACATATGGAAAGTACCATGGTAGCCCTAACGAGGATTGAGAACTTTGTCTAAAGTATAACACGTGAATACGTACCGATATAGACCTACCCCACGAAAGCGAACTCCATGCTCACATGATGTGGGACGAAGTGTAGCGTCTCGTGGACATGTGACCGGAAAAGGATCTGACGGTCGCAGAGAGCGCAAAAAAAGCTTTTTGCAAGCTCTTGGGAAAAAGTCTCAGTCATGACTGATATCCACATGTCATGTTGCGCCATCACTTCACATTGACATTTTCCTGACCGCAGATTGGGCCTTTGAAAAACCCTTCCCGTCAAACCGACTCCAAATTTTTTTAGGGGGAGCTAGGAAGGTGGCAAACCGCAAGCCCGACAGTACACATCACATCACTGGCAGATACACCTAGTGGCGTGATTTATGTGGATGGCCGGGGCGTATTGGCATTGTGAAGAGGGAGATGTTATCTCATCTATTAGTCACCACAGAGCGTATACGACTCAGGACACCGGCTGTCTCTTACAGGAAACGAAGTAGCTCGTGCATGCACACACTCCTTTTAAGTCTAGCAGATTCCATAGACTAGTAATTCCGAATGAGTGTCATAGTGTTTCATTAATACTAAAGGAGTCTTCAATCCTAACCCCAGTGTATTATTATCTCATCTTAGTTACAGGGAGTGTGTATCTTAAAATAGACAAGTAGTGACCGAGCCGTGCTTTGAATTTCACAAAAAGAATTGCAGATAATGAAAACAGGCAAAGCACAATACAACCAGCTCCCGGCTCGATGTGATATCAAGTGTTGATTCTGATTTGAATTTTTTAAGAGATATGGATTCGGCGCGATTCGTGCTTCTTAACCTTGGGGACGACAATGCTGAGGATACCGTCTTGGAACTTCGCGCTGATGCTATCCTGATCGACTTTAGAGGGAAAGTTGAAGGCGCGAGAGAACTCCCCGACGCTGCGCTCAGCGAGCCAGTACTTCGTCTTGTCCTCACCCTCCTTCTCGCTCTCCTCCGTGCGTTGAGCGGGCTGCGAGGTATCGGGCTCCACGTCACCACCTACGATGGCACCGCGCATAGTGGTGCCTTCGACAAACCCTACAGGAGGGTTGCCAGCGGTATAAGTCCGTTCCAATTTTCCACGGATGACCATTGTCTGAGGCTCAGTGAACTCAATGTGAACCGCTTTTTTGTCTATGCCAGGGAGCTCGCCATGGAGTTCATAGGCTTGACTGGTCTCGCAGATATCAAACTTAGGCTGCCAACGGAGCAGTGAGGTATTGCGACCGCTCTGGCCCTGTCGATTATAGCTGTCGTAGTCGTCAAGAAGCCGGAACAGGGGAGCAAAGGAGGAGTCAGAGTTGTAGAAATGGCGGGGGAAAAGAGCCATTGTGCGTGAGAGGTTAGCAGTGGGCTTTAGAAGGACACGCTTGTTGATAAATAGTTGATCAGCAAGAGTGCGCGCTTGTCTGTAAACAGTTGATCTGCAAGAGAACATGAGATCACTGTGGTTGTTCTGGTTCTCTGTCAAGGAGAACTCTAGATTTAGAGGATGGAAAGGATCGCTTTATACCTGCGGAAGAGCGTGGGGATGATGGATTTGCAAAACGTGGTTGCCAATCCTGAAGCAAACTTCCGCTTAGGGCTTCTCTGCTGGAGTGTGGAAGCGTTGTGGACTGCATGATACGATGTTAGGTGTCATAGTGACGCGTGCCCCAAATGAAGCAGGAGCTGAGTTTGACAAGAGCTGAGAGAGTGTACTGATTGTTGTGTTGCCTGGGGGTAGTTTGACTAATTCGCAGAATATACCACGACATGTCACCTTGGTGCTCGGCACCCGAAGATTACGAGGTTGTGTATGGCTGCGGTCCTAAGACTCATTAACGAGGTCCAATTAATCTTCCCTTCACATGCTACTGGTGAGTTTTCTAGCCCACAAGCGATATTTGTGCTAGATCCAAAGTATTAACCTCGGGCCTCCGCAATCTCTCGGGCCGTTAGTTCTAGGTTCCGGCATTATCCCTCGCGTGATACTCCTCTACCAGCTGTTGCATGATACAGTGACGTCAATCATAACCTTAAAACCCCGCATCGCCTACGTCGATGGCCTTGTCGCTAGTCATGATCTGATCCGATAACCCTATTTCTGCGTGGGTCGCAAGCCATGATCTGATCCCATAACCGGCCCATCTCCTCATTACTTGAACGAGTTGAGGGTGTCAGAGTTGTCGAGTCAGTACTCATGATCTGATCTACTAATCGGCATATTCCCGCGCCGGTTGAGGGACTTGAATTGTATTGAATTGTATTTATTGCAAATGAAGACCATTTCCTAGAGTTGTGAATAAATGAACCTCAGCCAACTCGTCACTATAAGCTTACGGATCAGCTTGCAATGGCTTCATCTCGAAGGGGACTACTCGTGATCGGTGCTGGGGGCATGGGCCTCGCCATTGCCCGTCGCCTCGGGGCAGGGCAACTCGTGATTCTTGCCGATTGCTCGCAGAAAGTTCTCGATTCTGCCGCATCTTCACTCCGAGACGATGGGCACGAAATTGAAACTCAAATTGTTGACGTGTCAAGCTACGAATCCGTCGATAACCTCGCCAAGTTCGCTTCTGGGGCGGCCAGACTGAACACAGTAATCAACACCGCTGGTATTTCCCCTGGCATGGGTACCGCTCGAAAGATCTACGAGGTGGATCTGCTCGGAACAGCGAATGTCATTGATGCCTTCCTCGAGGTTATGCCTTCTGGCTCATCGTTGACCTCCATCGCGAGCATAGCTGGTCATTTGGTCCAGAAGGCTATTAGTTCTGAGCTAGAGAAGCATCCCGCGATATCCCCGAGAGAACAACTACTAGGTCACGATGCTACTGACCTGGGAGGCTCTTCTGAGCTGGCATACGGCATTGCCAAGTGGGGAAACATCGTTCGCGTACAGGCTGCAGTTCGACAAGGACAAAAGAAAGGAGTGAGACTGAACACAGTCAGTCCGGGCGTGATCATGACGGCGATGATACGAGAGGAACTAGAATCGGAGTTGGGAGATCGGATAAGGAAGATGATTCCGGAGACTCCGATCCCCAGAGCCGGCTGCGCGGATGAGATTGCAAGTCTTGTGGCTTTCTTGTCAGGCCCAGATGCAGCCTTTATTAACGGTGCAGACTTCATCATCGACGGTGGTGCCACTGCGGCGTCTCGATTCAGCAATCCAATCCTTGAGTTGGTTTAGCAGAACAGGGTACTCAGAAGATAAGGTATCTTTGGGGATCTTTTTTGGACTATAGTCAGTAATGCTGGACGCAAACCATCTCACCGTTCTCAGTATCGTATTCGGCGTCCCCACGAAGCCAATTTTACTAATTGACCCCGTAGTGATACCACTTGACTTGAAAAATCCCGCATAAATTGCCCTAATTCAGCTTTTGATCACAACCTGCCATCGCATGTTTTAACGCACGGGGAAGAGCCTTAAAGAATCATTTCTTGCCCAACAATATGGGCGACTGCGATTCATTAACACATTTATATTTTACTAGCCAAAAAAATTCTAAGAGCTAATGCCGGCGTAAACGGCCTGATATATAAAGTGCTGACAACATATCCTGTCGATCTAGGCTTGAGCCGATGACATCATGCGGGTCCATCAAACTGTATCTTAACTGTCGTCTTTACAATCAATAGAAAGCACCGTCTTGTATGAACTTACAACCTCTCAGATGATCCCCGCTACGTGCTCCGGATCAGTCGGGCGATGTAGCGATGTTACTATGTCCATACCGGGGCATCGATATAAACTTTCTGGATCAGCTCACACATGGCCAAGCCGATGGCACGTCATAGTTACGGGGTCGGAATGTCGACCATGTGACGGGACAAGAGCACGAACGAGGTCGAGTGCGACTTGGGCAAAATGATTGTTTACGAGGAGAGAAAGAGATTCCTAAGGAAAACTCTGACTTAAGCTATTTACACAATATTCATAAAGTGAGACTATTCATAAAGTATGAAAGTCACATGATCGTTCCCTCACAAAAACGCGATGCAAATGATGTTGAAGAGACCATTTTCATATTTTTGTCGAGCTAGTATTGCCCGCTGCAAAATAAAGATTAGACAATGATACTATTACTTCGCAATTTTCCACTTGCTTAAGTGGGGACCCAAGTCCAGTTTCCATCCTTGTATGTGACTTGGATATAAGTCGAGAAGTGATTCACTGAAAAAGTCCAGACCCCGTCTTCCTCGCTGTAACTCTCAAACCTGGTTCCCTCAACGTTCTTGAGACGCTCGATATGGCTTGTCAGCTGGGGCCCCGTCTCCACCTCTGGCTGACCCCTTCCTCTCATCCACCGTCGAGGCCACGAATGTTCCAACGAAATTAAGGCAGGAACATTCAAGCCCTTGCCAATAGGAGGTTTGTTCCCAACCGAATCGGGGTACACCGTTGCCGATCGAGTTTCAAGTATGACAAGACCACCAAGCAAACCTTCAAGATCAATGTTTGTAAGATCGACTGGGACTTTGAAGCGAATGAGACCAACATTATCACGCCCAATAGTCAAGCCTGCCAGACTTTTGCGCTGATCTTTGTTCATGGCAAGGATATCTTCCTTTGTAGGCCGCATCCAGTACTCCCCGGCGGTTATCGGCCGCTCTGATATGATCTCTCTGTTTTGATCCCTGCCCGTCTCGTCACTCGGCCGAATGATCTGGCTACTTAGACTGAATTGACTGCTAGCCCGTTCGTCGGCTTCAATTGTACGAGTGTCGGGAGCTTGGCTCTCTCTCCCTCTTTCTCTATGAGAGTCAAGTGGCTGGAGTTTTTTTTTGCCAACAAGAATGCCACTGGATGCCGCCGTTTCGATATTCTCTTCTCGAACCTTGTGCTTGGCCAAGCTCGAGAAAAGATCCTTTGCTTGGCTTTTATTTATGTCAAGCGTCTTTAGCTCTCTAGAGATCTTCGAGAGGCTACGCTCGGCTGTGTTCAAAGCCTCTCTATGACTACTGGCTGACGCTGTTCCTTCGCTGGTGAAGTGTTGGCTGGAGCTGATCGCAGACGGGCTCCTGATCAGTTGACGACCTGGGTTTGGGGGAAGCAGCCAATTGGAGCTCTTGGGTCTACCTTCGACTTGGTTTGACGGAGTATTTGACCCATACCGAAACTCAAACTTAGGAGAATTCGGGAGGCTTTGGCGAGACGCGGACACAGAGTGCCTAAATTTAAATCCTGGTGGCATGGATCTACACCTAGGTTTACCCTTGCCGGGCTGGCGGACCGCTAGTGGGCCTCGATCCTGGAGTTGCTGTCCCTCCTCTGCAGTCAAGAATAACCACGGTGCTCCATAGGCCGTAATATCGTCGATTCTAGCGGTCATTTGTGGCTGGGAGGTTGCTAAACTAGCGGCTTGTTGTGGTTGTTGAATGGGCATAGCAGTACCAAAATTCAACGGGGGCTTTCCGAAAACCTCAGTACGAACCGTACCAGCCCGTTCATCTCGTGTCTGCTGACCAAACGATAGGGGAACCTGAGCTTGGCCGACGGAGGTTATCGTGCTTGGGAACTGTGTTGCCTGCTGACCTGTCTGGGCAGTCGCGCCCTCTTTAGTGAACAGCCCTCCGATGGACGATGGTTGGCTTGTGCTTGAGGGCCACGGAAATGCGGGTACTGTGGTAGGTCTCGGACCGAAGGGATTAGAAGTGGTGCTCGTACTCGTCCCGAAGTTGGATCCTGCGGATAGTACGCCAGTTCTTGGCTTTTGAGCTTCAGCAGAGGACATCAATCCTTGTGCTTGCTGTTGACTCTGGAGCCCAAAGGTGAAAGGACTCGACCCCAAGATGCCTTGTGGAGCACTACTGGAAGGGGGTTGTTGAATGAACCCACTTCCCGTGCCTCCAGAAACTCCGAATGTTCTTTGGCTGCTTCCTGGTCTTCCAAAATAGGCCGGCTGGATCCCAGATTGACTAGGTCCCTGACTTTGTTGGCCCCAGAGGAAGGTTTCACCGGTCCTAGCCTGTCCGACAGAGCCCATCCCAACACCTTGACTTGGAACAGAAGCACTTCTGTGCATTGGTGTACCGAAGCCGGTTCCAAAGCTTGAGCTGCCGAACCCAAATGAATCACCATAGCGGTGACCAAGGGCATAGTCTGCAAGCCTCAGCTCTTCCTGTGACAACTTCTTGTATGGACCTTGGAAACAAAGATTTTGATACGAGCTCCTCTGCCTGCTGCCCGGCTCACATTCCACAAATGGAGAGAATGGCTGTTTCGAGGTATCCGTCGCAGGACCCCCCCAACCCCAAACCCCAAAAGGTTGGCCCGGAGCCCCGAAGCTGGAGGTGGTTGGGGTTCTGAATCCTGTCCAGGCATTCGAGCCAAACTTGGCTGTAGTTGGGCTCATTCCTGTACCGAAGCCCGTCTTGTTGGCGCTTGAACCAAAGGTTCCGCCCTCAAACCCAGTCAGGCCGAAAGGATTCACCACATTACGGCTGCCAGAGCCGCTATATGCAGTCGTCCCTGGCGTGTTACTTTGCTGCCCAAACCAACTAGTGCCGGTTGTTGTGGGCAGCGCTCCTAATAGTGTGGACCATTAAGCGGACTATTAGTGCACACTGTAGTTCACACCAATAGTCCATGGACTATTGGTTCAGTGCGCGTCTCCCGGACTACACTGACGGTCCAGTGCAGGCCTCTCGCACTGCACTGACAGTCTAGTGTAACTCGACCAGACTGACCAGTAGTTCAGTGCGAGGGCCGCAGACTAACAGTGGCACTATTAGTGCGCCCAAGTCCTTCCAAGTTTGTGGCCCGCTGCGGAGTACCCAGCCATGACGTACGCGATCCAATGCGTCGAGAGCGCGCGCGGCGGGGTTTCAAAGATGGCGCTAAGGAGTGTTAACAAATACAGCCAGTGTACTGTGTTTGTCTATTGTGACATAAGTATCGCGCAACTGAAACCATCCGTCCTAACAAAACTTACATGTTCAACAGCAACCTAATTTTGTAGCTTTGGAATGGGCTATCTGGCTGATTGCCAAGAAGCATGTACTGTTTGAGAGACGATGAAGTGTGTGTTATCAGTGGCGAACCTCAAGCCGACGAGTTAAGAGATACCAACCCTGCCACTACAGATAGGCAGGGTATCAGGTAACTTCTATCCAATACCTGTAGGGTAGGTTGGGCTGGGATGGCATCGTCCTGAGCGAAGCCGTTGAGATGCCAATCACGCTAATCTCTTTGAGAATCACAGTCAAACTAGTGAGATTATAACCACTGGCTTGATTAGAGCTTCTGTTTGGTATCGATTCCATCATAGTCTGAGATATAATGGCAGATTGTTGTGTCCGGTCGAGTAATGTGTATCGTACCAATCATGGCCACCAGTTCCTGCGTCAACGTGGTTCGATTACGTGACTACGTCCCATCCCAAAGCGCAGATTAAGTCAATTACAGTCCGCCTGAAAGGCTATCTATCGTTCTTATTGAATACAGGAGCCCACAGGAGGCAGCCTGAGAGGCACGGGGAGGGCCCGGCCGTAAGTGGGGCTATTATGTTCAGACTAATAGTGTAAACTACAGTTTGCACTGTAGTTTAGTTTCGACTTTGACGGATGGACCAATAGTTCAGTTTGCGTATCTCAGGCAAACTGGCAGTTTAGTGTAGCTAAGTCAAACGGACTGGTAGTTTAGTGTGACTAAGGCAAACGCACTAAATGAGCAGTTTGAGGCTTTCACACGCACTGGTTGCACTATTAGGAGCCCTGGTTGTGGGTGGGAACGTGTGCGCCGAACTAGACAACCGCGGTCCGAACGAACCGAGGGGATCTGGAGAAGGAGAACTTAGTATCACAAACTCTGGAAAAGGAGTGTTCTGTATTATTGTTTGCTCCCGTATTCCCTTTCATTGCTCGGGACTGTAGACAATCGTACGACAGCTGCATGGGAGGGATCGTACCGCCAGAAGTTCCAGGGAATGATCCTTGTGTGGTGCCAAAAGATGATGGCGTGCTGGAACCGGAAAACCAACTACTAGGACCTAAGATAAGTCAGTCGGTGAAGAATCAGCGTCGCTGCTCTATAGGAGCGGAGAGCAAGCTCGCGGGGCATCGTACGGTTAGAGTTGCGGATGTTCGATCCGAATGCGCCAAAGCCGGGCGGTTGCGGTTGCGGTTGCGGTTGCCCGAACGGGTTCTTACCAAGATCGGACATTGTGAAAAGTGGATTGCGTCACCCCCTGTAGGGAGTGATTTTCAGAACATATATTCGAACCAGTTGCGAGATGGACAGGAGCCATGCTCCTATAACCATGACGCGGAAGTACCTGACAACATACTGAAATTTACCGTCGTAGCCCTCACGATGATTGAGAACACACAGTATAACAAGCACGTGAATACGTACCGATATAGATCTACCTCACAAAAGCGCACTCCATGCTCACATGATGTGAGACGAAGTGGAGCATCTCGTGGACATGTGACCGCAAAATGATCTGACGCCCACAGAGAGCGCAAAAGAAGCTCTTGCGACTCTCGAGAAATGCAGTCATGATATGATATCCACAGTCCATGTTGCGCCATCACATCACATTGACATCTTCCTGGCCCCAGATTGGACCTTTGAAAAACCCTCCCCCTCAAACCGACACCAAAAACGTTGTGGGGGAGCTAGGAAGGTGACAAACCGCAAGCCCGACAGAACACATCACATAACTGGCAGATACATCTAGTGGCGTGATTTATGTTGTACAGAGTGGAACCAGATAAGGGTGAGCCGAACCTTTATCTAGTTGTCGTACATCTACATTCAACTCGTACTGAGTTTCCTTATCATGTGTCCACGCACAGTGACATATCGCAATAGCGCATGACAAAGAGGAGACAAATATTGACGTCAAGGGCGTTTGACACTGTCAGTGCTACGCCTTACCCTCTAGCCTCTGACGAGAGAAGGGTGATGGTCCACTTGGTGGCGAAGGACAGTGGCAAGCCCCCATAGCAGCAGACAAAGCGCGGCCAAAACCAACATGTGCTTAAAAAGGGTTTTGATTGATTTTGATTTGATTGATCGATTGATCGATCGATCAATCGAAACGTAACGACAACAGTCTTCCCTTTCTTTGTTGACGAGCTACACCACAACCTCGAGTCGGGTCTTGGTACCCCCCGGCTGCAGCAGCATGGCTCCGCGACAGGACACCTCATTCCGCTCGGCGGACATGAGCTTGGTGCAGCTTTACGTCTCCAACGAAATCGATCGGGAGGTTGTTACTGCCCTAGGCGAGCTTGGATTGTGTCAGTTCCTCGACGTAAGCCTCCATGCCCACGCCATCTCCTCCATGCAGGTTGCTCATGTGTTATTTCAGCTTAATGAGAATGTCAGCTCCTTTCAGCGAACTTTCACCCAGGAGATCCGACGCCTTCACAATGTCGAGCGACAGCTGCGTACGTCATTGCAACTCTTGGAGAGCATTCAGCCTAATGGAACGGGACGCAGGATACTTCCATGCGCAGATGGGAAAGGCCAGAATCACACTTCGAAAACTTGATCTTGATGCTGAGATGCTTGCGTCGCCCTCTACCTTGCAAATTGTTGAAGTCGCCGAGCGAAGCCAGAAGCTTGAGCAGCGCGTCTCCGCACTGAACGACAGCTACGAGACCCTCAAGAAGGGTGAGCGCGACCTCACTGAATGGCGCTGGGTGCTGAGGGAGGCTGGCAGCATCTTTGATCGCGCTTCCGGCAACCTGGAGGAGATTCGAGTCTCTACACATAACGATGACGTGCAGTTGCTCTCCGACGTTGAGCAGTATAACGCTGCACCTGACGTCGAGAGAGCACTTTCGGGCATGAGAATTGACTTCGTCGCTGGCGTCATCTCCAGGGATCGTGCTGCTACTTTTGAGCGTATCCTCTGGCGAACTCTTCGTGGCAACCTGTACATGAAACAGTCAGAAATTCCGGAGCCGTTGACTGACCCCACGAACAACGAGGCTGTCAAGAAGAATGTCTTTCTCATCTTCGCTCATGGCAAAGAGATTGTCTCAAAGATCCGGAAAATCGCTGAATCCATGGGAGCTGGGGTATACAATGTCGACGAGAACAGCGACCTTCGACGCGACCAGATTCAAGTGGTGAACAAGCGTCTCGAGGACGTCCAGAGCGTCCTTCGCAACACCCAGGCTACTCTTGAGGCAGAGCTCAACCGAATTTCGCAGTCTCTGTCTGCCTGGATGGTGCTCATTGCAAAGGAGAAGGCTGTGTACACCACCCTCAACCTGTTCTTTTATGATCCTGCCCACTGGACCCCCATTGCTGAGTGTTGGTGTCCCACCAATGACTTGCCTCTCATTAGGACTACTCTCCAGGACGTCACCAACCGAACTGGCCTATCCGTTCCGTCCATCATCAACGAGATTCGAACCAACAAGAAGCCACCTACTTATCTGAAGACGAATAAATTTACCGAAGGCTTCCAGACCATTGTCAATGCGTATGGTACACCGACCTACCAGGAGGTTAACCCGGTAATGCCTGCCATTGTTACCTTTCCTTTCCTTTTTGCTGTAATGTTTGGTGACTTTGGACACGCTGTTATCATGATCTCTGCTGCGCTGGCCATGATCTATTGGGAAAAGCCTCTGAAGAAGGTTACATTCGAACTGTTCGCCATGATCTTCTACGGCCGATACATTGCGCTGGTCATGGCTGTTTTCTCTTTATTCACTGGACTCATCTACAATGACGCGTTTTCCAAGTCTATGACCCTATTTGACAGCGCTTGGACGTTCAAGAAGCCGGAGGGCTGGCAAGAACAACAGCCTGTTTCTGCTACATTAAACGACGACGGCTACCGTTACCCGTTCGGTCTAGATTGGGCATGGCATGGAACAGAGAACGATCTTCTCTTCAGCAACAGCTACAAGATGAAGATGAGTATCATCCTCGGCTGGGCTCACATGACCTACTCGCTTTGCTTCTCCTACATCAACGCGAGACATCTGAAGAAGCCCATTGATATTTGGGGTAACTTCCTTCCTAAAATGATCTTTTTCCAGGCTATCTTCGGCTATCTCGTCTTTTGCATTATCTATAAGTGGTGCGTAGACTGGCTTGGCACCGGTGCGCAGCCTCCTGGCCTTCTGAACATGTTGATCTACATGTTCCTGCAGCCTGGAACTCTTGACGAGCGCTTGTACGCTGGCCAAGAGTATGTCCAGGTCATTCTGCTTTTAATAGCTTTTGTCCAGGTCCCGATTCTACTCTTCCTCAAGCCCTTCTTTCTTCGTTGGGAACATCACCGTGCCCGCGCTAAGGGTTACCGCGGCATTGGCGAAACCTCCCATGTTAGCATCCTGGACGGTGACGATGAGAGCGAGGATTTGGTCAATGGACACGGCGATATCTTTGACGATGATGAGGAGGGTGTTGCAATGATTGCCCAGAACATTGGCGAAGACCACGAGGAGTTTGAGTTTGGCGAGGTCATGATTTACCAAGTCATCCACACTATTGGTAAGCTGCCACTTTATCTGCAATCGAGGGGACGTTGAATCCTAGCCTGTGCCTACAGAGTTTTTCTTGAACTGCGTTTCCCACACTGCTTCATATTTACGTCTCTGGGCCTTGTCGCTGGCCCATCAGCAACTGAGTGTGGTGCTTTGGAATATGACTCTTGGCCGTGCTGTGAAGATGGGAGGCGTTGTCGGCGTTATTATGATTGTCGTCTGTTTCTATTTGTGGTTCTTCCTCAGTAAGCTCAGCCTTTAATTTCACTGCCACAAGATGGGCACTGACAAGTTTATAGCGATTGTCATCTTGGTGTGCATGGAGGGTACCAGTGCCATGTTGCACTCGCTCAGATTGGCGTGGGTTGAGTCCTTCTCCAAGTTCGCAGAGTTTGCGGGCTGGCCGTTCACACCATTCTCGTTCAAAACTTTGTTAGAGGAGTCGGAAGAGTTGAAAGACTACTTGGAATGATGTAGTAGATTCACGAGGGGCAATATTTCCCATATTTATTTCTGTAGATTTAGCCCCGTTGTACGATAAGCGTAATGAGCGCGACAGATCATTACCCGTGTAACGGGCTAGGCCCTGCTGGACAAGGCAGTGCCTTGTCCTCTTGCTGGACTGAGCACTGTTGCTCCGGTGACGACTTAGTCTATTTTGTTGAAGGATTTTCTGTCCTTTTCTCTTTCTTTCTTTCTTCCTTCCTCAACTCGAATGTAAAACGCATGAGGACTATATAGCTGTAATTTACACTATTAGAACCCTTCACAACCCGGAGGAGTGGCAGAAGCAGAGGTACGCCAAGATTGTCTTTAGAGGGCTGCCGTAACGGTAGCAACGACCATATTGACACCCTGGCTGAGCGACTCATACGAGTATCCTAAAGCAAAGGAGAATAGAGAGGCAAGGAAAGAAGAAAGCGTAAAGAGATGCCCGTTAGTTCTCGAGTTGGTGTGGATCCCGATCTAGAGTCAATGATGAACCCAAGCCGCCAGGATATAATTTTGAGAGGCTGCCCGGTTCCACCGGGTATGACACAGTTGGTGATACTAATACCACTACTTTATAAGGTAGAACAATTAGCCAAACCAGATTGTAGCCAGTACGGTCAATTCAATACTATCTCTGTGGTCCCAACTGTCCATATTGCAATGATCCAAATGTCGACCAAGGTTCGCAATGAGCCAAGCAAGCCGCCCTAGATGACCGGCTTGGCTTGATTGCGAGATTCTGAGGAAAGCTTGGCTTGCAAAGTCCACGGCTTGGCTTGGCTTGCGAAGCTTGGCAAGCCTTTTGTGTGGACAAGGCCTCAGGCTTCTCAGGAGGTGCCAGAAACGTCCATTTCTCTTCACTCTTGCCCCATTTGAAGTAGGTCATCTAGCTGACAAAGCCCTAATGTCCCCCAGTCGAACGCGCCTAGCCTGGCCCAGTTCTTCAGGCATTGACAACACCTGATTGTTGTGTGGTGTTGGCGGTGCCTTTGCGAAGAAACTTGAAGCTTTGCAAGGCTGAAGCACCTCTCACATTCTGAGGACATGGCTGGAATTGACAAGAAGTCCATTGCCATTCGATAGAGCCTCGGAAACCTTGTCTTCCTCTCAATCCACCAGCTAAACAGACGGCTAGACTCTCCTTCGCTGTCTTCGTCGAAGGGCTGCGGGGGATCAGAAAGGTAGTCCTCGATTTCGTTTGTTGGTCGAGGTTGAAGCTGTTCATAATAATTAGGCTTATATAACCAAGGAGCTTTAGCCTTCTTGACTTGGCTCCTTTCTGGACGATCCTGAATCCCTGCCACTGCTTTCTCAGGATAGAGCTCATTAAATAGAGCCCTGAAGTCTGCCAGAATTCCCTCTTTGCGGTCTGGGCAGTTCATCTCGATCCAACGAGCTTTGTGCTCTGGGTGCAATATCATGGCAGCCCAATAGACCCCAGTCTCTTCCATCAACCGCCTATACTTTTCGAGTTTCTTAGAGGCGTATTCAAGGGAGTATTGGATATACTTCAGGCTTGGATCGGTTAGCTCAAGCTCCTGAGGGGATCTTGTTGCCTCGGGAGTGCTTTGACGCCAATTGGCCTGTCGTTGAGAAGGCAAGTCCACTTCATAATCTTGAAGATAGGTAGGCGGCCCAACATTGCGTTGGGAGCGTCTGGGCATTTCGGACTCGTCTCCTTCAACCACAATACAAGACTGAGCTGAATCTGTGGGTTCAAAGGAAGGCTCTTCCAGAGAGACCTCAGGGATAGGGAAAGGGACGCCAACAAGCCGTTCGCTATAGCGCAATTGCATTTCCTTGAGGTGGTCTTGCAAGCAGTGGGTCGTGGAAATAACCTCTGCGAACCTTGCCTCCCTACCTTCGAAGTGTTTGGTGTAGTCCAGATAGGGCTTCAGAATTTCGAGGATTTCAGAGAGGACAGCCCAGTCCTCACTAGTGAGGATATCTTCTTCAGGGATTCGTTTATCAGCCTTCTCATCACCTCTGCTGATCATACAGAAGGTGGAAATGATGTCGCGAAGCTTGACAGCGCGAAGGATCATGAGGAATATCGAATTCCACCGGGTATCGTTATCCGCCATCACCATCAAGCCCACTACGTCCTTCTCGATTAGCCAAAGCCCCAGCTCTCTCAATATTTCGGAACTGATACGGCCACTGGTAATCCTTAGGAAGGTGTCCCTCCGTTGAGAAGACCTGCGGATGAAGTGGACAGTGTTATGGAGCTTGCCAACTGGCCCATACTTCCTCCACTCCTTGATGAGCCTGATCTCAGTTTCCACGTCAAGATTGTCCTTGTTGTAGGCTGCGTCGAACATGTCGGAAGATTCCCCCTCAAGAAACGCCTTCGCAGAGAGGTTGAGGATGTGGCCGAAGCAGCGGATTCGAACTTGCTTTTTGAAGCGGTCTTGTTGTTGATCTGTTAACTGGGGCTTCAGGGACTTGACAATGGCCCTGACGGCAGTATCGCAGGAGTCTGCGTTATCAGAAGTCAAGAAACCCAGACTTTTGGTGATGTCATAGTCCTTGAAGATTTGGAGCATGACCCGGGCCAGATTCTCACCACCGTGGCTGCCCTCAACTCGCTCCAACGATAACAGACGTACCTGGAGCTTCCCAAACGCGTCAACAAAGTGCGCCATAATGGAAAGCAAAGCCTGGATGTTTGGGGACGTCCAGAGGTCGAAGGTGACGTGGATCTTGCTCCTGGCAGCCTGGATCTCCTTTTTCAGAATTGTCTTGCGAATCTCGTACTCCGTGATGATCCAAGTCTTAATGGTATTAGAGCTCTGAGGGAGACATTGAGTAACAAAGTCCTTGTTGAGAAGCAGAAGCAGTTGGCGGAAAAGGGGGTGCTCAATGCCGTAGAAAGGGATATCTGCGTCAACTATCCAACCTAGTAGAAGATGCTTGAAGGTATCGGCTGCCGTACGAAGGATAGGAGGTTTAGAAGGCTTCGCGCGGCTCTTTGAGAAGTCCAGAGTTGCCTGTCTCTTTGCCGGGGAGGGAGATTCCTCAGAGTCCTCCCCATCTGGAAATATACGGTGGTGAGCCTTCAGATGCCTTCCCGCAGCGCTGGTGGCATCTCCTTCGAAGAGGCGGGTTATTCCAGCTGAATCGCAGTGCCCGCAGACGAAGACATCAATTTGTTGGCCATCTGGAAGGACTCTGATGAGCTGGGTGCCATGCCCTTGGATCCAAGAGCTTCTGCCTCGCTTCCTGTGTAGCCATTCCTCCAGAACATAGTCATGGGTCTTTTGCCGGAAGGTCAATCGTAGCTTAGGGAGGTCTTCGATCGATTTGGCTGCCTTGATATCATCCGAGTTGAGGCGCGCCCTCTGGTCTGCTAGGGAGCCGGCAATGGAACCAGCACGTCTCAGGATCGAAAAGGCATCGTGGCTCGAACCGGATTCGTTCGAAATTTCGGGGGTAGGTGAGGATAGGGCTGAAGAAAGTGTAGACATGGTTTCTTCAGAAAAGCCGAGCAATTGGTGGTGTTGTTGCTGAGTGACGAAGTAGCCAGGTTGTTCAGTTTGGAATTTGGTACCATGGAGTGGAATTTATTTCGTCCGGGGGGGGGAGGGCCAAGGGCCAATACGCTAAGCTATTTCCAGGTTCGGACGATTGGTCTTGATCACCCTAGAGCCCCGAAAGTTTCTGACTAAATGGTCCAACCTCGTTTTAACATTGAGTGACTGGCCTGCTTGAAGGCTAAAATTCAGTTTGGTGGGTTGGAAGGCAGATGAGAAAAACTTGGAAGAATTGCAGGAAATTTGTGGCTGACAAAGGACCAAGGTCAGTAGGAACACCAGAAAACCACTATAATAGGGGTATCACGAGACTTCAACCCCTGCAAAGAACCCTATATGCGGGGAAAACCAGGCCTCAGAAAAAGCTCATGAGCCTCGCAAGCCGGGGTCGAGGAAGGCTTGCTTGGCTTGGCAACTATTTTGTTAGGCTTGGCTTGCGAAGCTTGCTTGGCTTGCAAGCTTGAGCTTGGTTGGCTTGGCTCATTGCGAACCTTGATGTCGACTCCAATTTCACTTGCTTGTATCAACCACGTACCGGCCCACAACCTCGTCCTTTAGCATCATGTCATACACGTCCTGGAGCTTGCTCAGACCTACAAGCTTGTGCGGCGCTTTAATCAGTCCAAGTCGGAAGAATTCAATAGCCTCGGCCGCGTCCTGGCGGTTCCCCACGTAACTGCCTCTGATGTTGACCATGCGGACGACAGTGTCGAAGATCGGCGCTTTGAGGTACCCATGACCTGGCATGCCAATACAAACGACACTGCCGTGCGAACGAACATACTTAGATGCATGCTGGAACGGCTCCTCGTGGGTTGCGAGTAGGATGATAGCGTGGGGTCCAAAACCGTCTGGGGTTGCGGCCTTGACATCTGCGGCAAGATCACCGGACTTTTCGAAATCGATGAATGTCGCTGCGCCCAAATCTTTACAGATTTGGGATTTGTCACTCCCAGTATCGACGGCGATGCTGTGGATACCCATGGCCTTGGCGTACTGCAGAGCGAAGCATCCGAGGCCACCGCCTGCACCAACTATAGCGATGTATTGCCCAGGGCGGACACCGGACTCCTTAAGCCCCTTATAGACCGTAAGACCGGCACAGAGAATCGGGGACACGTCCTCCAGGCTACACTCGGGAGGAATGTGGGCGATGTGTGCTGCCTTGGCGATAGCATATTGTTGGAAAGTTCCGTCGACAGTGTATCCGGACAAGAGAGCCTGAGGACAGAGCTGTTCGTCGCCTTGCAAGCAAAAGGAGCAGTTTAGGCAAGAGCCATTCAACCACTTGATGCCAGCGTGGTCACCAATCTCTATGTTCGTGACAAGGTCACCCTTCGCGACCACGACACCGGCGCCTTCGTGGCCACCGACTAGAGGTATCTTCCTCTTCAGCGGCCAATCGCCCATCATAGCGTGCAAATCGGTGTGGCAGACGCCCGAGTACTTCACATTAACCAAGACCTCATCAGGGCCTGGCATTTGCACGGGCATTTTTTTATAAATTACCACTATCGATCGATATTAGCAACTAGCGTAGCGAGTCGAAAATAGAAAGTAGAATACATACGCCCACCGGACCTTTCGACTACCTGTGCCCATTGTTCCATTGGGATATCAAAAGAAGCCATAGTTGGTGGTATAACTTAAGAGGTAATATCTGGCTTGAAAAGGCTCAGGACCCATGCACCAGTGAGCAGAAAAGTTGGAAGAGGATTTGCTACATTTAATAAAGGTTTGAAATACAACAAACAGAGCCCGCATAGCTGACCATCAATGTTTCACGGATGTGTGCAGGATGCATGAATATGCAGGCAGTCATACGATTGATGACCAGCCACGAATTCAAAATTAAATTGGCTTTAGCATGTGATCTTAAATTTGAGTTTAGCCACAAAAGGCAATGCGGGCAGTCATAGGAAAGACATCATCTGTATGCTCGATTACAACGCCAGTAGCAGAGACTACACGCAAGGTCCCTGGCGCAAAATGCGTGGGATCGATACTAATGGTCGCAAATTTCGTGGGACAAGGTTTGTGATCACTCGGTATCGAAGACCCCGTACACCTTACGCTTATCATCGCTTAGCTCCGAGGTATATAGACCCCACTGGTAATATAGCAGCATACACAGAGGACAGGTATAATGACGCCTCAGATACCATGATGCAATACACTCCGCATCGCCTCCAAGCATATAACACTGTATATGGTAACGGGAGCGGTTAGTTTGAGATGAGGAATTAATCCTCTCATTTGGAGATTGAGTTGCGTACCAGGTGACAAACGAGTCTGGCCAAGCCAAATGTTCTCCTGTGTCTTCAAGTTTCATCCATTTTCATTTGCTTATACGTTCTCGGCGGAGCTACTGAGTCTAGCCGCTGCAGATCGCTAGTCTCGGAGTTTGTGCTGCTTGACGACTGTGTATCCTCAGGATCCTCTGGGCTCGCCAGCTGGTTGCTTCTGGCGATCAGATAATTATATCTTTCCCATCGTTAGCTCTAGATACACAGGGACCCCTTACTCGTTAGTTGGGGACTACATATGCGTACAGAATAAGAATGAAACAAACGAAAAAATAATCCCGATCAAGATTAGTGTGCCGAGCCATTGGAGCCATCCCTCTATTGGCTGCGTTGGCGTTTGGTCGTTGGGGCCAGTTGGGGAATTATTCGATATCGTCATGATTACTTGGCGATTAATCAATAATATCACCTGTTCTAGCTTCGGCGAAATGCACAAAGCCCGTGGAGTCTAGATTTATGTGCTTTACGGCTTGGTGTATACAGTATGTCAGGTGCAAGTGGTCTGACCTTTTTGGCTGACGTTCCGGCATCACGTCTGGGACGTGCCATAGACTCGGCTTTGCCTGACCTGATCTAGAAAGTTTATATCGATTGCCACTAGTACGTGGGTAGATGGTATCATCATGTCACCCGGCCGATCTGAAGCGCACGGCGGAGGTTTTGTGAGAGTTTGGTAGCGCCAATTATCGCGCCACTTCGTAATAGAGAGAGGAATCATGCTGGATCGTTACACCGCCCGCAGGAAGCCCCGTCAGTCACAAGCCGGACATGCGCATCTCTGGACATACGGATGCCTGAGGTGTAAGAACCGGGGCAGGCTGCTACATGGTTGGAAGAATAGTACGTTGAGGAAGATATAGCAGACTTTTTCGCTCCACCTGGAAGATGACGGCTTCCACATAATATAGCACACTAGAAGCTCATCGTTCAATTACCACGTATAACATCACTGTTATTGAGAATCGCCATGGTATTGCCAGGATGATCGAATTACGGAGATGGAACATCTAGGCAATAAGAAAGTCTGACCAATCGCCTCCCGCGACCCGAAAATGACACCTCACCACAGATCGGTCGCCAGTTCTTCCACATTTGGGTAGATCATTAACAATACTTCTTTGATAACTTGATGACTCCTTGTTAATACTCGCACTAATACCCCATAGGTGCTTGAAATTTCCAAACGTGATGATGCAGCCATGACCCTTTAAAAGATTTGAGGATAAAAGGCCTCGCTTACTCCTATCCCTCGTTACTTGCCCCCGCAGCCTACTGGCTGGGGCGTACTGGGTACCCGTAACGGGGCAGCAGGGGGGTAGTATTTGCCGCCGACCTCGACGCGCGGCTTGCAGGTGCACCTTTGGTCCTCAGGTACGCCGGTAATGACCGACGGGATATGCCTGCCGCAGCCGCCCCAAGTCCGCTTCCCTAGGCAGGTCGCTAAGGCCAGTTGCTCCTCTCCAGGCTTGGCCGCAACGAAAACGTAACTTACAGAAATCCAGGCAAGTTATTTCTATGCACATCTTCGGGAGGCTGGTGTGAGGCGATTGAGTGTCTAGGTCTTGTGAGGATTATAGAAGTTGACCCGGATGCCGACTCGAGGTGTTTTTTCCTTTTTTTTTTTTTTTTTTTTTTTTTGGCAGAGTTGATTTGTCTTGAAGGGATGATATAAGGTCGACCGGGGATGAAGAGGTTTATAAATGAGACGATCATTAAGTTGAGTACACGAGTGGTTCCATTCTAGGGCTTTGGAGGATATCAGCCGTGTACAACCTGCCCTTGTCCCTATTCGCAGGGTCTTTAGTAGCCTGAACTGCAGCATTGAGATCGTTGTACCGAGATCGTAACGTTTTGCAAAATCTAATCCTCTGGGAGTGTCAAACGATATTCCGCCCCAGCCGAGGAGGCGTCCCGACCCACTTGGGCACCATTGTTGTGTATATAACTGGGACCTTCGTCCTCTTGACTTGAGCAGTGAGTAAGGCCAAAAAATTGACTCTCAATAACCCTCACATGCATGGCATCTTCCTACTCACTTTGACAAACATTACATCTTTCAACTTGATAGGGTTAACTTACTAAAAGCGCTTATACCTGGGATTGGCGTCACGGTATATAATTGCAACCCTTTCCACGTATAAAACGAGCCATGGTGGCGGGAAGTCGCGTTGTTTGCGTTCGTTTGTTTGTTTGTGTATTTTTCGCCTGGGAGGCCGTAACGAAGCCAAATGTCCTGATGGAGCAAAAGACGTGCTGAGCTGACTAGGCACGGGGAAACCCTCATCCTCCGCTATCCGGCATTTCGTAGGCTCTAAGGCGCTCTGTGTCAAGCCTGTCGCCCTGAGTAACCAAGTTATAGCTTGTAGTCGAGTGTCGTGGCGGCCGGGAAACCCCTTCGGAAGGGATCAGAGGCCGGCGTGCGGCTTGCCTTCAAAGGGGAAAAGCCCACCGCCATTGGCGTCGTTGATTGGAAGGAGGTCGCTACTGATGCCGAAGGCATCGTCTTCCGATATCTAAGGCATCCCGGTTCTGAGGCATCGCCATTAGATCCGACAAAGGGGGGGCTAGACGTAGCAGGAAGGGACTGAAGATAGATCCAAAAATCGCCAACAGGAATTATCCATTTAGAGAAATAGAGCCCTAAGATATTCGAAGAACCTTAGCTGTAATATTCCGCAGCGTAATAAGAAGCTTCAATCACGATAAACCGGTGAAACATATCTTACACAATCATACGCCATGTTCTGTACGCTGGAACCTCCTCCATTCAGGTATCCAAGGATTCCCCATCGGCGTTAGAGGAGGGTTATAGTAAGTAATAGGATGCCTAACACTATCGCCTTCTCGCTCCAGCCTTTCGGTAGCATTTGCAGAGGGGAAACCAATCCTAGACTTTCCACCACCGACAAAGAAAATCATCTCCTCGCGGTTATGCCTCTCATATAAGGTATCAAAGTATAGCTTCGTCATATTTGCCGTCTCGCTGGTGCAGTGATCGATAATCGGCCTAAACGTTCCTGTACGTAAAATCATACTCTCCAGAGACAGCTCGCAGACTCTTGTCCGCTTAACGAAATCAAGCAAGTCCACCTCCCTAGCGGAGATCCCACGAAGTCTGCAACGCTTCAGGATGGGCAACCTATCCAGTTCGACTACGCGCTGTAGAATCTTTTCGCAGCAGAAGCGATCAATCAAGTTCGAATAACCCGTGGGAACCTGGAGGTAATGTACTTCGAAGTTCTCAAGTCGGTTACACAGCGGGAGGAGTCGAGAGAGACCGACAAAGTTACTTTCATCTCCAGCTTCTGCTTGTACCTCGGCTGCATCCTTTCTTGGGGGTTGCCCCTCGTCATGCTCATCCTCTTGTATGTCTTTGTGAAACCTGAAAACTCGAGTGGAGATGCTTATTGATAGTGACCTTAGAGATGCAAACGACTCGGCAAGACCGGAATCATTCCAGTCGATTATATTGAGTTGCTCGCAGGCCAGGCTGCATCGCTCCATATCCGGATCGTTGAAGACGTTGAGACTCTCAATTCGCAATTTGCTTGCAGCCAACGCACGTAAAGCCGTGTCGAATGTGTAGATCGTGCACTGCCACACACTCTTCCGCATGGGCGGCCAGGGTCTTGCATCGACAGGTAAAATTCTTTCTTTATCGTTACGGACGATGGCTACCCTCAGCGTGAGCGACGGAAGACTTCCATTCTTGCTGTATTTTGCAAGCCCGTTAAACGCTTGGCTAAGTAGATTTATTTCCCGCGCCCTCCTTATTTCCTCATTTCGCGAATCGTTTCGCGTCCTCGGTTTTTTTTGGTTTCTAGTTTCGTTGGCAATACCTATGAGGTATAATTCCTGGACTAGAGATCGAAGCCCCCCAGCCTGGGTACCCTGAGCGAATGTCCGTAGAGCATCGGCTGTGACGTCGACATGTTTCGACCGAAAGAACGTCTTGAAACGATAATGAGAAGATTTCACGGCCAGAGATTTGCAGCTTAGGCGAAGATTGCAAATATCGTCCAGGTCTAGCAGATTGACAATGCATTCGACAACGAGATCTGGACAGCTTTCCAGACCGAATGACATGTTGCAAATGCACGTCAAGCTAGGGTGAGTGAGATGATGGCGGTCTGGGACTTGGCCCTTGAGCTGAGCAGGTTAAGGGAAGAAAGGTCCGCACGTGATGCCAGCGGCTGTCAAGCTGGCAAAACGGCACGGCCTTAACGCTTGGCGGATATAGGTTCAAGATTAGGTTCGGGGATTGCTTCCGCCAGTGACATACATGACGAAGCTGGCAAGAAGGTTAGTATCGACCCATTGATACATCCTATCGACACATCCGTGATGACGCAACGGTGATTTAACATTGGGCACTGCACCGACTACCCTAATATACACCAATATGACCAGAATCCTCCAGCTTAGAAAAGACCCAATTCTGCGGATTTGACCCGTCGTTACAAGCACGAGATTTATCCATTTCAATGAGAATGTAAATTCAACCAGTGACCGACAATTTGAACAACATTACAACTAAAAGGACGACTCCGATGGAATTCGACGTTGGTATGGATGATTTAAATGGGGTCACTCAGAACTGCCAGATAAGGGTGAGCCGAGCCTTTATCAAGTTGTCGTACAGCTACATTCATGTACTTATACAGTACTAAGTTTCCGTATCATGTGTCCACGCACAGTGACACTTCCTTGCAATAGCGCATGTCAAGGGTCGTTTGACACTGTCAGTGCTACGCCTTACCCTCTAGCCTCTGACAAGAGAGGGTGATGGGAACACAGAGTTGCGGAAAAGTCCACTTGGTGACGAAGGAGGGTGGGACGGCACTGCGGACATAGCTGCAGACAAAGCGCGGCCAAAACCGAAATGCGCTTAAAAGGGGTTTGATTTATTTTGATTTGATTGATTGATTGATTGATCAATCAAGACGTAACGACAACGGTCTTCCCTTTTCTTGTTGACGAGCTACACCACAACCTCGAGTCGGGTCTTGGTACCCCTGGGCTGCATCGCATGGCTCCGCGACAGGACACCTCATTCCGCTCGGCGGACATGAGCTTGGTGCAGCTTTACGTCTCCAACGAAATCGATCGGGAAGTTGTTGCTGCCCTAGGCGAGCTTGGATTGTACCAGTTCCTCGACGTAAGCCTCCATGCCCACGCCATCTCCTCCCTGCAGGTTGCTCATGTGTTATTTCAGCTCAATGAGCATGTCAGCTCCTTTCAGCGAACTTTCACCCAGGAGATCCGACGCCTTCACAATGTCGAGCGACAGCCGCGTACGTCATTGCAACTCTTGGAGAGCATTCAGCCTAATGGAACAGGACGCAGGATACTTCCATGCGCCAATGGGAAAGGCTAGAATCAAACTTCGAAAACTTGATCTTGATGCTGAGAGGCTTGCGTCGCCTTCTACCTTGCAAATTGTTGAAGTCGCCGAGCGAAGCCAGAAGCTTGAGCAGCGCGTCTCCGCACTGAACGACAGTGACGAGACCCTCAGGAAGCGTGAGCGCGACCTCATTGAATGGCGCTGGGTGCTGAGAGAGGCTGGCAGCTTCTTTGATCGCTCTTCCGGCAACCTGGAGGAGATTTGAGCCTCTACACACAACGATGACGCGCCGTTGCTCTCTGACGTTGAGCAGTATAACGCTGCGCCTGATATCGAGAGTGCATTTTCCGGCATGAGAATTGACTTCGTCGCTGGCGTCATCTCCAGGGATCGTGTTGCTACCTTTGAGCGTATCCTCTGGCGAACTCTTCGTGGCAACCTGTACATGACACAGTCAGAGATTCCGGAGCCGTTGAGTCTAGAGCGGGACGGTGAGAGCCGAGAACATACGATGCCCAGAGCACCCATCCAACGCACCCATCCACACAATCACATGTACACTACAACCGGCAGACAAGTCTCCTCAGTTCTATCGTATCAGCACGTCCATCACTTCACATAGCGTCCTCACCTACGACGTAAGATGGGTATCTAGCTCTATCACAATGAATAAAGTGACGCAATTTTTAGCCAATCGTAGCCACATGCCTGCCGCAGACATTGGCCTTGTTTTTAAGCGATCGGCCGCGCTCCTACACACACAATCCCCATCATACTACATGTACATCTGTACAAGTGTGGGTAAATACACCTTAGCTTGTCCGTCGTGAGGGTGGCCTAGCAATGCAAGGTAACCGGCCGTTATCACCAACACGGCCCCCTCATGTTCCTGGGTGGCATGGAAATGCAACCCAAGCTTGTGGGTTATCACCGACATATCACCAACTAGTTTTGGTGATTCCTTCTGGCCTCCGCAGCAATGCGACTTAGTTGTCGCTTTTCAGCTCGTGAGAAATTCTATGTCACATTTTGGGATCATCGTAAGATGCCTGGAACAGCTTCCAGACCGGCTGCTAGGAATCCGGTCCGGACCGGGTCTCAGACCCCCGGCAGGTGGGTCCTCCGGTCTCAGACCTCCGGACCTCGGTCCCAGAGGCTGCCGGAGGGCGCCCTCAACTTCATCTATAAGACCGTTCCCTAGCCCTTCGTTAGATAGGAAATCAAGAGCTTTCATCATCATCATCCTGATCCTATCCACTCAGTGTGACATTCTATGTTTTTATAGGCCCGAGAGCACATCGAGTTGCTAGCCAGGAGAGGCTACCTTCGGTCTTTTGCTATCCACAAAAAGTTCAATTTGTCCCGCCACGCCCTCGGCTGCAAGAACCTGAGCTGTCGGCTGCGATGGATGATTTACAAATCGGGCAGGCGTCATGCCGTCTGTAGAACGATTTACTGATACATCGCGAATGATAGACATGCCCGCAGTGTAGATACCGGTATTTGCATTTGAAGTTTGCAGTTGATTTTGCTGATGTTGTAAGTGTCACGGGCCAGATGAGATCAACTCAAGAGGTAATGCCTCTGTATTGCAAGAATACTACGATGAAGAGGAAAGAGAGAAAGCGGGCAGGCGCGTAGACGCGTAGACGCGTATGATAGTAGTAGTAGTAGTAGTAGTAGTAGTAGTAGTAGTAGTAGTAGTAGTAGTAGTAGTAGTAGTAGATTTATTACGCCCGGGAGAACGGATCTCATAGGGCCATGGAAAACGCTATGCTATTTACATTTCTGCCACCTTCAATCCTGACCACAGAGTAAAGCCCCACTTTCTACGCGAATGATAGTCCCTGTGGCCTGCCCCGTGCGCCCTAGCTACGTATCGACCCCACCCTGGGTCCAGCACTCCGGACGTTCCCGTCACAGTAAGTGGGGTGATCAAATAAGGGGTTGATCCGTTAATGGGGTAGCTGACTTACTGCAAGAGGTCATGGAGTTGCTTTTCTGCCCTATAGATCCAGCCATCATCTGCTCGGTCGGCCCATATTTACTTAGTCTTCGTTAGCTGGAGTTAAGGGTGGAGGGCCACAGTGGCCACATAGACCTCAGTATCGTCGAGCTTCGTATAATACTCGTTCGCTTCTGCCATCCGAGCTGGATGTTCAGCTTTAGGTCCTCGTCTAGATCTGCCTAAATTGTTCTATTAGGCGCTCTAGATGATTGAACAGAAACTCGTAGCAAGGTAGCACCGCCCACATAAGGCCATTGCGGCCCTGCCGTAGATACCCTTCGAGTTTATCTGTGACCAGCATCAACGGTTTTAATATCTACATATATCTTGTGACCGTGACCTAGTCCTCTATTGACATCGTATCCTCCACAATCAAGGGTTTAGTTGGAAGTTTGATAGGCTTATCTGCCTCTAACCGTCTAATTTTCTGTGTAATCTGCTCAAACCGTGTATTTTGTGCACGCTCCTCCTTCTCGGAATAGGCGTCTATTGGGGCTCCAATGAGGACGGCCGTCTCGAAGGCATAGTAATGTGAGTTCCACCGAGTATCGTTCGTTTAAGCTCGGCAGGGGGTCGGCAGGGCTAGGGGCGAGCCAAGGTCTAGGCGCGCCTAAACGATCTGTGGCCTAGTGATGACCGTCGGGCATAACGAGAGCTTGATATATGATGGCATTATTGAACGAAGGAAGCATATGCATAAGATTGGAGCAATTTTTTTGATATGAGAGTAGGAGAGGACTACGGGACTAGCCTTCGTTTTCCTTTTTGTTTTGGGATTGCTCACCTCAACTCTGGAGCATCGGAGTTTCAGATTCTCGGTACTGCATATCGTCATCACTGCTCAATGACACGGATACAAGGGAATCGATCATTCTTTTGAGCTGACTGCTGCCTTCCGCAGCCGTCTCGTGCTTTTTGGTAGTGTACAGATTTGATGCCTTTTTAAGGGACCATTCCCTTCCCCTCTCATGACAATACTCTTTCTCTCGCCACGAACAGTTTTGATGTCCCAGGTTTGTTCCATAATTCCTCGTTCCATTTTGGTCCCTTTCGAGGCTTCCTTCCCGAGCGGTGTTCTGTTCCCGCAATCCCTTCTCCACTTTGATCCGCCCCGGCCGTTGAATAAAGAATAAAGTGTTTTTGCTTGTTTTTGCATTGCTTTCAATTATCGCTCCGTGAAACCAGGCCCAGTCTTGACGCCGTCGATACAAGCCATGTGCATGGCGTGCTTGTGGTCTTCCTTGCTCCAGCTCTGGCGGCGCTCAAAGATGGGCGTCCAGCTGTTTGTGCGGCGCATGGCGCGGGCGGCGTCGGCTTCCGCGTGGGCGCTTATGCGGCGAGGGCGGTCTGATGGAATAGTTAGCTGATGGTATAGATATGAGATGAAAGATGGGATGCGGACCTTTGGTGCCGAGAGGATCAAAGGAAATTTCGGGTCCGGAGGAGCATTCGTAGCAGGGGGGTTCTTCGGTGGTGGGCTCGTTTGTGATTTCGCCCTTGATTCCTTTGTCCGTCATTGTGGATGTGATGATGAGTGTGTAATTGGTTGATGATAGTGTGTATGTGTAGATTGTAGGTTTAACGATGAACTATCTTGTTCTGTCAGTATCTCGTGTCCAGGAGGAAGCAATCTCGGCTTACTTGAGCGACGTCAATGGTTATAAATGGCAACTTCCCTCTTCTTTACAAGGCTCCCCTATACCCCTTTAAATATAGAATGCTACGATATTCCCCCCTCCATCGTGATATTGTACATTAGTAAAAGCACATGCTTGCCATCATTCCCGCTGCAAGTCTCAACTCTGCGTCACCTGACGCGCCCGGTTACAGGCACCACAACAACTTTCGCCACCTTTGGCGCTGATATGCAAACGATTATACTGGTTGAGCCAAGAGGGAGAGAAAAGTAACAACTCCCCCCGGAATCTTCCTTGATACAGAGAGAGTACATGGCTTTATGCAGCAAGTCTCCTGTTTTTAGCGGTACATTCAAATGGCATGTTCTAGTTTAATCTATGAGAGCTTAAAATTGTGCCACACCTGCGTGCTGTTGGGAAGAGTTGCGTGACGCAAGCGTCATAAGCGGGGCTGCACGGCGTCTTCTTGCTAGTGCTATTGGATGGCAGAAACAATGTGAGCCAGTGGCTTGACTGAACTTGGAGGAGGTCGCCGAGCATCGGAAAGGAATGGCATACATATGGGAGCATCGTGACCATGTCGTGGGAGCATATCGGTCGGCACTTTACATCCGAGGTTTTCCTTTTTTCATCTTGAGTGCAAGATACCAATTGATTGATCAACAGGATTGATTCTATTGATTCCTCTCGACTCCTATATATGATCGCCTGCTGAAAACAGGAAGACCCAGCCTTTGCATCGCCATGAATATGCTCGCCCTTTGGAAAATGGAAAATACTGCCATTCTAGTGGACAGTCTCAAATGCCACCCTTCACTCAATCATCCCGCTACTTGACTCTAAAATGGGGAAATAGAAAAAGACTCTGGATACGCTCCAGACCTGCGTATATCGATATCCACCGAAATTCTGGCCCTTATATCGATATCCAGATAAGTGGGAGAAATTATCTGGATATCGATATATCCAGGTAGATATCCATACAGCCACATAGCCACTTTAGCAAGGTTGATATCCAGATAAACCACATATAATTCTTGTGGGCTAGAAGAAAGAACAAGAAAGTACCCAATCTAGAAAGTCTTCTGCCTCTGTCTCAACACTAAATTCAACAGCAACGCTCGAAATAACGCCCGTGCCACCGTGAGACCTGGGTACGATAATACCCTCGCGCATCCAGTTGCCCACACACTCAACCTTCGCCAGATTCTTCCAGGTCATGCTCTCTCTATCCCATGATAGCGTACGCCGTGCCGATGAGAAGTGAGACTCAACATCAGATGATTCAGGAGGTATTAAGAGTGTAACGGGTCAGGCCCACTTGGCTGGCGGCTCTGCCGCCAAGCCCGAATTCTTCTCCACAGCGCCATCGAGTTGATTCTCGAATCTTCTATATTAAAGAAGATATAACGCGTCTTCACGCTCCCAGTTTGTATTTAGATTCTTTCCTTTCTTCATCTTGAAAGTAAACAGCATAGGGACTAGTTAGTTGAATCAACTCGCTAGAGGCCTTTCACAAAGAGGATATCAATTGCCATGCTGATAACCGCGAATATGCTTTCCTTTGATCTCGATGTAGCCACCACTCGAGAGGAGAGCCAGTTATCTGGGTCGGTGGTGCATCAACAAACGTTTCGAAGTCATCAGCGTCGTGGATAGGGCCAGTAACAGCAATATCGCTCAACAACTCATCCAGCTCGTTGCGCTGCCTCCCAGATGAAGAGGACACATTGTCGCATACCAAGCCTACCCTCTATAGAAGCTGCCTGGCATGCAGCTGCTACTACCTGGATGCAGCTGCTATTGACTGGTATGCAGCTGCTATTGACTGGTATGCAGCTGCTATTGACTGGTATGCAGCTGCTACCGGTATTACCCAGCAACCTGTTGGTTTTCATTTCTGTATAAAGGGCTGCACAACTCAGTGCATCCTGTCATTGAGTTCTTGCTCCTTAGATAATTCTCATCAATTGACTGGTGCCATCAATGATCCTTGTGGAAGCCAATTGTCTGACACACATCTAGAGGCACCAGCAAGGATTCAGGGATTGGCGCGGCATTATATTCATCTAGCCAAATTTGCTGGGTCTTTTCATCATCTAATCAATTGATAAGATCTTTTCAGCCAATCAGAGAGCGGTATTTAGGTGGATATCAATCTGGATATCCATTTAAGAGGCAGAGAGTTATATCGATATATCCAGATAGCAGAGTTGATATCGATACCATATCGTATCCAAATACGCAGGTCTGGTGCCCAGGAAGCAGCACCGCGACTGGCCACCGAGCCAATGCCCCATTAGCTTGAGGCATCTCGACGACAGACCTGACACAGCTTCGTCGAATGTACACGTACTGGAGGAACCGTGCTCGGTCCGCGAGACGGGCATCATGGACCAGGATGGAACTGGAGGAGACAGCGAAAGGGGCCTCAAAGCAGTGTCATGACGCTATCAGACAACAAAAGAAGAAGCACTGGAACGAGTTTCTGGCGGACAATGATAACATCTGGGGGGCGGCTAAGTACCTGAAGTCTGGCGATGATACCTACCTAAGCACGCGTCTAGCCAGGAACCGCTCGCCTTCCTTCTTAACCACCCGCGCCGATGCTACACACTACTCTTCCCAAGCCAGCCAACCTGGATCCTCTTTGGTATTATCTTCGCTCTGAACTTCGTCGACACATTACTCATCATCGTCCTGGATCTGGACAACCCAGAAGTAGCCGCACTTCCCCTTGGCCCACGGATCCTAGCAGCTATCTTCCAGGCCGCCTCTTCACGCCATACAGGTACCTCCACCTTCAACTTGGCCAACGTAAGCCCAGCCGTACAATTCAGCCTGTTGGTCATGATGTACATTGCTATCTTCCCTATTGCCCTCAGTATCCGCGCATCGAATACGTATGAGGAAAAGTCGCTAGGAATTTGGGAAGACGAAGATTCACTAAATGAGAAAAATGGCGCGGCATACCTAAGGACGCACATGAAGAATCAGCTGAGTTTTGATCTCTGGTATATCTTCCTCGGTGCCTTTTGTGTATGCATCGCCGAATCTGATAAGATTGCGGATGTCAATGAGCCGGTAAGGACGTCGCTGCCACTTGCGCCAGGATGCGGGCATCTAACAACCGCTAGGCCTTCTCCGTCTTTTCAGTGCTTTTCGAAGTCACTTCTGCTTAGTATGTGCCTCCGGACCCTGACCAAATTATAAATTTAGAGCAAAATCCTAACTAGTACTTCTCTTTAGCGGAAATGTCGGCCTTAGTCTCGGCTACCCGACCGTTAGCACCTCACTCTGCGGCATGTTTGGAACTTTCGGCAAGGTTGTCATCTGCTTCATGATGATTCGGGGACGCCATCGCGGCCTGCCTTACACGCTCGACCGCGCCATCATGCTGCCCGACGAGCGTATATCGAGGACAGCGCCGAGAGCGCTCAATAACAATCAGTCTGGGCCATCAACAGGCCCATCAGAGCTAGATGAGTAACTCTGTTATCATTTCCTTTCGTCAAGTTGCGAATTCTGAGCACTGGAGTGGGGTTGTAGATTACTTTGATGCTCGCTCGAAGGTAAAGTACCTCTCTGGTAAGGAGTAACGGAGTTTATAACTCGGCTGGCTGTTTGGGCCGGACCTGGCGGCTTGGATGGCGGGTAAATTGTGTATAGTAGGATCAGAGGACCAGGGTCTAAATATCAATACATCTTCACCGAGTTTATTGAGACGTCCAGAAGAGGAGGTTCGCAAAGGCTAAGTAAGATCCTCGGCGAACCTGTTATTAATACTGATCGGTTTCTCACATACTGGATTCAGATATCCGGAGGCGGCGCATTGGCCGCTACCGAGCTTGCCGATCCATCCCGTGTGCCGTTTCTTGGATTGTTAGGAGAGCCGGTCGCGGAGGGGCCATTCTACATGAAATTATCGCTTCAACTGCTGCGAGCGGCATTGAGAAGCTTGTTGAGTCGCAGAGCTGTCGCCGATCTGGATTGATGAGCAATTCGCCGAGAAACTCCGGCGTGGTTGCGCCGTACGTATACTAGTCTCAACTCCAGTATAATCAATCAGTGCGTCTGCAAGCGTTGCAAATACGCGGTGAGCCTGGACTTGGATTCCGGCTGACTGCTGGGCTTGCGGTAATGGTCCTGAGGAAGTGCGTCTTGGGTTGTGGAGGAGACGAAGCTCCTAACACTGTTTGTCGATTGTGTACATCAACCGATGACATATCCCAACAGTCAAAGGTGTCGTCGACGCTACTCTTGTGAGCATTCGAGTCCAGCGATGCTGCTCTGAGCTTAGGGTTGGAGTTTGTTGGGTTTGAGAGAGGGCGTTGCGCTGGGCCGGGTGAAGACCTCACCGGCGAAGCCAACTTGTTGAGCAAGCACTCACTGGGGCTACCAGACTCTTCTACAGATTGTCATTGAATAGCTCTGTAAAAAAGCCCATGGAACTTTCGATTATGCCTTATCAATTCCCCCGCTTGTAAGCAAAAGAATTTGTTTTCTTCTCTGTGTGGTCTTACCGTAGTGAGGCCGACGTTTCCCAGCCCAACTTCGACGCTCTCCCTGCCTCGGTTGTCGTTCAACTCCTTGTTGGTAACCATTCGGGAGAAGGTCAGTGTATTTAATCAGCAGGAAGATAGGAATCAAGGGTGAAATAAAAATCTAGCGACAGGATGATACGTGATCCCAGGAGACCTTTCCAACATTGATGACTCATAAAATGGGGAAAAGTCGCCCCTCTCACTGAAGCCGGCGGTGCCAAGGAATGCTCAGCCGCCAAGAGATATCCACGGGTGCAGGGCACCAATGATTTGGGTGTGGCACGGATGGAGGTGGTCGTCAGATTTTGCCACTACTGGGGCTAGAGAGACTTGGCGAGAATACTGAGAATTGGTAGGCACCGTGATGCACCGTACGACCGGCGTGATTTGGGTGGCAATTACAAGGGCGCTCAACAATCAACACAGTGTTTGCCAAGGCTATACGCCAAGGTGATGATCCTAGGCGGTTGAAAAAAACCCCTGCCCAAGTGCCCCCGTGCTTTGCGAAGACGCTGTTGCGAAGTGGACGGAGGGAAGGGCTTGTTTGGGTTTTAGAGAAGCGGTAAAGATGAGGGAAAAGAGAGAGAAATCTTAGACGGAGAGCAATGCTAGATTTGTGGGCTACTAGAAGAGAAGATTGCCATGACATGTGCTCAAAAAAAAAAAAAAAAAAAAAAGAGACGATCGGAAGAAAAACATAAAATATTCACTAAAAGTTGGAGGAGGGGCCAATGGACTCCCACGGAGTACTGCGGAGGTCACTGCAACCGGGCCGTGAGGAGGGAATGATGAAGACTACTGTTTGGATACAAGTTAGGACTTGGCCCGACAGAGCAGGGTTGAAGATTGTCACTCCTAATCGAATGTGACCCTGCAAACCGCCGGGTACTCGATAAGTCCTTCCATGTCCACATACCAGCCCGGTATCAGTGACGCAACCAAAATGCCGCACGGACATGCAGCACGGGGTCTTGTCCCAAGAAAAAGCAATTATGCCATTAGCCCTGGGCTAAGTACATTAAGTACTTCTCATGTTTATCTGTTCACTAAGGCATGCTAAGTTTATAGTGGACTGAAGGCCCTGGCTGGCAGTGTGACATCCCTAACACCCTTAAATCTATAGAGGACCTAGCGGATGGCTTATCATTGCTGGGCAACTCAGCTTGTATCTTTAGGTGTCTGACAAGGATTAAAGGGATGTGCGAGATTTGAGATTCATGCCGGCATTTGCACCGAGTATCGCCCGAAGGAGAGGACACGACAAGAGAAAGGCTGGTCAATGGCACGACAGCTGGTGTAAAAAGAGAGCCTCTGAACATTGAGGGCGTCACTGTCATCGGAGTATCACAGAATCACCGTTGGGTCGTCATCCTCCAGGAACACACCCAAACCGAGGACCGCTTTTTCCTCTTTACACTGACCGACCTTGCTTCTCCACAGTTTAGGTTGCTCCGCCTCCACTCATCTCCATCCTTGGTGCCCTTTCTTCATGTGCACGCCGTTCTTGGCGGTGGGGGGCGAAGCCTTAGGGTGGGTAGGTTGAGAAGAGGACCTTTGGAGAGAGCACATTGGAGGAGATCCTTGGCAGGAAACAACCGTTGGAGCATGATAAAAAAGATATCACCGCCCTCTTGTCCTTCCAGCCTTTCCTTACCTTTTTCACCTTTCTCTCCAAGTTCCCATTACCATCTCTTGGCACAGTCACACTTTGACTCCTCCATACACCCAGGCAAAGGAATAGTAAAAGAGCCACTTAAAGTTCCGTTATTTTGTCTCGCTTCACTAATCCTCTCACCTCACGGTGATAACACACCCGCCCACCATGCGCCAGCAGTTGATCGCGGAGGCTCCCCATGTCTCCGGCCAGTCCAACACGCCCATGACGGCACCCGCCCACGCCCTCACCTCCGATCAGGTCGCCGAGCAGCTCCAGGGCCACACCGTCAATGGCCTCACCATGGTCGAGGCCAAGAAACGCCTCGAGGACCACGGCCGCAACGAGTTCGGCGAGCAGGAGGGCGTTCAACTCATCAAGATCCTCATCGGCCAGATCGCCAATGCCTTGACTCTAGTGAGATGTCCACCATTCCAGGCCCCATCGAGCGAGATTCCGCCGGCTTTAGTCGGCGACCCTCGGTGGTGAGCCTCCACGGGAGATTTGCTGATTTGCCGGTTTACAGGTGCTCATCCTCGCCATGGGGGCGTCCTTTGGTATCCAGTCCTGGATTGAAGGCGGCGTCGTTGCTGCTGTCATCATCCTTAACATCGTCGTCGGCTTCTTCCAGGAGTTCCAAGCTGCCAAGACCATGGACTCGCTGCGTTCCCTTAGTTCTCCCACCGCCCACGCCGTGCGTGACGGAAACAACGAGGTTGTCGTGACTGCCGAGATTGTCCCCGGTGACTTGGTCGAGCTCAAGACGGGCGATACCATTCCCGCTGATATTCGCCTGATTGAAGCTGTTAACTTTGAGACCAACGAGGCCCTCCTCACGGGCGAGTCCCTCCCCGTTCGCAAGGAAACCGGGTCTATCTTCCCCGATGACACTGGCCCTGGTGATCGCTTGAATGTTTGCTACAGCTCGTCCACCGTCACCAAGGGTCGCGCTCGCGGTATCGTCTTTGCTACTGGTATCTACACCGAGATCGGTCAGATTGCTGTCGCTCTCCGTGGAAAGTCGTCTCGTCGTCGTGAGCCTAAGCGCCGCGACGACGGCACTGCCTCTTCGGCTCGCTGGATGCAGGCTTGGACCTTGACCTTTTCTGACGCCGTTGGTCGTTTCCTCGGGGTCAACGTCGGTACTCCTCTCCAGCGCAAGCTGTCCAAGCTGGCTCTTCTTCTCCTCGGAACTGCTATCGTCTGTGCCATCATCGTCCTTGGTGCCAATGAGTTTAAAACCAAGCGCGAGGTCATCATCTACGCTGTCGCCACTGGCCTGTCTATGATTCCGGCTTCTTTGATTGTTGTACTCACCATCACCATGGCTGCTGGTACTAAGCGCATGGTCCAGCGAAACGTCATTGTTCGCAACCTCAAGAGTCTCGAGGCTCTTGGTGGAGTCACTAGTATGTCCCCATCCCCATCACGTTCCATACCAGTCGAACTGTTTACTGACCTGCTATAGACATTTGCTCTGACAAGACCGGAACCCTCACCCAGGGCACCATGATCGTCAAGAAGGCATGGATCCCTGGCCGTGGCACCTATTCTGTCGGTTCCACCAACGAGCCCTTCAACCCGACTCTGGGAACTCTTGGTCTCCAGTCGGCTCAGCCCAAGGATATCGACTTTCAGGCCAACGACTCCGAAGGCACCCCCATCAACGCCGAGGAGGTCGCCTCCAAGGACGAGACGCTCCAGCAGTACTTGGACATTGCCTCCCTCGCCAACCTCGCCACTGTTCACCAGGTCGAGGGCGAGTGGCACGGCCGCGGCGACCCAACCGAGATTGCCATGCAGGTCTTCGCCACTCGATTCGACTGGAACCGCCTCCGTCTCACCACGGGAGAAAAGGCCCAATGGCACGGGGTGGCCGAGTTCCCCTTCGACTCCGACGTGAAGAAGATGTCCGTCGTCTTCGAACAGGCAGCGACGCAGAAGCAATGGGTCTTCACCAAGGGTGCCGTCGAGCGAGTCGTCACGTCCTGCCCCCGCTATGCCGTTGGCGACGAGATCAAGGACCTCACTCCCGATGTTGAACAGGACATCCTCCGGAACATGGAAGCCCTTGCCCGCCTTGGACTCCGAGTCCTCGCCCTGGCGAGCCGCACTGATATCCGCCACGTCGTCGACAACGAAGCTGAGTTGGATCGAGCCCAATTCGAATCGGACCTCGTCTTCCGTGGTCTTATTGGACTGTATGATCCTCCCCGTCCTGAGTCCGCGTCCTCTGTCCGCCAATGCCACGAAGCCGGCGTCAGCGTTCACATGCTCACTGGTGACCACCCCGAGACTGCCCGTGCCATCGCTATCGAGGTTGGCATCCTGCCTACCAGGATGTCCCAGATCTCTGCCGACATTGCCAAGACGATTGTCATGGCTGCCTCCCGACTTTGACAAACTCTCGGATGACGAAATCGATAAAATTCCGCTGCTGCCTCTTGTCGTCGCGCGATGTGCTCCCCAGACCAAGGTCCGCATGATCAACGCCCTCCACCGCCGCAAGCGCTTCGTCGCCATGACTGGTGACGGTGTCAACGACTCCCCCAGCTTGAAGCAGTCCGATGTTGGTATTGCTATGGGCCTCGCCGGTTCTGATGTCGCCAAGGAGGCTTCCGACATTGTCTTGACTGATGACAACTTTGCATCTATCCTCAACGCCGTCGAAGAGGGCCGACGCATGTTCGATAACATCCAAAAGTTCATTCTCCATGTCTTGGCCGAGAACATTGCCCAGGCTTGCACCTTGCTCATCGGTCTTGTCTTCAAGGATGCGAGCGGAATCTCCGTGTTTCCTTTGGCGCCGGTCGAGATTCTCTGGATCATCATGATCACCTCGGGCATGCCCGATATGGGACTAGGCTTTGAGATTGCTGCGCCCGACATCATGCAGCGACCTCCCCAAAACGTACGTTGACCCCGTTGATGTCTATGGAACCCTGACTAACCGATTACACAGTTGAAGCAAGGTGTCTTCACCCCAGAGTTGCTCATCGACATGGTCGTTTATGGCCTCTGGATGTCCGCTCTTTGTCTATCCTCGTTCGTCCTCGTTCTGTACGGATTCGGCAACGGAAAAGCCGACATTGGCGAGAACTGCAACAACGACTACAGCGAGAGCTGCAAGGTCATCTTCCGTGCTCGTGCGACCACTTTTGCCTGCCTCACCTGGTTCGCCCTCTTCCTGGCCTGGGAAATGGTCAACATGCGTCGCTCCCTGTTCTGGATGACGCCCAAGAGCAAGAAGTACTTTACTCAGTGGATGCACGATGTCTGGCGCAACCAGTTTCTCTTCTGGGCCATCATGGCCGGTTTCGTCACCATGTTCCCCATCATCTATATTCCCACCCTGAACACCGTCGTCTTCAAGCATGCTCCCATCTCTTGGGAATGGGGCATTGTGTTTGTCGAGGCCGTCGTCTTCTTCCTGGGCATTGAAACGTGGAAGCTGCTGAAGCGCATCTACTTCAGACGCCAGGCTCGCAAGGAGACTGGCGGCGAGACGGACTTTGAGACTCGCGTTTTTGGACACTACTACAACATGTCCAGCGGCAGCCAGGACGAGGAGAGCGGCCAGGAAAAGAGAGCTTGAAGAAGCGGGCTGGGAAAGTCTCAACACGAGCAATCTCTGGTCAGTGGCTGCGGAACTGGAGGGGAATCTTCATGGTTAAGCTCCATGGAGAAGCAGCCTGGGCAAAAACACAAGTAATGCCTAGAGGAGAGACGTCGAGGACGGTAGAAAACTGGTGGATCTAATTCCCCGGTCATACCGAGGGAACGACACCCTAAAGTATAGGGTGACGGGCTAGGTCAAGCAGGCATCGTAGGCTATGAGGTAGGCGTTAGGTAGGTCAAAACGTAGGCTGAATATACAATCATGTGCAATAAGTCTGCGAACACCGACACGCAACCCCGCTTTCGCGTAGCATGACTGAATTACCCCTTCATCTTCAACCACGAAAAGTCCTACCAAAATGCCTCCGAGAAGACGTGATTTTGGTACTTACCATGCCCCACCACCCTTCGGCTAACCAAATTGAGGCTCTCACCACCAAAAATGCACTTTCTAAACTTCACGGAATTCAACCAAAATAGAAGTTATTCGCAAGCGGTTGCCTCCCGTAGATAGAGAATTGATGCCTCTATTGACTTTTAGGTCTTTTGACTAACCGCCTTGACCGAGTTGTGTGCTGAGGAGATGCAGATTCTTCCCTGACCTCAATAACTGATTCAGCCTCCGCCTCTGAGACTGACTCCTCCGAGGAATCAGATTCCACCACAACAACGATATTTTCGCTTCCTTTTTTAGGAATACCCTCTCCGACGGCTAGAGCTTCACTGAGACTCATGAAACGCCTATTGGGATTAGGAATAGCCTTCCTCTTCTTCCCTCTCTTTAGACGGGCTAGTTCCTCCTTCAGACTAGCAATTTCCACGGTATGTGACGCCAACGTCTGTTGCTGAGTCTCAAAGCCTTTGGCTATCACGGTATATCGCGTCCGCGTGTTTGGTGATTTGTTTAGGCCAAGATCACGAATGTGACGACTGGTCTTTGGTGTATCATCTGAGCCGAAATAAGACGCCTTCTCTGGAGTCCCCTTTGGACTGTCATGCGGCTTGTCCTCTTGAATTTCTGGATGCCGTAACGCCTTTTCTCGTGAGATTGGCCAATTGCCAGTTACTCTCCAGCCAGATAGTATATCCTTCTTGGTCATTCCTACTTCACGAGCCTTGGCGTAGGCTCTGATGAAGTTGACCTTATCCACCTGATACGTGAAGAACCAGTCTTGGGCCAGGTGCTTAAGACTGGCATTATATGTAACATCACGTGAGAAAGGAGACCTTATGCTCCCGTCCTCAATTGTAGTCTTAGCTCGTCATCCATCTTTCTACATCTACATGACAACCTCACTTTATGTGACCTCCGCGATATATTCGCATCATGGTGCGTACTATTAGAACGCTGGACTGGTGTGGGTACTCTCTGATGCAGCCGTAATTTAGATTTGACGTAGGCTCGCAAAGGAGTACTTCGTATAGACAATCTATGAATGACCAAATCAGTACAAATGCAGGGGGCAATATTAGTGCCCTCTGGAAAAACGTACGTTGAGTAACCAAAATTGCAATATACATCATTCGCGCTTACCTATCGTTAATCCAACCGTTTACAGATCCCAAAATCATTAAGCATTTGCCCGACAACCACCATTCCGCCTATTGCAGGGATCCATAATGGGAAACAGACCAAAAGACGAATTATCGGGTTCGCAGCATTGAAAATGCTAACCCATGGTGAGGAAGCGGAGCCGACTATAAGCCATCCGAGGATCCAACTTCGCCGGATTATTACATTAGTCCCAGATTCAAAGCCGGTCAATGCACCGACAATGATGATAGGTGTGACAACAATAGCGAGGTAGCCGAGCCCGTGAATGACGAGAAAAGTGCGAGTAGGCATGGGGTGATCATTTAACTCGACCATGCTAGTAGCTATATCGTTCATGGAGTTGCCTCTTGGGACATTCGCGTGAGCGACCCAACCTGCAAAGTGCCCTCGAACGTTTTCCGCATGATGAGCTGCTTCCATATCTTGAGTATGAACAAGATACATAGTTGAGTAGTTCGGATGCATCAAATGTGTGGCGAGATTGAGAAAGCTCATGATTGCGTACGGAGCGACGGTTAAGCCAAAGGCCCCGTATCCATAGAGTTGGATCTGATTTCCCCCTGTTTTATAAAGTGTGACGATTCCCCATAGGATTTGAAGAATGCTCGCTAGAATCCTCGGTATATCCCGGGTTGCAGGCACACGAAAATCTTGAGTAGAAGACCTCTCTTGGTTTTCACTGCGGCTTCGGTGCCTTCTGTTGGTTGATGTATGGGATCCGCCGACTCTCAGTAAGACTTGAGGTGGTACCTCAATCAAAGTGTATCCTTTTCCCTCGGGGAGATGAATAGTTCCAAAAATGGCTCGACTCAGAGGAATCCTGTGTGGCATCCCCGAGATGCGAAATGCGGATGAGAACCAGTCACGGCCCGTCTCGGAAATCTGCTCCCCTGAAAATCCTACGAATAGACGCGGCAGATGTTTCTCCTTGACAACCATACAGAGTGCCCCTGCCTTGGCAGCCGAGTCCAGAGATGACTGATGACAGATCGAGACACAGTGGACAAGCAAATTAACCGCGCGAAGTGCACCGGAGCCAGGGATGAATAGCGCATTTGCAGTATCCACAAAGGTTTCCAGCGTTGTCGCCCCTGGCCGACCGATTAATGTTACAGCATGCGCAAGGTAATTCGCCCCAAAGAAGATCAAGTAATCCATCCATGTTGGGGGGGCACAAAGAAGGTTTGGGTCTCCATGTTGTCTAGTATCCAGAGGAGTGTAAACGATGGATCTCATACCCGCAAATTGAGTAAACAAACTCTGTAGATGGAGAATGACACGGCTAAGATGTGGGAATTCCTACTCTATTATGTAGATAGACATAGTGATTTATAGCACTGCTTTCTGCACATTGTATACTCTAGATAACGAGAAGTGCCACTATAAGCCTCAATAGATACGTCAGTAATGTCTATGACCGCTGTAGCTTAATATAAACATTGTCATACGACCATGCTAAGCGACATGAAAAAAAGAAATTCATGTAGCTCAGCTGATGTCAATGGTTTTAAAAGCTGAACGCTCTTCGGTAAGACTCGCGTCGTGGCTGAGACATGACGAATAGATTGGTTCCTGGCTAAACCTGTAGCCTAAGTCAGCTTGATAAGGCTCGGTAAACGCCGTCTACATGTGGGGGGGCAACAAAATGCCAAGCCGAATTTGCAATACCGCGCAAGTGAACAGCTTTGCTCCCGACCTCGAGACGCAGAATCTCAGTTGCGATGCGACGAGCACTTACCTGTCATCCTTCCTCTTGCGCTGGAGCAAAAACGGATTTCAGTTTGCTATGCGAGAATGATTGGGTCAACAGGGAATAAGCAATAGAAGTTAATAGATGAAGATGTTGCTTGGCGATTGCGGTCAATGGGTAGAGGACGCCAGGCAGAGGACGCCAGGCAGAGGAGTGATGGGTAGTGTCCACAATTGGGCCAAGCCTACAGCAACGGCCCGAGCCATGGAGCTAATGAATGAATGAAATTTATTCCGCCCGGGAGGACTAGCCTCATAGGGCCAGGTGCGCTAGGCTATTTACAGTTCTACGTTTCGTTGTTCACATCCCAGAAGCCCCATATTCTTCCTCGTCCGCTGATCCGTCCCGCCTCGCTTGACTCTGTGTGACAGTCCGGCTTGAAGGCCAATTTTCTCCAAGTGTTCGGCATCCTATTCTCAGCAGCCGAAGCTTGGTCTGCCAACTTGAGCCTGTTTGGTGTTAGTATCGCCACGTTTGGCCGCTAATTTGGTATCTGGTTGGTTAGTCTGTTACCAGTCTGGTTTGCATCAAGTCTCCTCGTGTCCATAGCGAACTTAATCGCCGCCCGCACCGCCTGTAGGTTAGGTGCACATTTTTCCCCGTCCGATGTCGCCTTTCCTCCCAGGAAGAATGAGAGGTTTCCCATCTTTGCCTGTCCGACCACTTCGTACACCGGAATAGAAAATGTTCCATCGTCTCTGCTGCTTGTCAAGCATTGATTTGTATTTTCAGAGAAAATAACTAGTAGAGGCGCAGCGCGTCTACCTACATAGACCCTCTCTACCTTGCATCCCCTTGGATCCTATTCCGCTCCTCGCGCGGGGCACTGCCGGTTCGCAAGTCAATACCAGTTTGCTCCTTAAGCCCACCTCCACAGCCAACCCAAAGTCCCATCCTCGATGGCCATCTTCAGGATCCTGTGCCATGGAGCTAAGGGATCGCAGATTGTCGCAGGCCAGGCATGATCTCAACGAGCCTCAGGAAACAACTGTACTTAGTAATCCAGCGGCGTGCTTCAAGTAACATCTGTGGGCTAGAGTACCCCGCACTTCAGACAACAATCAATCAACACACTGCTGCTGTTCATGATCGTTTACCTGGCTTTGATCCTTTTAGCACGCTCAGTGCGACAGAGCTCAATGCCTTCAGCTATAACCAACGGATGAAATGGCGGATTAACAGGGATCTGCCTTAGGACCGTCAAAGCAGATAAAAAAAACAAGAGCTTTAACATAGATCCCCATCACTGAATGTGACAGGTAGCCTTCGAGGTATGGTAAGTACGACCATACGCGTGTTGCTATGGAGGTGGATCCACCCCCGTAGTGGATATTTACCTGGAAGTCATTGCGATGGGGCCATTGCAAAGTGCGTAACCGTCACGTGGATGCGGATCTGCGATCACCTCCATTCCAAAAGTCAACCAAGGTCAACCAAGATCTGAATAGCGCTAGCGGCACTGAACGGCGTTACCGCTTACCAATGTACAGGCTGCTACTATTGCCTCGAGAATGGGCGGGTTATACCCCATCCTCTCACCGAACTACGACGAATGCCGAGCGGCATGAAGGGAGTTGCAACGGAGATTCTTCAACTCGGGATATACCCGGTGGGTTGTACCCGTCGGGACGGTGTATTAGACAGAAGAAAGTGATACGTGGCCATCGGGTGTAACCCTGCAATCGATGCCGGTGTCCTCTTCCAGTGCCTACGGTCGCAGACCCTGCCCCTGCTCTCAGTGGGGGTGTTTATGGGCCCCTGCCGTTAACTGTTAGACTACGGAGGGCCCTTTCAAAAGTCTTTTCCAAGCGCTAAATGCGCCACATCTCTCAATCCTTGTTAGTTACCTAAGATACAAGGTGTAGAATCCAGCCACAATGAGTTAGCTGCTACATCCACTATAGTTTTAGGGGTGCTAGGGGGATTAGAATGTAACACAGTGAGATCAGGCTGCTGTAAAATTAGCAGCCTTTAGCGGATAAAGCACTACAGGAAGTACTTAATGTACTTAACCCAGCCACAGCCGTCAGATTTCCTTTTTCGAACTAGCGCTTGGATAACACTTTTGAAAGGGCCCTCCGTACAAATTGACGATTCCCTGTGGCGCGATCAAGTGTCGCCAAACATCTCGAGCGTCAGTGTATTTCTTATCGCGTGTGTACAGTATCCTGCTCATCACAATGTGGGTATCATTGCCCCCGTCGTCCAGGTTGTGAGTTAAAGCCTGGCTTTTTGACGCCACTCTCTGCAGCGGCTTGCTCCGTCTCCCACATGTGACGATACTGAGTTGTAATGTGGGTCGAGACCAGAGAGTGGTTGCAAACCTCAAGAATCCGGTAGCCGTGCACCCTTATTTCACTCTCCGTGGCTTGCGCTCATTGGTCGTGATCCTCGACAGGTCAGTGCACATTAGTGAATGGCTTGATGATTGAGAATCCCTGCTCATTACGGTTATTTTAAGGATCGGTCAGTACCGAAATGAAGTGCCGCTGGAGCCTTGACACAGGGTACCAGCGGACTAAAGGGTCTAGACCTGAGAATCTGATGATTCGATACCAGGATTACATCAACGAGCGGGGATTGGCCCTGTTTCGTCCACTTCTACGTAGTAATAGCGTCATAATTTCGTGGTCCCTCCAAACCAAGGTCTAGACTCCGCATTCTCCACTCCAACAGCAACGCTGCTGTGCCGCTCGTAGAGCACCTTGATCTTGGCCATTTTGATTGAGGGTGCCAGCCCCCCTACGCGGCGGTAGCTTTAGCCAGTATTTGAGAATGGGCAACTAGGACGTTTGAAGGCAGGTCCATATACGGAGTATTTGTGGTCGAAATGCCCAAGAAGGGTCTAGCTCGACTCGCCCGCCAAACATGTCGATTTTACAGCCCAGGCGTGGAATGGCAACACCACTAGTCATGCTGTAACAGCCCATATGGATGGTCTAGACCCGACTAACCTACCCTGGATTAGAATTCGGGCGTAGTGGATAAAATCTCTTGGATCGGCGATCGCCCACCAGTGATTAAGAGGTCAGCGAAGCCAACATTATGGGAGGGCTTTTCCTGGTGCTTCTTTACTGAGATTTGGCTGCCTGCAAATGCCGTCACCAGATTCACAAGACTTTTTGTACCAGCTTTCAGCCTCGAAGACTAGTATTTTGAGTCAATATGTCCCTTGCCACAACTACTGCCAACGACTGTAGGCTTGAGAACAAAATGGACGAGGTAAGCTGACTTGATTTATTCTAGTAGCAATTCCATTCCAGTTATCGATGTCCAGATATAGGTGGGTTTAGAGAGGATTGGCAATATGACTGCCCCTGCTCCTAGCTGTCCGACATACTCGCTCGTCCAGCCCCTTGATAACATGATAACTGATATATGCGATTATTCCGAGAGGGGTCGTATTTAAAGGTGTATGCAAGGAGAAACCCCAAATTCTGCATTCATACTAGCTAGTATTTAGTCTACTAATGCTTATTTGCTTAAGATTCCGATATCCGACATTCATCAAATTTTTGATGGAAGTGCATACCCGAGCACCGGGATCCATTCCCCACTCCGGAATAGCACTGATGGCGAATTTACTAATCTGACCCCTCCATTTATAGAAGCGCCTGGAGACTGGCACGATCAGTTCTGGATATCACCCTCTATGACTGATTCGACGGATCCCTGGTCAATTAATACACCGATTTCTTCTATATCACCGTTTGCGATACCGCTTATCTTCGATTTTGAGGTCGTTAATGCTTCCTGTAAGTCATTTTTGAGTCATTCTGCACATTGGCTAACCTCAATGATAAAGGGGATATACCACCTATTCCCAACTTCTGGGGTAAAACTGACAGTCGTACGCCTTCTGCAACACCTTCAACAACTACAGGGAAAGACTTATTATCTACCTACACTCTGAAACCCCAAGAAAATAAAAGAAAGAAGTCCGCGAAAGCGGCGATCGCGGAACAGCCGCTTGGCAACCCGGCAAATAGCGACATTAATGAAGGCGGACACACCAGTGGTCTTCAACTACGGACTGCCTCAAGGAAGCCTAAAAAGAGATCCCGAAAGAAAACCCGGGAAGCATCTTTGCGATCATCACCCAAAGAGTGTACGCATCAGCGACGACGTGCTCTAGATTCTCACAACCAGGTCGAGAAGCAGTATCGCGAGAGACTGAACATGCAGTACATGAGCCTGCTCACCGTGCTACCTGCTGACCTTGACCGGAAATCTATAGTGGCTCACGCTACTGAAGCATCCGATGACACCGGGGGCAGAGATACCGGAGGAGGCAGGGTTTGCAGTGATAGTATCAGCAAGGGCGAGGTTTTGGATATGGCTAGGATGTACATCGAGAAAATGGAGAGGGAGGGGGGGCTGCTACTCCAGGAAAGGGATAGACTGTTGTCCAGCGCGGACCTGATACAAGCACGGTGGATTAGATTTACTTGATAAAGGCTCTTTATTTCTTCTTTTCAACAAGGGTCTAGAAGCTTGCTTGTATGAGTGATATGAATGACGCCTTAACTGTCGGGCTGCTGTTGTTGGAATACCATGCACAACCACCCTTTCGCCAACCCCACCCTTTCGCCACGCAAAAAAAAAAAAAGCACCACCAAAAATCAGCAACTTTACTTACACAGAGCTTGACCAAAATGATAGATATACGCAAAATTGTCCGTCTTATAAATAATAATTGCACACATCTATTGAATCCTGGGTCTTTTGATAAGCCGCCCTGATCGCGTGGTTGGTTGATGGGGTATGGTTTCCTCTCTGACCTCAATGACCGAGCCAGCCTCCGATTCTGACTCCTGCTCGCCTGAATAGCCACCTTCCACCACAACAGGCATATTTTCAGTCTCCTCTTCTGGTATGGCTTCTCCACCAGCTAGAGTCTCACCAAGAGTCATAAAACGTTTGTTAGGATTCGGCACCGCCTTCCTCTTCTTCCCTCTCTTCAGGCGAGCCAATTCTTCCTCTAGGCTAGCAATCCTCACAGTATGCGCCGCTACCGTCTGCTGTTGAGCCTCAAAGCCCTTGGCTATTACGTTGTACCGCCTTCGTGTCTTTGGTGTTTTGTTCAGCCCAAGATCACGAATTTGACGGCTCGTCTTTGGTGTATCGTCCGAGTCAAAATACGGCGTGGGTTCGGGAGTCGCTCTTGGGCTGCCTTTTGGCCTATCTTCTTGGATTTCTGGGTGCCGCAACGCTTTGGTACGTGAGATCGGCCAATTCCCAGTAACCCTCCAGCCAGAGAGTATGTTCTTCTCAGTCATTCCAACTCGACGAGCCTTGGCGTAGGCCCTGATGAAATTAACCTTGTCCATTGGAGTGGAATCAGTCAACGAAGCGAACTTTTCCAACTCTCGTCGATATGCGGCTTTGGAGGCATTGAATACTCCATTGTCCAACGGCTGGAGCCCATGAGAGCAGTGTGCTGGCAGATAGCAACAATAAACGTTGTTCAAAAAACACGTGGCCATCCATTCATCCTTCCGTCGCTCAGTAGTGATCTTGAGCCGAAGGAAACGAAGAACATACCGTTGCATACTCCCATGACCATCTAAAATGATCAGTCTCGCGTCAGAGTCGTCGGCAGGCATGGTCTGGGGCAGATAGACTCTTTCAAGCCATTCAACGCCAATGTGGTCGTCAGTCCACCCGTTAGGTGAAGTTATGTAATACCAGTCTGCTATCTTCTTGAATTCCTCAAGAAACCACTGTTTCTGGAGTTCTTTCCCCTTGGAGATTATGCCGGGGATTAAGGCGCGGCCGTCAGCAGTGACAGCTTCGATAAATGAAGTCCAATTTCGAGTTTGTGGTCCCTTGAGAAATGCCTTCCGTTTTGGGTCCGCGCTTCCAACAACCAGGCTATCTAAGCCTAAATAAAAAGGATTAGTCGGTCAAATTTCAATCACTGACAAGGTATACAGATAGATGCTTGCCGAAACCAGTCATAATACCCCCTTCGTCAACGTTGACGGTGTTTTCAGGCTTGATCCAGCCATACTGGCCCTCCCTGATATCAAAGTACCAATGAACTGCCTTAGGTGTGAAAGAGTCAAACCTTTTGGCTTCTTGACGTCTGCCCATCTTGGTCTTCAGGTCTGTGCGGCGGTTGATAAATCTGGTCACCCAATTGCGTCCTAACTCGGAATGTTCGCCCTGCTGTCTCAACAAGCCCATGACGCAAGCGCGGATCTGATTGTGGGACGGAGCATAGCCCAAGGATTCCTGGCGGAGTATCCAGAAAGCCAATCTGTCCTCTTGATTCTTGGACAAACGTCGGCAAGGCTGAATCTGCTCTTTCACGGCTGTCTGGCCGTTAAGTCTGTCGATTAGAGTCCTTCGGGGCACTACCTGTCTCTGAGCCGCTTGAGAGGGTGAAAAGCCATTATCAGTAATATCCAATATAGCCTCAGCCATGTCGTCCTCTGTATATTCCCATCGAAGCCGCGAGATAGGCATTTTTTTGTCGCTGTCAAAGACAAAGACCAAAAAACATGAGAAAGAGCGGTGAGGATCTTGGTGACTGAACTGACAATATTTCAATAGCACTGCCTGCATATATCGCATACCCCGCACAGCTTACAGAGTCAAAACAATTACCTCCAATCATTTCTATAATCAATAGAGGTAATTTCTTTTAGGTAGCTATTTATTTTGGCCAACTTTCGTGTAAGTGAAATTGACGAGTTTTGGTGGTGCTTTTTTTTTTGCGTGGCGAAAGGGTGGGGTTGGCGAAAGGGTGGTTGTGCATGGTAGAGGCTTATGGCCTACATGCAAGTGAACTGAATGTGTAAGCTGGAAAGCTTAAGTCCGGCAGCGCCTGGTGACTGTCAAACGGTATTCCGCCCCAGTCGAGGAGGCGTCCTGTCAGATACGTCAGAGGCGAAAGTTGCCACCTATTGCCACCTATTGCCACGAGGCTTAGCAATCAGCTTCTAGCTGATTCTATACAGAAGAGAAAGGGTATATAAAGCTTGCCCTGAAACCTCAAGACATAGGGGCAGGAGACATAATACACAATTTTTCACCCCAATACAGTGATCTTATTGGATTGGATTGGAGCTGGATCCGAGGGTCGCTCCAATCCACTCCAGAGGTGAAGGCGTGCTGCCTCCTGGATATCCAGAACCGATCCAGATCATATTTTTACCCTTTGGGACGATTAGTAAGCCGCTGAACAAACCACGAGGATATATGATGTAGAACAAGATGTCACATCCAACAGACCAAAACGTCATACATTTAATCAAACCGGGAGGAAGGTCTTCCGCTGTTCAAACCCGCTGCCCGGAGGTCCGAACTTCCAGTCAGAGGTTGGTATCAGCTACCTTATGTCTCCCAAAAAGCAAGTTCTTCAGCACAACGGCCCTGGCGCCCTATGTATACCATGCGCCACCACCCTTTCGGACGCACCACCCATTCGGACAGCAAAAAATCCACCAGCCGTGTTGAAGACTCTAGAGCAATACCGTTCTCTAGGGTCAGCGATGAAAGAAACTGAAGGCCTAAGTGATGAATTTGATAGCGATTAGGGAACTTTATAATATCTACTAAGGTTGGTTTTATATCGGACTTGTTGCTAAACTTCAGCAAAATCAGTATTAGTTATGCTTGAGAAAAGTCTGTAATAATACAGGTTCCCAGTCTGTGTCATTATTTTTCATCTCTTTATGTTCTATCTTTTGAAATGTTTAGTAAGACTTCTGCGGCTGATTGTTAGACAGCGACAGTAACTGCAGCGCAACCCGCGGAGGACTGGAAGTTCAGGTATCGCTTTACTGTAATCTTTGGGGAGGGTGGTTGTAGTAGGATCATCGAATGTACAAGATGAGCAGAATATCCTGATCTGCCTCAACGTCTCGCCCTTTGAACGATGTATGCTCCGGAAATGTCTCTCTATGCTCTTATCAGGTCGAATTGCTGACCTGCAAATTAAGCATATGAGGATACGGCAATTGTGGGTAATGGAAAGAAGTTGATTGAGCTTCACTGAGCACATTCTTCTGTGGTTGTATTTGACTGAATCGGTAGAAGAGGAGGAGCCCTATTCTGCTGATTGGTATTTTTATGGGCAATGAGAGACTGGACACTCATCTTAGATCTCTGCTTCTTCTTTAGTGTCGAGGTTGGTTGGTCACTCCGAACTGTAACTTCCGTCTTCTTGCTGGGCTGATGGATGAACTGGTGCCATCGTGTGGATGCCCACTCATAAGCCCGAAGAAGGGCAGGTTGGAGTTGATGTGGGAACGCCCCATCGAGACCATAGCTGATAGCGCGTTGTATTGGACGGTGGCCACTCTGCCATGCAAAGGAAACATTGATATCAGCATCGATACTATGGGTCATCGTAACGATTGAAAGGTTGGTGGACCTCGCGAACGTGTTTCTCTGTGATGCCTACAGTAACTTGCCGGTACTGTTGAACATTTAGCTCCATTTTCCATACACAGGCCGTTGCTGCTCTTAAGACTGTAGTGATATGAGATGATGCCATGTCTTGCCGTTTGAGGAGAGCAAGACATGCTTATCATAGCCGAGTTAGTCTTGACGATGGTTCCCATGCTGTTCTCGCCGTAAGAGCTGTGCAAGCCGGCGTATACAGGCCAGGTACCGAACCATGACCATTCCCAGCCGCGCTGGTAAGAAGCGAGCTACATAGAACTCTCGGTTTGTAGATCTTTTCGCTTTATGATGTCGAAGGAGGTAGATCACTGACCCGTTCCACAAGGAGATGCCTCGCGTCGTGGAAGGGCCGTTCCCCACTTCCAACGTGAGCAGCTCCCGAATCCGCGGCACCTGGCCACATACTATGTAAAGTCCGCCAGCAATCATATCCTCAAGGGCAGTAACCTTTTTCAGGTACGATGCAACCATTGCCCAACTCCACTGGCCGTTTCTCAAGAGCGGAAGCGTTCTTGGTGTGCAAACTCGAAGGAATAACTCTTCATAAGCGCTATGGAGATTATTCTTAGCCTCCTGAATGAAAGGACCACAGACGCGAAGTTGGACTTCATTTATTGAGGCCATTACCGCTGACGGTCGTGCTTTGACTCTTGGCATCATATTCAAAGGAAAGGAACTCCAACAACAGTGGTTCCTTAAGGAATTCAAGAAGATAGCTGATTGGCACTATATAACTTCACCTAACGGTTGGACGGACGACCACATTGGTGTTGAGTGGCTTGAAAGAGTCTACTTGCCTCAAACTAAGCCTGCCGACGAGTCAGATGCTAGATTAATCATCCTAGACGGCCATGGGAGTCATGCAACGGTGCGTTGTTTGCTTATTCAATCAGGAATCACTGCTAACGGAAAGAAGGTTGAATGGATGGCTGCGTGCTTTTTAAACAACGTCTGTTGTTGCTACCTCCCTGCCTATTGTTCTCATGGCCTCCAGTCATTGGATAATGGGGTTTTTAATGCCTCCAAAGCTGCATATCGACGAGAGCTGGAAAAACTAGCCTCTCTGACTGACTCAACGCCGGTGGATAAAGTCAACTTCATCAGAGCCTACGCCAAGGCTCGTGAAGTTGGAATGACTGAGAAGAATATACTCTCCGGTTGGAGAACTACTGGCAATTGGCCAATCTCACGAGCCAAAGCTCTGCGGCATCCAGAAATTCAAGAGGACAGAGCAACGGGCAGTTCAAAGGGGACTCTAGAACGGACGCCTTATTTTGGCTCGGATGATACTCCAAAGACGAGCCGTCATATTCGTGATCTTGGCTTAAACAAAACACCAAAGACCTGGAGGCGATATACTGTGATAGCAAAAGGTTTTGAGACCCAGGAACAGACGCTGGCGGCGCATGCCGTGAGAATTGCCAGCCTGGAGGAGGAATTGGCTCGATTGAAGAGAGGGAAGAAGAGGAAGGCTATTCCTAATCCCAACAGACGTTTCATGAGTCTAAGCGAAGCTCTAGCTGCCGGTGAAGATATTGCTGAAAAAGGGAGCAAAATGAACTCTGTTGTGGTGGAATCTGACTCTTCGGAGGAGTCAGTCTCAGAGGAGGAGGCTGCTTCAGTTATTGTAGTCAGGGAGGAAATTGAGTCTCCTCAGCACACCACTCGATCGGGGCGGCTGGTCAAAAGACCTAAAAATACGTAAATTCTTCAATTCTCTACCAGGTAATATTTCTTTTATATTTATATCATTAAAATTGATTATAATCCCCAAGGGTTGAAAAAACAGATTTTTGGTAGAGATAGCCTCAATTTGGTTAGCGAAAGGGTGATGTTAGCGAGGGGTGGTGGGGCATGGTATTCTGTTCAGACTAATAGTGTAGATTACAGTTTGCACTGTAGTTTAGTTTGACCGTGACGGACAGACCAATAGTGCAGTATGCGAATCTCAGGCAAACTGGTAGTTTAGTCTGGCAAAGTCAAATGGACCGGTAGTTTAGTTTGGCCAAGTCAAACGGACTAAATGAGCAGTTTGAGGCTTTCACACGCACTGGTTACACTATTAGGAGCCCTGACTTGAAGGGAAAGCTGATCTACCTATCCATTAGGAAATACATTTCTAGCAATAGATAGTTACGTCTCGGTTAACTTGAGGTATGCGACTCAATAGACAACATTGCCCACGCTGTCAGTTGTCTTCTGAACAGCCGCTATCTCCAATTTCGGCGGAATCCCGCGCTCGTTATCGGGTTATGAGCGGGGATGCCAATGACATGGGTCATTGATATTGTCTAGCGCCGGAGCGGGGGAGAGCAATTCCGTGCTATACGAGAGATGCAGCAGGCGGTACTATTTTCCTGAGCGATTCACCTCCAGAGTTGTTCAAAGCCACCTTCTTTTTCCTCCAAACAAATCCAGATTTTCTCACCGCTGTGCTTCCTCAACCGCCATTCTCCCCCCGTTCGCTATGCGGCTGAGAGGATCACTCGTATTAGCCCTCGTAGGCTTCGTCGATTTTGCATCAGCGTCCCTACTAGATCAAATCCGGATTTTTGTTCAGAACGGGATGTTTGTTCAGAACGGGATGTTTGTTCAGAACGGGACGTTTGTTCAGAACGGGACGTTTCTTCACTCATCTTCGCAGACGGACAGCCAAAAGACCACGCCATGCCCCTCTTCAGACGATTATTTATACACATGCCCACCCGGGTTCTCATATCCGGACGCCTGCCACGACGCTGAAGCAATACCCGAAGGCGCACAATGCAACAAGAAGGGCGATTTCCTCTCGGGCGATGGATGGGGAATTATCTATAACGGCATGCCGCAGGAAAACATCCAAGATTGCGCCTTCATCTGTCATGGCTGGTTGAGGTGCAACTCATACGGATGGAACTCTTCGGATCCCGATACGCCATGTCGCTTCTATGAGAAAGGTCTAGCTGAAGGTGGCTTTCTTGAGGAACCGGTATCTCCGACTTCTTGGTACGATGTTGGCTGTGCAAACTGTACTAGGTGTGGAATGGAAACGCCGTCCATTGTACCGGGGCTTCCACCCTCCGGATCACAATGTACCCTCAGCAAAAACATCGATCCTCAATACCATTGTAACCAAGCTGGTACTGTCAATGCCGGAGCTCGGTTCTACGACGTCAAGATTTACCCACACACTGTGGATGCTGAGAACTGCGCAACCATTTGCTCCAACCGAAGAGGCTGCCGTGCATCGGGCTACGATTTCAGTCACGACCGGTACCAATGTCTGTTTAGTGGCTACTCTTTGAAAGATGCCAACTTCCAGAAGTCATCGGGGGGGGCAGATATGGAGTGTTAAGGCATGCTGGGAATGCACAACATCTGACGTAGACAAGGCTTGACATACGCCGAGATTCATATTCACAGATTATACCAGAGTCCTGATATGAGCTCTTCGAAAGTGCTTCCCACGTTAATAAATGCACCTTTGTATTTTGTCGTATTCAGCAGTGAAGAAGTGAATTTCCACTAATTCTAACCAACATTGGGCGTCCCAGACATGCCATGCTCGAACATGAAGTACTGCTTTCCCTGCCAACTCTCTCCTGTAAAAATTCTTCCTGACTAGCGGCTGTTAGCACTAGCGTGGAAAATTTTGCAGGCCCACCAAATTTGGCTGCTGCAGCAGCTGGTGCCCATCGGGTACTAACACTGCAATAAAGGAAGGATTGAGAGGGTTGACTTCCTTTACGCAGCAGCCACGGCCACAGCCCAAGGGCTCCGGACATGATCGAAGCCTGCTGCCCTGACCAGCTGGGCAGCTGAGATAGCAGCAGGGAAGCAGCACGGCTTGCGGGGGCCAATCGACACCGCTGCGGCTCTTATACATGCTGTAATGCTGATTCAGACCTCGCAGCAAGTATAGCTATCGCAGCCAACAGCAATCACGACACCAGCTTCAATCTAGGTGGGCGTCGACCTTTGCCCTGATCTCTACGACTCGGCACTTAGGTATATAAGGCCACCGCGTCTTAGTACCTGCTTAGGCCTCCGGGCCTCGGCACCTAGGTGTGTAAGGCCACTGCGTCTTAGCATCTGCTTAGACTTCCGGGCCTAAGCTGCCCTGACCTCTGCGTCTCGGCTCTTAGGGGCATAAGGCCACCGCGTCTTAGCCTAGGCCACTATGACCCCTGGGTCTTAGGTGCCTTGATCTATGGATCTTGGCTGTTAATCCAGGTCTATAAGAAGTCACAGAATCGGGCTACTTATAGGCATCAGGGTTCTGGCTTGATGGCCCTGATCAATGGATGCTAGCTGCAGTGGTTTTTCCCTCTACACTCCCGCGAGGTTTTCCCATCTGCAGTTTTTCCTATCATACGGATCTTGATTTCTGGAGGTTTTGCATGCCGGCAGGCAGGAATAGGAATACTGGAGAATTCTAAGCTGGTTAATAAATATGGGTATGCTGACACCCGCCCTGACAATCCGCTGACGGATACTGGGCTCGAAATAATAAGTCAAATAGGGCTGCTTAATTGCTAGATGGAAGAGGAAGAAGGATTGCAATCTGCGGACTGCAGGTCCGAACTATGGGCCATGTGGCCTATAGCTCCGGCCCCGGGTTATTGTACTTAGGTTTCTTCAGCTGTTGACACCAGCCTAGCACGTCATCTTGCCCCCTTGGGGATTCTGTAGATATCTCAAGTAGATGTCTTCATGACGGTAATTAATCAACAACAACAACAACAACAACAACAACAACAACAACAACAACAACAACTGCTTTCCCTGCCCTCGTTTATGCCGGAGCCTGTGGCTTCTCGAGCTCCTGGGGTCGTCTCTTCGGCATTGTGAGTCCCTCAATTGCACCGCAACTGTACGGTCGGACTGATGATTGGAGGCAGGGATATGAACAGCGTTCTTCACCAGGCGAGTGGCGTCGTTTGTGTGATTACCACGGCACTTCTACCATCCGATATGATGGTAGGTAGCCAAGGATGACGGTCTGGACATTGCGCTTTTCATCAGGCGCAGAGCACGCTTGGTTGACAGAGTGCGTAATCAACCAACTACTTCCAATCGTTGGAGCCGTTGGATCCTCCAACTGTGGGTCCAACTCAACTGAGATCTCACTCCCCGTGCTTGGCAACCAGCCAATTCAGAGGTCCAGTTGATTGGGTCTGGATCCAACCGGTTCCAACTCGTTCCAGTATCTGAGGGTCATGTGAGACCTGGGCGCAGACATCCCAGTAATAAATATATTTTTAAGGCTTACTGCATAACTAATTATTGTTAAGCTTAGCCATATGGATAAGAATATACCCTTGGGCCATAACAATATATTATGTTGGATTGTGACCTCGGGTGGCGGCATAAATATCGCCACCAAAGATAAAAGTTGCCACCTATTGCCACTGGCTTAGCAAGCAGCTTCTAGTTGATTCCACATAGCTCAGAAAAAGGCATAAAAAGCTTGCCCTGAACCCTTAAGAAGAAAGGGAACAACCTTCTCCAAAAAAGATCATTTTGATCAATTACTCATGCTATTGCATATAGCAAATTGCGTATCCAACATCCAATTAATCACATCCATTGTGAACCGCACAGTGCTGCAGCCTGGCTCTATTAGATTGGTTGAGCCAATTTTACCATATCCCTGCTCCCTAACCCTCTAAAATCGCCTTGAGATTCGCCTCGTTGCTGCCTGTTGTGCGCCCAAATTGTAATGTGGCTGTGATACGATGACTCCGCTCTTTAGCGCGTGACGAGAGGAGAGAGCGCACGGAGGCCCCAGAGTGTCTATAAAGCAATCCACAATCGCACATCAATGGAAGATTCATATAATCATTTCCCACCATCCTCACAATATTAATCCACAATAATCAACCGTAACAATGGCAGAAACACCAGAGAGCGGCTAGGAGTGACAGTACACTACAGCAAGGTGTGGTGCTCGATAACGTTCCACCCACAGTTAAGTCAGCAGGAATGGGTGATAGAGGGAGGAACGGAATGTAATGAGATATTCGATTGCACATAGTAAGATGGGTGGGCTTGATGGCAGGAACAGAGGTTTCACTGAGACAGACAGAGCAAGAAAATATAGTGTATGAGAAAATGATGTTCCAGCTCGACAGAATTAAAACCTTGTGACACAACGTCCCTTTCCAACTCCTAAAGTTGCTCACCCATTTCCTGGCCCCAGAGGTTTCATGTCATGAAAAGAGGGCTCGACCTTCGTATGGTGCTCACAACTAGGTAACTAAGATGAAGGGGGACTTATGAAAGTCAATGCCATCTCCTTATGAACCTGACTTGCCAGCCCTGCCAGCCAGCGCTCTCAATAGTCCAGACCATTTAGACTATTAGTCCAGACTACACCGTCACCCGGAGCAACGCTGCTATCAATCCAATTCAAAAGCAAAAATAAGAGCATCCGATTGGTCCATTTTTATTCCCACCAGTTAGAATGCGGTATTAATTGCTTTTGACTTGAATTGATACAGCGTTGTGAGTGTAGTCTGGACTAATAGTCTAAAGGTCTGGACTATTGACAGCACTGCTGCCAGCCTGTGCATCGCCTCCTAAGCCTTCTCCAGATCGACAGCAAGCTATTGCTCCTTCGCCTCTTCGCCACATCTCAAATCCTACACGCAATAAGTTTTCCATCATCGAGTTAGCGAGCGGAATCTTGCGGTCGCCAACCTCCTGGGTCTTCACCTCCTCCTCGGTCGCCCACAGAAAGGCCTGGTGCTCATTGGGGTCCAGCTTCACTATCCCCGTGTCGTCCACCTCAACTTGAAACGAGAACTTGCAGTAACGGCTCTTCCCCGTTGAGTTCATGAACGTTGCGCCGGGCTTACCCTTGGCGCCATCGAGGATAACGTGATTGATACGTCGGACCTTTAGCCCAGCCTCCTCCCACAGCTCGCGCGCGCAGGCGTGAAGGATGGTTGGATCACCTTTATCGACAGCGCCGCCGGGGACCTCCCAGGTATGAGGCATGCTATCGTGTGCAGCCCGCTGAAGGAGTAGGATACGGTCCTGGTTGTTGAAAACGAGAGCGCTCGAGCTGAGTCCATCCAATGGCTCATCCAAATTTTCTTCATTCGTTTTGAGCCATTGTTGGCTAGGGATCAGCGACCGAGATAGGAAAGGTGAAACCGAACGGTTGTGGGGATTCGACGACCGCTTGATGTAAAGGGCAAGGAAATGTCAGAGCGGGAGGAATTTTTAGCATCATGTGACATTTCACCTGACGAGCTGTGTGAACAGCAATAGTGGGCTGTGAAAATAGCACGACTCTTCTATATATAGTTCTTTTATTAAGCAGTATGCCGTGATCAACTTTGAAATGATGCTTGAATTCTACGTTACAGGGTTGGTAGATTGTTATTTGGCAAACGGCTGTATACTAATCATTATGACGGCATCTACACTAATTTGATCACATTTAGCAATGATTTTAGAAGATGAAAGGCGAAGCTGTCTATATGCTGTAAATCGGGATTTGACTTCATTTGCTTGATGAGACTGGCGATTGTGATAGCATCGCCGCTTGGCTATTGGTCTCATTCTGAATCACTCGAGCTGATTAACTGTTATCCGGCTAAGAACGGCTAGATTGGGGAGTGGCTTCAATTGCAAAGCTGGCAGAGCGTTTTTCCGATGGCAGCAAACGTGGTGGCTTCGTGCTGAACCCAAGTAGCTTCCGCTCTTAGTATCCAACCTAGCCGTAAGCCATAATTGTAACGGCATCACAACAGCATCAGCTAAAATAAACAGCCCAGGACGGGGCGTTAGAAGCCGGCAGCGGTCGTTCACCAGGAACCAAAGGTTAGACCAGAGTGCAGACGCCTTTGGCTGACATCACTATGTCGACATGGACGTTATTGGTGCCCGCTCCAACCTCGTGTCGGCAGCTTAGCCCTCTGGCTGCAACTCTATGGCTTGGCTGACAATGCATTAACTCACTGAAAGTATCGCCCTATTCACATCCCGCCTGATGGCGACAATCTTCGTACTTCTTGCATCAGAGCAAGGACCGTAAATACCGAGACCAATTTGCTAAAACGTTGACAAATTCGATTGCTGGACGATTTAATGCACTGGCAACAGTAACATAATGCACTCTTTGCGACTTCGCGTCGCTACCCACTCAAATGCAAACACACAAGTTTTACGGGATATAAAGAGCGTGGCTCAATGATGGAGGCGGGTGCACGGGGTGTGGCGAGATGCGAACGGGGAGATCGGCCGTCGGATGTCAGTATGTGAGCATCCAAGGACGGCGAGACCATCCCCCCGACAATGTGCGGCTATATGTCACTGGTCTGCCGTGGCCAACGCTAATGTTCCCCCTTCAGTCCGCTGCCTGACGTCGCCTTGTCTCGATAACCTTAGAATATTCTTCCCCGCTTGTCCCTCTTATGCCCGAGACATAATGCTCCTCAATTCCCCTTATGATTTCTCCTACCCCTGCTCGCAGTCTCTACGCAGCTTTCAGCTTTCTAATAGCAACGCCACGAGCACGAGACAGCATATAGGTATCTATGCACAACATAAACCTAATGTCCTCACTTATGAGAACTTTGGTGGCCATACGCCGGACTCCCGGAGCACAACCCAGTTCGATTTATCCTGTCATGGACTTAAGTTTGCCTTACGTGAATGCTTTCCCCCCTAACGAATGGATGAACGGCAATACTACACGACCCCAGAAGTGTGGCTCCCCCCCCATAAACCCCCCTCTGCCTTCACCCGTGCAGCCGGTAGCTCGCCGATGATCCGAGTGGCGTCGCGTTGCGCTCAGGAGGTGTTGGATGCTAAATTGAGAGCAGCCAAATAAGTTAAGGCACCAGGTACCCACTAGGACTTGCACATGCCAAGAGCCTCCTTTCCTGGAAGTGTCTGATGTTCTATAACGGAAGCTCGTATTCCGGAATGTGGCTTGTGATTTATGATTTCCAGCTTCTAAAGGAGGATTCTTATCAACAGATATTCCATCAACATTGAATCATCCTGCTCGGATAGTTGTAGCATCTTATTATAGATCAGTGCGCCAGGGAATTAATCTCGAGATCTATCCTTGATAGCAACACGTACTCCTCTCGCCTTGGCAAAGGTACTTACGGGCTTTTCTCTCACCAACTCCAATGCAATAACCAAGGCAACAAACAGGTTATCGCACTGTGACTAGGTACCCAGCCCTTCAGGCACGCCTAGCAAGACCTTCCATTTAATACACACTACAACACAGCCTATCCACGTCTTAAACCATTCACAGCTTGTTCCTCTGTCCCAGATACACATGTGCCCTAAGCCCCTTCATCCTGGCGTTCACGGCTCGATTTCAGACCAGTCCAGTCTCGGGTACATGTCAGGGTGCATCCCACAGCCGCAGCCTATCCCATGCTCTTCTAGCCTGATTCCATCAAACGGGGCTCTTTAACTCAAATATCGCATGCTGGGTGCTCGCCCAGACAATGTACTCTCCCGTTTTAACTTCGCGATATAAGCATCCTCTATTGTTATCCCCTCACTCCCCCCCCCCCCCCCCCGGGGCGGAGCTTTCCCTATCATCGGGAGAAACAAATGCCGGCTTAGGGGTGGAGAGTGTGCCCAATGCGTTGCCCCGCCTCTAGGTAACCTGACCGCGAATGAGAGGGAATGACTGACCCTCGGCCCCAGGATCAGCTAGTTATTTCACAAGCTGACGTGTCTCGAAGTTCGCTCTGTGATGCAAGCCTTGCGTAGAGGGTAGGCTCTGGCTTATCGGGCGAGAGGGTAGATTAAGCTGACAGCAAACTTTGAATCTGTGTCCGTAGTTTCGGTTCACCAGCATGTCAACTTCACGTCAACGTCACGTCAACGTCACGTCATGTTAGCTTCTCGGCGCCTATGGCGGTTAATGCATACCATTTCTTCGGGATGACTGGAAGAATGAATAGCATGCATGAGGAGGAGAGGTACTATCGGGTACCAACTCAGTTGTGGCGAGAGTTGACTTCATAGTCGGAGGCTCTAGCTCGTTGAGGACCGAGGGTAGCCTAGAGTAGATTCTAAATTAGGACGAGGTCTTCATTTTGTGGAGGGAAAGGGAGTTCTTCGGGAGGGCCCCATGCTGAGGCTTATATATTGGATGCAGTCCCGTCTCTCTGCAGTCCTGTCTCTCTTGGCCTCATGGTCTTCTGTCCCCCTTTCCTGAATCCTCCAGCCAAGATACCGGGCACTTCCCTCTCAAACTCTTCTCACAAAGAAACCCTACATCTCCTCTTCTACCCACCACAGCTTTTCCCCCTCAAGGAACCCACCGCTCCACCAACATGCTTCTCAAATACTTCCTACTCAACACACTTCTTGCCCTAAGCTCAGTCACTGCCATTCCCAGTCCCGACACCGACAATTACGATGTCGAGGCCCGGAATGCCGATGACGATCCCGCGGGCCACCTCGTCGATCGCGCTGGCCGTTGCGGTTCGGACGCCTACTGGAACAGGAAACAGCACGCGTGTATCTGCCGTAGACGTGACGAGATCTTCGACAAGGAAATGAAGAAGTGCTGCCCCGAGGGTAAGAAGTGGGATGGACACAGATGCAAGCACGACTGCGGCGAGGATGCCGACTGGGACCGAAACGAGAGAGAGTGCGTCTGCAAGAAAAAACACGCGCGGTTCGAAAACAAGCAATGCACGTGCCCGGGTGATATGTGGGAAGGCCGCAATGAGTGCCATTGCAAGCGCGACATGTTCTGGAGCGACACCCAGCAGAGATGCAGGTGTCACGGGCGCAGGACGTTTGACAAGATTACAGGGAAGTGCAAACCCCATCACTAAACTGATCATGACTGGCCCAGATCATGAGTTGTGTGGGTAATGGCTGCTTTTTCTCATCACATTCTGCGCGACCTCATCTTGAGGCGTCGCCGTTTCCGCTCCTTTAAGGTACTGTTTTTTTTCTTGTGTTTGGTTAATTATGCAAAATGGCGAAAAAAGCAAAAAGGGGGCTGGGAGATGGGTGGATCAATATGATATCTGGCTTGAAATTGCTTCGAGGTGAGGGTAGCGACATTGAGGAGCAGGGCTTGTGACAAGGGGTGAAAAGGAGGAGGCTATTTTTCACAACGCAAATTCGAATCCAGGAACAGGAGGGCGGGGTGGAAAACGGTTCTATTTATGCCGCTCTTTTAGTTAATTCAGAAGCTCGTTAATAGTACTTATAGTTCAGCTCCCAGTGTGTCAACCCTACTTATAAACACTACTTAAGGAGAACCAACGTATATTAACCGACTCAAACTAGAAGCTAAATGTGTAGTAAAATTACTAAGCATAAAATCTAAGCATATAATAGGGTCTTAGAATTCATCCTACTCATAGATTGATAAATTTTCATTCCTTATTGTCGTTGTATTCGTCTTGCAAGTTGTTGACCTCGTCGTCGACTCCGGGTTTTGCAGCCAATCAGAAACCATATTTGGAATGGTGCAAATGTAGTAGACCCTATGCCTCATTCGGCATCCATATTGCTTTTTAAAGCTAGCAGGACGCCCCGAGAGTTTGTAATAAGCACCAGATCAATTGCACATCTGTTCAAACGCGCATTACATAATATGAATTTGATTAAGGGATTGCGATGAGTTTCATGTCTGAGAGGGTTTGAAAGGGGCCGAATCCAAACTTCAGATAATCTTAGCGACACACTGCACGCACCTGTTCTGGGAGATATCGATTTATTTTGATGACAGTTCCGTGAAATTTCGTCTTCCTAATTATTCTAAAATACTTCGAACACCCGTTAAGTTGCCAAGGCAAGGGGCTTAACGGCTGAATATCCAGCCCAAAGGGTAATACCGTATACCTGCAATTCAATTTTCATAGGGGGGATTTCTAGAACCCCCCTTTCGCCTGCGGCGGCAACTAGCTGTTAAAGCCGCGTCAAACCTGTAGTGGGGGAGTTGGCTGATACCTAGTCAGGGGTTCCTCTACCGCTTCCTGAGAGGCCGAATCTAACTATATACCATATATCGAACCTCCCCTTTCTATGTAGCTTATAGGAAGACGTCGTCTAGTCAAGGTGTCGCATATCACCACCATCGTGCGACCGGATGTGAAACGCGACCCATACCTTGGGTTCGTGTATCCGGTTTCACATCCAGCTTGTCGCGTCAAGGACTCCGATCCTAACGACATGAGCTTAAATAGCTGTTCAATTTCTTTTGTTCTTGAGATAATTCTCATCAATTGACTGGTGCCATCAATGATCCTTGTGGAGCCAATTGTCTGACAAATCCCTTACATCGCAGAGTCACCGAAACGCATCAAATGCATCACATTAGACCTCTTGTTACAACACAACAGCTACCGCGGCATATAAACTACCTCTACAAGAAGTGCCCAATTCGCTCGAAAACGTATCTCCAAGGCTTCCCTGGGTTGTTGGTTGGCCAATATGAAGAAAAGAAGGGAGAGGAGGAGGAGTGCTTTATGGACGCAAGGTCTGGAGGGAATGTGATTGTGGAGGGCCTCGGTGATCTCACCCACTCTCCCTCTCCTCTCGCACGGATCCAGGGGGAATCATTGACGAAGACACCAGCCCGCCCCAAAGAAACAAAGCGCTGCTGAAACGAAAAAAATGGCGCTGAGCCAGTGCTTCTTCTTAGTCTCGGTCGTGGCGGTCGTGCTGCCTTTGGCGGCGGGCTCGCCAGGCTTGGTTTCAGCGGTTTGGTTACCATTCTCAGCGGCCGCGTCGCCGTTCTCAGTGCCAACCACGGGAGTCTCAGCCTTGTCCTCAGCCTTGGGCTCCTCGGTCTTGACCTCCTCAGGCTTGACCTCCTCGGTCTTCGGCTCCTCGGTCTTCGTCTCCTTAGGCTCAGTGGAAGCCTCAGCCGGGGCCTCTGCAGGATTCTCCTCCACGGGCTTCTCTTCAGTGGGTTTGGTCTCGACGGGCGCCTCGACAGGCTTCTCCTCTGCAGCCTTGGTCTCGGCTAGAGACTCCTCCACGGGCTTGACCTCAACGGGTACCTCGATAGTCTTCTCTTCCACGGGATTTGTCTCAGCGGGCTTCTCCTCTGCAGCCTCAGTCTCGACTGGAGACTCCTCCGCGGGCTTGACCTCAACGGGGGCCCCGCCATCCTTCTCTTCCAGAGGCTTCTCCTCCGTGAGAGCAGTCTCAGCGGGCTTCTCCTCCGCAGGCTTCTCTTCTGTGGGCTTTATCTCTACGGGAGCCTCCTCGGCTGGTTTCTCCTCTACAGCCTTCTCGCCGACAGCCGCGGCCTCGGCGGGCTTGGTCTCGACAGGTTTCTCAGCGGCCATTGCAGCGGTGGTAGAGGCGGGGGTGACGGAGTTGATAATGGCGGCGGCGGGAGCTTGTTGGATGATTTGGTCGGGAGTGAGGAAGTTGTTGATGTTGCCCTCGTGGTTAGGTTCCTTTGGTGCGGCCTCGTTGATGACCCAGTTGTTGTCGACAACGAACTATTTAGCAGTAAGCGGCAACCCGAAAGCGTTTGCGCAGATTCAGCGTGCGACAGAGCAGCAATTGGGTCGAGAAGTGAGGATCTGGAGCGATGACGGTGAAGGCTGGTGTCGGCGGTGGAGGATTGTATATGCGGGCACACTAGCGCCAGCGCTGGCCGAGCTCACTTGGTAGGGACCTTGGCGAGGTGCTGAAGGTAGCCAAAGGTAGCCTGGCCTGACCTGACAAACCTTGGCCCATGGGCACCAGCGTCTCCTCACCGCTTCGTTCACGCAGGCACCACACGCAGAAGGGCAGCTTTTTTTTTTTTGGGGGGGGGGGGGGGGAGGAGGAGGGGAAGAAGCAGCATGCTTAAACGATAGGGCATCAAATCCAACCGGCAGGGTGCAGAGAAACGGGGGAATCGGGATGAATGGTTGTTGGGAGCTGGGACAGCACAGAGAAACGGGACTAGAGGCTAAGCCGCAGTCCCAAGCTTCTTAACCACGCACCTTGTAATATATCTTCTCCGAGGCATCCTTCAATTTGACCGTCTTCTGGAAAACATCGCCGTCCTTGTCGAGCTTGATGCTCTTGTTCCAGCTATCGAAGGTGCCGGTCACGTAGACCTCGTCGGCGGGACGCTCCCTAGGTGAAGCTTAAGGTCAGCCTCGAATGTCTTAGATATGGACGGAATGCCGCAATTCTCGGGCAGGCCATAGGGTAGCTATCGTGGAGAAGGTCCCATCACGGGATGGATGGAGGAGGTTGGAACATATTACCATTTGAACGTGAAGCTGCCCATCGCTGCGAGTAGGTATCAGATGCGAGGGATTCTGCGGTGGCGATGGGGAGCATGAAACGAGGCGGCAGGCCGTGCGGGAAGGTTTGTGGTGGGAGAGATGGATGGATGGGATGGGTGGTTGGGAGGAGAACGAAATTAAAGATCGCTGTCAGAACGGGGGATACAGTAAACCACCTCCTCCACCACCACCACTACCACCGCCAACGAGGACAGCCGGTCCAATGCGTAGGTAGTTAGTAGAGAGGTACAGTAGGATACAAGGCGATGAACGAATGGCGAAGGGGAGGTAAAGCAGCTTACTTGCGGATGATGCAAAGCATTGATTGACGATGAGGATGCGGATGCGATCCCCTCCTTGACGTCTTCCTTAGCTGCTCGGCAATCGCCAGAAAATGCCTTTTCTGTTGTTCAATCACGAGAGATGTTGATCTCAAAACGCTGCCATGCGTCTACGAGGGCGGGCTTGTTCTTATGGCCGACCACGAGATTCCTCTATTCCAGCACAATCCCATCGTATCTTGTTGCCAAGTACCTTCCGAAGATTTTTCATACTGGTGGCGCCTGCGAATGCAACGAAGCCAGATATGGCCGATGACTCTTCCCATTCCTTCTCGCCCATTGGGGCATGGATTCAACGCTGCAGAAATTGGATGTGCGCCACACAGTTCATCACACTTGTCACAAACTCAAATACAACTTGAGTTGCCAGTGATTGGGCTGTGATTTGCCAAAAGAGGTTTTAATGATCCTCTTTAGCGTTCTCTAGCATGTGATTCTACTGCTGCTTTCAGCGCTTATGCAAGACCGTACTGTAGGTAGGTACTCTATAGTTATTCTATGCACATCCTTCCCCACAACCGAGTGTACACCTCCATCTGCCTTGTCTACGCATGCCTTTCAGTCTTTCGCAATCCCAATCACGGGCCCTTGAAATCGCCTAAGCCAATGACTAGATGACATCTCGGCATTTCTACCACTACTTCAGGAGGGCGGGAAACCAACACAAGAAATGAAAATCCCAGGGTGATTACAGCAAGGAAGAAGACCAGCACAAATTGCCCAGGACCAATGAGGGCCAGTGAGTGACGCTAGATGTAATCGTCAGATTAGAAGGCTCCTAAGCAAAAACCTTATATCGGCCCACAGACGTAGTGACAAAGATAATGACGAGGCTGTGATTACACTTTGACCAATGTCTGTCAGTCTAGAACGCCAACTCAACGGAATTGAGTGTTGTGAGAAGTTTGAGGCTGTAACAGGAGAGGCAAACTGGTCGCGGTTTGCGCAAAAGAGCCTTGAGGAACGAGATTGGATATGGCGGTTTTCGCAAGGTGCCTTTACAGCATTGATGGCCAAGAGCCTGCTAAGGCATGGGAGATCCTTTGGTGGTGTTTCATGCGGCCGGAATTGGTGAATGGGTGTGTAGGGTAATCATGGTGGCGCATTTGACACGCCATCTATGCCCTGCAACGTCATAATAAAAAAACAATGACGGTCTGAAAGGGTGGAAAATGCGGGGGATCAGGATGATGAAGCATTCAAAGAATTTTATGATAAACCGACCTGGAATCATTCGAGGCCTTCCTTCAAACGAAGACACAATTGTGTTCCCAGAATCCTTATCGAACTATGGCCAGCTGCTCGGTTCGCTTTGAGTTCTACTGTGGCGAGGCCCAAGAGCTCAAGTACACTCACGATATCGCACCAAGCCATGGGGATCAGATGTGGAAAGAAGCTCTTGATTTCTATGTAATGAGGGTCTCGCAGATCGGTCTTATAGACCATGCTGCAGTCAGAGGCCGGCCCGGGACGGACTCTCCACGATTACTATACGTTCATGCTGTCAAAGTGAGTAGGAAAATGCCATGCTTGTGAGGGTTATTGAGAGTTAATTGGCCTTAACCACTGCCCAAGTCAAGAGGACGAAGGTCCCAGTTATATACACAACAACGGTGCCCAAGTGGGTCGGGACGCCACCTCGGCTGGAGCGGAATATCGCTTGACACATGCTTCCGCAAGGGGCCCGACGCTTCGGCTACACGCAAGAAATCCGGGGTCCCCACTGCCCAGCCCAACATGTCTCCGGGGAGGATGACATGATGATCAAAGATGGGGTATGGGAAGAAAAGTCGGTGTCATCGTCTTGTCCTGTCTGTCTTGCTTCAGACCATGTCCCTCGGAGCACTTGCACCGAGCCCTTAGTCCTCCTAACGCCCAAGCCTGTTTCCCACCTATTTTTAAAAATGGCTCGCCCGAACTTCGGTACATCCCTTCTGTTGCACATGCAAGGCCATCGATCAGGCATGGCGATGACACTGAGGCAGAGGCTGGCTGAATTACCGCCATTCTGTCCATTGTGACGAAGGCCCCTTGACTGATTGGATCCGAAACTCTCCCAATTAATATTGCCCACCCTTGACGTCCTAAGCCCCAATGTGTCAGCATTGCTGTCTCTGTTCTATGTTCCGGGTTTTTACACGAACCCCCACCGCAACTTGCCCCCGCCATGCAATGCCAGCGTTGACCTCTTCCAACAACCACCAGCAGATTATTTTGTTTCCAAGTTCTACTTTCCATCGGCCGAAAGAAAGAACTTTTTGATCGTGGCTGCTGACTCCTTGATGACTTGGTCTGCCCGGGGCCTTCGGGACAATGGCTTTCCCTCCCTCCGATACAAGCCTCCCGGCATTTCTTGCTGACCTTGCATTGTACCCAGGGTTGTTATATTAACTACTAAGTTAGTTAATAGTTAATTTAGTAGTAACTACTAACTAGTGTGGTTAATTGTTAATTTAGTAGTAACTACTAACGAGTGTGGTTAGGTAGTAGTTAGTCGCTCTACATATAAAGCGGGCGGGAATTTAATATTAACACCAGCACAATTAGTGTGATCATATATTTGAATCTCATCAGAATGCCAACTATTAACCATTCCCTCCACACTAAAATTCCTAAGCCTCACACTAATAGGTGCCCCAAAAATTTCGGTACAGAAGGCTATATAGCTAACCGCAAACATATAAACCCATGAGTCCAGTGTCCAACAAGAAAAGGTTAGCATTCGGCGGATTTGAGTCCTCCAAAGATAGGGCAGGAAAATTCAATCTGCGAATAAGCTACTAGACCTTGACGGGGGCACGGGAGTTAGCCGCGGCAACAAAATGGCCCCAGGTAATCAACTCTCTGCTGCAATCGTCTTGATGAATGTTGCACTCGATGATCGTTGGCCCATCCTTATGTGCCATTGCCCTCTCAACGGCTTCGGAAAACTGCTCTGCAGTATGCGCCTCAATGCCAAGGGCACGCCCTCCGCCCTCCGTAGAATTGAATGCGCGGACGAGGAGCCCATAGTTCCAGTTTTGAAGACGGTTGTACAGCCCGTCGTGGATCTCGACCTCGATCGTGTAGCCCCTATTGTTCATTAAAAGCATAATGATAGGCACCCGGTTTCGTACCATCTGGGAGACCTCCTGGACTGTCATCTGGAACGCGCCATCCCCCACCATCACGATGGTCCTCCTCTCCGGCTTGGCCAGGGCGTAACCAAACGAAGCTGGTATCGTCCATCCAATATGGCCCCATTGCATCTCGATCTCAAACTCTGCCCCGGACGGAAGGCCTAGTTGGATTCCGTTAAACCACGAATCTCCAGTGTCGGCGAACACTGTCGTCTCTGGAGTCAGAAGGAGCTGTATCTGTTGAACGACCTCCTTTCTAGTCAACATCTCCTGCCTACGGGAGGGGTGTCCTAAAGGGGGGTCGAGACGCAGTCGGTTGTACTCGATCATCGTGCCGTCGTTCCAGCTGGCTGCTTCGGCTAGTCTGGACAGGAAATCGCACAGCCGCACGTGACTGAAATAGGCACTTGGATCAGTCAAAGTCACGCTCTCCATATCGACGACCAGTTGCGGAACACTGGGCAAAGCCGTCCAGCCGACCGTGCTGTAGTCCGTAAACGCGGTGCCGGTACATATGAGGACGTCAGCCCAGTTGACAATAACGTCCGCTGCGAGCGTGCTGACTTGGCCCCAGAAGATGCCTGCGAATTGTGCGTGGTCCTCGGGGAAAGAGCCCTTAGCCGCTGGCTGAAGGACAACGGCGCACCCGATAGCCTCCACCAGCCGGAGCAGTTCCTGCTCCGCGCCAGCCCTTCGCACTTTCGGGCCGACAAGAATAACGAGCTTCTGCTTGGTGCTGAGATATTTAGACGCTCTAGCTACAGCAGCATCCAGCGCCGGCCCATCGCTCGGGGTGGGCTCAACCAAGGCGCTGATGGGCCCAGGCCGGGCACATAGCTCTCCAGACAGGTTCGTCGGCACTTCGATGTACGCCGGTTTTCGTTTTAAAAGCGCCATTCGAATGGCCCGATCGATCAACTCCGGGGCATGGACGGCTCCGCGGATGGCCACGGCGCAGCAGGTGATCTTCTTGGCCATCTCAAGCTGGTAGGTGAAGTCATAGTCGCCGAGCGTGTGGTGAAGTAGGCGTTGGCCCACGTCGTTGGTGTTAGGCGCTCCGCTGACGAGAATAATGGGGAGATTTTCCGCGTACGCACTGCCGACGCCGTTGAAGGCCGAGAAGGCGCCTACACTGTACGTGACGACACAGACGCCGACGCCGTTGGCGCGGGCATAGCCTTCGGCGGCTAGCGAGCAGTTGAGCTCATTCGTGCAGCCGACCTCGGTCAGTGCTGGGTTCGCCTCTAGTTTGTCGAGGAGAATGAGGTTGTAATCGCCTGGGACGATGAAGTGATGGCGAACCCCGATTTGAGCGAGCCGTTCGGCAAGATAATCGCCAACTGTGAAATGGGCCATGATGCAGGGCGTGAAACTAGTTGCTGGCTATGACTTGGGTGGTTTTGACTGCGAAGTGTGCTGAATGGGATTCTATATTTATGATGATGGATGAAAAGGTGCAATATGTTGTTCGTCCTTTACAGCCCATAGTCATACACATTTAACTGCAAACTGTTGGATAAATTACGGTGCTGCTCTTGGTAGGTTAATTACTCACATGTTAAGTTGTCAGGAAGGGTGTGGGTCGCATGCCTCGTTCGATGCCACTCAGCTCAACAGTCTAGGCACATGCCTATGTGAATTCCCTAGGATCCTCCAGCATCCATCCAAATCCCTATGGTAACCGCAGGAGGTAGCAGCACAAGTAACTAAGTAGCTAGGTCCGGGACCCCAGGGGCCTCGGCAAGGTCAATTCAATCACTCGTTCACATCCCTGTTTTTCTCATGCACGCATATTTCCTATGATTGTAATAAAGTTTGTTTTTATCAAGAGTGACACGTCAGAATGAATCACTTTGAACAGAACACAGAGACCGCCTTGGCTCTAACATGTGATTAATGGGCTCGTAATGATAGTTACGCGGGCATGACGCGGTGATGATTTGGACATCATCGGTGAGGACAGGACAGGTCCGATATATGATCTGACACTGAGAGCTTGCTCCAGCCACAACCGACCAAAGTTTAGCTAGCTGAGGTTCGAGCCCTCTTAGATAGCCAGCGCGGACTCACGGGTGGCATGATCCGAAGGCACAACGGCTAAAGATATGTCACACCTGGGATCTAACTTGTCCGCGCTGTCGAATAACTAGTGCCGACTATCGTTCCGGCTGACCAAGTCTCGGCAATGAACTGTAAGTGGCTGTAAGCCTCACATCCGTAATTCCATTTCTCATGCCCTCCGGGTTTCACGTGGACATTTCCTTCTCGTCGCTCCGTTATTTTTAGGATCGACTTGCGGTTGCAACGCGAGCAAGATGCCATCTCGTTCGTAAGACTTATCACCATCGGTTTACATAGTGAGAGTTCACGATATGAACGACGTTGGAACCACTGGACTTCTAGTCCGTACATTCGAGACCCTAGCACGCAGCGATGTTGCCTTGGTTGGTGGAAAGAATTCTTCTCTGGGTGAAATGATCAGTACCCTCGGGGCAAAGGGAATTGCCGTACCACCTGGGTTTGCAACGACTTCGCAAGCGTATTGGCAATATGTCGACGCCAATAGTATCCACGACAAGATGGCCGCGCTGGTCACAGAATGGCAGCTTGGCAAGCAGAGTCTTGCCGATACCGGCCAAGCTGTGCGCAGTCTGTTCCTCCGAGGCACCTGGCCGGAGGATGTAGCAGCTGCCATCAGAGCTGGCTATCGCGAGCTTTCAGCCAATGCCGGAGTTGAGAACCTGAGCGTTGCGGTACGCTCCAGTGCGACGGCGGAGGACTTGCCCGATGCAAGTTTCGCCGGTCAGCAGGAGACTTATTTGAACGTCTCAGGAGTAGACGCCCTTTTGCATGCTTGCCGACGTTGCTATGCTTCGCTCTTTACCAATCGGGCCATCAGCTATCGCCAGGCCAAGGGATTCGATCACACAAGCATAGCACTCTCGATTGGCGTACAGCGAATGGTTCGCTCCGATATTGGCGGCTCCGGTGTTATGTTCTCTATTGACACCGAAAGTGGATTTGACAAGGTGGTGCTCATCAACGCAGCGTGGGGGCTCGGAGAGAACATTGTGCAGGGAACTGTTAATCCCGACGAGTATCAGATCTTCAAGCCGCTCTTGTCCGATACTAATATGGTCCCGATCCTGGAGAAAAAGTGCGGCGACAAGGAGATCAAAATGGTCTACGGCGATATACACATGCCAACTCGCAATGTGCCTACCTCCAAGGCAGAGCGGGCCGCCTTTGTGCTCAGCGACAAGGAAATCCTCCAGCTGGCCCGCTGGGCATGTACGATTGAGGAGCACTATGGCTTCCCAATGGACATGGAATGGGCCAAGGATGGCATCACGGGCGAGCTATTCATCGTTCAGGCTCGGCCGGAAACGGTGCACTCGCACCGCAACGCTGCCATCTTCAAGACATACAAGGTCGGCAACAAGGGGCGTGTCCTGGCCACCGGTCTTTCGGTCGGCGATATGGCCGTCTCGGGTCGACTCTGCCTCATCGGAGCGGCTAAGGACATTGATAAGTTCGTTGACAACTCGATCCTGGTGACAGAAGCAACTGACCCGGACTGGGTGCCGTTGATGAAGAGGGCCGCGGCCATCATCACCGACCATGGCGGACGCACCTCGCATGCCGCTATCGTCAGCCGTGAACTCGGCCTTCCGGCAGTAGTAGGCTGTGGCAATGCCACCTACGTGCTGCACAGCGGCCAGGATGTCACCGTCTCCTGTGCCGAAGGCGACACTGGCTTCGTGTACGAGGGAATCTCTGATATCACAACACAGACAGTAGATCTTTCCGAGCTGACCGAGGCTCGGACCAAAGTCATGCTCAATCTCGCCAATCCGGCGGCCGCCTACCGCTGGTGGCGGCTCCCAGCCGACGGCATTGGCCTTGCCCGCATGGAGTTTGTCGTCAGCAACGCTATCCAGGTCCATCCCATGGCACTCGTTCACTTCGATCGGCTGGGAGATGCGGAGGCCAAGCGACAAATCACCCGACTGACAACCGGATACAACAGCAAGCCCGACTACTTTGTCGATAAGTTGTCCCACGGCCTCGCAGCCCTGTGCGCCGCTGTTTATCCCAAGCCGGCCATCATTCGCATGAGCGACTTCAAGACAAACGAGTACGCTGGCCTCATTGGCGGCGCTGAATTCGAGCCCAAGGAGGATAACCCCATGTTAGGCTTCCGCGGCGCCTCGCGATACTACTCACCGCGGTATAGCGAGGGTTTTGCTCTCGAGTGCCGCGCCATCAAGCGACTACGTGAGGAGATAGGCCTCACCAACGCCATCGTCATGATCCCCTTTTGCCGGACGGTTGACGAGGCTAAGAAGGTCCTGGATGTCATGGCTGAAAATGGGCTCAGGCGCGGCGAAAACGGCCTGCAAGTCTATGTGATGTGCGAGATCCCGTCCAATGTCATCTTGGCCGCCGAGTTCACTGAGTACTTTGATGGATTCTCCATCGGCTCCAATGACCTGACGCAATTGACCCTCGGCGTAGACCGCGACTCCGGCGAGCTAGCCGACTTATTTAACGAGCAGGACGAGGCTGTCAAGTGGATGATCGCACAGGTTATCTCGGTGGCCCGCAAGAAGGGCAGCAAGATAGGCCTCTGCGGACAGGCGCCGAGCGACCATCCAGCATTCGCCAGGTTCCTAGTCAATGCCGGCATTGATTCGATCTCTGTCAGCCCCGACAGCTTTTTTGCAGTGAAGAAGCACGTAGTAGCTAGTGAGCAGACACAATTATCTACTGGGACCATGGGATGATGGGGTAGCTATGCTGAAAATTTGATTTTGTGTATAATGGCCTTAGAACTGTATGCTTGTAACTTGACGGCCACTCAGAATGAATCATCGGCAGGATGAGGTAGGAGTCAGCTTATAATTGAACATTAACCTTTAAAAAACAATATATCAATTCGCAAGTGACAAAGAACCTTAGCCGAACTCGCATCTGACCGAAGTGTTACTACGTACAACAATGTTGTGAGTTCCAGCTTCGTGTTGCACCACGCTTCAAAACTAAAAGCCCCGATGGACCCAGTCAATACTTTCTTTCAGTTCCTTCACTGACTTGGCCATGTCGGCCTCCTCGTCGCTATCCAACGGCACAGAGATCGTACTGGCAACTCCATTTCTCCCGAGGACAGAGGGCAAGCTGAAACAGCAACCAAACTTTGGTTGAAAATGGCTTACAGGCCGTACATTGCGCTTATCCAAGAGGATAGAGGAGCAAATGCTCGACACGATAGAGCCGATTCCAAAGGGGGTCGCACCTTTGGCTCGGACTATACTCCGTGATCGATTTTTGCACTCATCCGAAAGCTCAGCACGGTTAAGAGTGTTAGGGAGCAGAGATTTGTCGATGGGGACGCCGCCAATTGTTGCCGCCGACCAGGCTACAACTTGAGAATCTCCGTGCACGCCCAACACGTAAATATCTATCGACTTTGCCGCGACCTAGAGCTCTATTAGCATAGCTAGAAAGGGAATGTAGGGACATGTGCCACTCACTCCCACCCGGTCCGCCATTAGCCCACGAAGTCGCACGGAGTCGAGGAAAGTGCCTGAGCCCAGGACTTGAGAGGGAGGAAGTCCAGAGAGGTCCTGTGCAATGGACGTGAGCAAGTCAACTGGGTTCGCAACAACGAGCAAGATGGTGTCTGATCTGAATGGCGTCATTGCTTCGATTATGTTCCGAACAATCGAAATGTTCCGGGATGTGTAGTCGATCGTGGTTTGGCCTAAGGGGTTATCAAGTGAGCTCGGGTGCCAGAGGAGAGCAAGCAATCAGCCTCCTACTATTCCTTTCCCGTACCTATGGTGTGCTTGGATCCTGCTGTGATGACCACAATGTCGCACTGGGCTGCCTCATGGTACGTGGCCGCCCGCACACGCGTGCCGCTGTTGCTACTATAGGCCACATCGGAGAGGTCCTGAGTCTGGCCGTCTCTCAAGTCAATGTCGATGTCAACCAAGAGTAACTCGGCCGCGACGGAGGCGAGAACAAGGGCGTAGGCTGCGGCGCCGCCGACCTGACCAACACCAATAATTGCGATCTGAGGCTCAGACACCATGGTTCTGGACATAGTTTGACCAGCAGTCGAGTCTGCTCTCGAGACAGCTTGCTTCCCTCTTTAGCATTATGAGCACCAGGTAAGTGGCGTGAGGGGATCATATGACTAGTAAGTGACGTAAAATGCCGGCACGCTTGACATCATGGAGGTTTCATGGCTGAATCATATCATAACACCGGAGGAGATATAGGGTTTCTGGTACCAGGTCATTACAAACTTTACCTTATAACTATCCATATCGATGCTATACATCCTGTATCTGTGCATCCAGTCTCTGCTACGGGCATTATACATCGGGCAGGGTGGTCTGACCCTGCATCGTCCGTAGTAGCTGTCATAGCCAAACTCAATTTAATATGCAGATTGGGAGCCACATGCCAAAGTTAATTCACTCGACTTTTGAGTTTGTGGCTGGGTCATATCGTATGATGGCTTGCGTACTCATGAATCCATTCGGCCGATAGCCATGTGTGCTTTGTGAGTCATATGTCAATCTTCTAAAAAGCTTTTCGCTCAGTTATGCTTGATTTTGAGCCCCGTCACAACCGCTAAGTCTCACCTCTTGATTATACTACCAACTATGGCTTCTTTTGACATCCCAAGAGAACAATGGGCTCAAGTAGTCGAAAGGTCTTGTGGGCGTATGTAATCTGCTTTCTATATTCGGCTCCCAATGCTAATCGCTAATGTTGATTGACCGTAGTAGTTTATGAGAAAATCCCCGTGCAAACGCCGGGCCCTGATGAGGTTCTCGTCAACGTGAAGTACTCGGGAGTCTGCCACACCGATCTACACGCTATGATGGGTGATTGGCCACTGCAGAGGAAGATACCACTTGTTGGTGGCCATGAGGGCGCTGGGATCGTGGTCGCAAAGGGTGAGCTTGTTACAGGCATAGAGCTTGGTGACCAGGCCGGCATCAAGTGGTTAAATGGCTCTTGCCTACAATGCACCTTTTGCCTGCAAGGGGACGAACCGCTCTGTCCCCAAGCTCTCTTATCCGGTTACACTGTCGATGGAACCTTCCAACAATATGCCATCGCCAAGGCAGCGCATGTTACCCGCATTCCAGCCGAGTGTACCCTCGAGGACGTGGCTCCGATCCTCTGTGCAGGCCTTACGGTCTATAAGGGGCTCAAAGAGTCCGGTGTTCGCCCTGGGGAGTACGTCGCTGTAGTTGGCGCGGGCGGCGGCCTCGGATGCTTTACTCTTCAGTACGCCAAGGCCATGGGCATCTACAGCATCGCGGTGGATACTGGGAGTGATAAAGCCCAAATATGTAGGGATTTAGGGACAATGACATTTATCGATTTCAAGAAGTCGGGCGATCTTGCTGCAGATATTAAAGCTGCAACCCCGGACGGTTTTGGGCCCTATGCTGTCATTCTACTCGCACCTCACGAGGAGCCTTTCCAGCATGCATACACGTATGTTCGTCCACACGGCACTGTTATGTGTATTGGCATGCCAGGCAATGCATATCTCAATGCGCCAATTTTCGACATCGTCGTCCGCATGGTCAACATCAGAGGCAGTTATATAGGGAACCGCCAGGACGCAGCCGAGGCTATTGAATTCTTCCGACTTGGACTGATTAAAGCGCCGCATAAGCTTCTCGGTCTGAGCCAGCTCCAGAATGTGTATGATATAATGCTAAAGGATGAGGTTGTGGGTCGGTATGTGGTTGATACAAGCAAGTGATATTTGTCACGACCCAGGTTGGGACCAGGCGGTCACAACCGGCAGAACCATGACGGTACCCACTTTTCACCCATTGGCCGAGAAGCCCATGCACGATGGTCTAGTATCAGTGCCCCACTAAGACCACTCCAGGCACCCAGTATATAGACACTCATTTAGCACTTTCATAGACAGGATAGCCTCACCAGCTATCAACACACTTGGTTACATTGAATCTACTATTCTACCATTACCAGACCGTGACCTACATTGCTCACTACGACGTCCTGATCCACTCGATCATACACCTCACGCCCGGACCTACCCTATACCCCTAGGTTAGACCCGACCGTCACAATATTAGTGTTAATTATAGGTTATCGCAATATGAACAGTTGGGAAGACAACGGTGATATCGAATGGATGTTGGATCTGTTACAGCTAATTCGATCAGGGCAATAGCATTTAAGACGATAGTGGAGACCAATGATAATTGTATTTTTTTATTTTGTTTCTTGGGACCCCTCTTTCTATAAGGGATTTTTACTGTTAATCTTACCTCCTCTATAACTAAGATTAGGATTTAATATACTAGAGGATTATATCTATCCAGTGTCACGGGCCAGGGCCCATATCCTTGCGGCTGTGCCGCAAGACGTACTTGGCTCGTGCGCGCCAGGGATGGGAAATCATTCCACAGCTCAGGGGCACTTAGGAATTTCTTTCTTTCTTCTTCATCTTTGATGTAAATAGCATCCTGGACTAGATAGCTGGAATACAGTTACTAGAGGCCGTTCACATCCAGCTCTGTTAGATTAAGAATTTATATAGTGGTATTATATACCTAATCTAGAATTGTCTAATATTAGGGTGAAAAAATTGTGTATTGTTTTTTTCTATATCTTGAGGTTTTTAGAGTAAGCTTTATATACCCTTTCTCTTCTGTGTAGAATCAGCTAGAAGCTGATTGCTAAGCCTTGTGGCAATAGGTGGCGATAGGTGGCGACAGGTAGCAACTTTTGCCTCTGACATATCTGACAAGAATACTAACTCTACTATGCCTGATATAGTATAATAGTAATAGTAAATTTATATCTTTTTAATATTTAAATCTAAATTTTATTAAGTATAAAGATGCTGTTGCCTTGTGTAACGATCCACACTTCGTATTACGTCTCCTAGCCCGTCAGGCTAAAAGATAAGTCTATAATCACAATGGTAGCGATTATAGGTGTGGATAACAGCTATTAAATAGGGTCTCATGCACGCCCGGCTCGCCCAGGTCGTAACACCTTGGGCTTGGTGTTACGACCCAAGATGGGAACAGTGCGAAGACGGAACGGAATATCACGCATTCCGTGCCGACCAATAAGGGTGTTCGTCACATGCAAGTCGAACGAGGTCGGTTCGACTCCGTTCGACCGACCAATGAGGTTGTCCGCATGCAAGTCGAACGAGGTCGGTTCGACTCTGTTCGACTCTGTTCGACCCACAAAAACAGGAAGTATATAGTTCCATTCGTTTGCACATTTCCTATGTCGAGATAGCTCTCCAGCTTTCAATACAATTTGATTACTCAAGAATACTTCTTGACATTATCAGACGTGATTCGCCACTCCACGCTCAGTACGTTACGCCCCGTTTCAACTGCCAACATAAACCCAGCAGGTTACGGTTTACTACGTTGGGAACCTTGACCGTCACACTTGGGTTTGGGCCCTCACACTATTATTCTTATTACTGGTTTTTTTTTTTTTTTTGACTTTTTAACCTCTGGCCTCCCTCTCTGAGTGTGTGCTGCCCAGGACTATAACCTCAATTAAGTATAAAGTAGAGCCTCTATAAGCTTTACTTAATATAGGAATAATGTTACGACCCAAGATGGGAACGGTGTGAAGACGGAACATCACACATTCCGTGCCGACCAATAAGGTTGTTCGCCACATGCAAGTTGAACGAGGTCGGTTCGACTCCGTTCGACCGACCAATAAGGTTGTTCGCCACATGCAAGTCGAACGCGGTCGGTTCGACTCCGTTCGACCGACCAATAGGGTTGTTCGCCACATGCAAGTCGAACGAGGTCGGTTCGACTCTGTTCGACTCACAAAACCACGATCGACCAAGTAAATCAGAATAGTATATATAGCTTCACTCATTCCCACTTCTCTGTTTAGATAGCTCTCCAGCTTTTCAATACAACTTGATTACTCAAGAATACTTCTTGACATTATCAGACGTGATTCGCCACCCCACGCTCAGTACGTTACGCCCCGTCACAACTGCCAACATAAACCAATCAAATTACGGTTTACTACGCTTGGGAACCTTGACCGTCACAATATAACGCAGATTCACAGCCACTGCTTTAGTGATGTTGTACTTTTCGTACAACACGGTTGTACATACATACGTACAAAAAGAAAAAGTACGTACACGTACTACGTACGTACAATGAGGGTCCATGATATTCCTAATAAGGGAATTTGTGGGTCACATCGTACAAATACGGGGCTGTACAAAAACTCTGCTCGCTTCGCAGCTCAACGCACTCTGCCATTCTCTCCCAATTGAAGGTATCGCCAAAAAGATGGCGCCCACCAATGCTAACGCTGCCTTCGTTTGGCGACAGTTTATCGACCTCGGCCGCTCTAACTCCAAAAAAAGCAAGCGATACAGATGCCGTCACTGCCAGAAGGATTTTGCAGCAACCTCTATTGGGAGGCCGAAAGAGCATCTCGCTGCGTGTGAGAAATGGCAAGCCAAGCAGAGACAAGAGCGTCAAGCTCAAGATAACGCTGGCTATCTTCCCTCATATTCTGAAGCTATACAAAAGAAGATAACTGAGGTCGGAATTCAGCATATCTCGCAAGATGAGAGTCACAGTTTCGCCTATGATGCTGCCGCTGCCGTAATCGCCGGCGGCCGCCCCTTCAGCCTCTTCGAGAGCCGCCGTTGGCGTTATTTCTTCACTCGCATTAAGCCTGGCTGGAAGCCCCCTAACCGCGCCGTTATCACGAGAATCCTTCCCGACTTCTATCAGGAACTCTATGACGAGGTTTTCAAACGCATTATGAGCTCAGAATGGTTCAATATCATATTTGACGCTTCCGATAATGTCTCGGGCCACAGAATCGTTAATATCTCGGTACAACTACCAGACGGCCCAGCCTTCTACTGGAAAACGTTTGACACGGGGGACGAACAGCACACAGCGGAGAATTGGGTGAAGTTGATATGGGGAGAAATGCAGCAACTGTGCGACGGTGATCTCTCCAGAATCAATTCTATCTGTACAGATACCGAAAATACGATGCGCTCTGTACACGACTTACTAGGGAGATTCCCAGAGCTCTCACATATCAACTTCTCTCTATGCGATTCTCACGGCCTTCAGCTTCTAATCAAAGATATCCTTCTTCTTCCATTCTTTGAGGATCTCTTTAACAACGTCAGCACCCTTCTCACGTTCTTCTCACGGTCTAAATTACAATTGCAAAGATTGAGAATGTGCCAGCGCACGAGATGGAACGGAGTAACTCGCGCGCTGATCAGAAGGTACCAGTAAATCGCCAGCTGTGACTGAGAAATCACTGTACTAACTCGCTCGTTCCGAATAGTGCAATTACACGCTGGGGTTCTCAGTACAATTCTTTCTTCTCCCTCCTCCGTTCCCGAGACCCTGCCAGAGACTGGTCTATTCGAAAAGATGTACGAGATGAGCTGCGATCTCAAGATTGCCCCGTTCTCCTACCCGAAGCGGTTCGAATCATCAAAGACAACAGCTTCTGGCTAAAACTCGAGGCTGCGATCGCTGTGCTAAAGCCGGTGAACCAATTTCAACACGCTTCCGAGGCTGATGGGGCGGGAATCGCACACGTTGTAAATCGCTGGCTGCAAATCAAAAGCAAATGGGCTGAGATGAGAGAGGCTGATCAGTTTCCTGATATTCCGTGGGACGATATTGACGCTATATTCAAAACCCGGCTTGATAAGCAAACGTACGATATACATTGGATCGCCGATGCCCTCCGGCCTGATACAACAGGCCCAAATTCGAAACTGCCGCCTAGCGTCTTTGCGCGCGTACAAGAGTATTTGCGGAAACAGCTGAAAAACGACAACGAATATCACCGTGCCCTTTCCGAATTCACACACTTCCGAATGCGTACAGGCGGCCCAGACGGCTTATTTAATAAGCACAGCGCTGTATACGACGATGGCTTCAAGCCAGCAATGGCGTGGCAGTGCCTCCTCAACCAGGGCTCGATGCTGGCTAGAGTAGCTGTGAAGGTAATGAACACGCTTGCGAACTCCGTACCCTCAGAACGAAGTTTCTCTGCTATTAGTTTCATACATACGAAAGCTCGGAATCGGCTTACGCCCATGCACGCTGATATGCAGGCCTTCATTTTTATGAACGACCGCGTATTAGATCGCCTTAAGGATCAGAAGTACGCCCATAAAAAGCGCTGGGCGGATCTTGAGGAGAAGGACTGGCTAGAACTCGAAGATTCATATCTCGAGTTATTTGTGAATGCGCAGGGCAAGAAGGTCTGGATGGATGGCGTGATGGCCTCTACCAATGGAGATTTTGAGTGGGAGGGTGTATTACAGTCGACGGGTGATATATTGAGGGTTGGCACTGAGGTGGAATCAGAGGTTTGAGGCTAGAATGGCAGAAGAACATGACCGTGAGAACCCTACTACCAGTATTGCCTAAAATGGAAGGGGGAAATTTGTATGGTACGTATTTGTATGTACAACCCCATTGTACGTACGTACTATGGCTAAAATACAGTACGTACGTACATACGTGTACAATAAATTGCATCACTACACTGCTTAGCCTCAAAGGGGCCAACTAAGCTTCCAGATCTCAATATATACTATTTCCTTCTAGAAGGCCCACCAAGCACCCTATTCGAAGGAGGGTCGGAATATAGCCGCGGCAGCAACGGATTCTGCTCCACTGAATAAGAGGTGGACAGCGGAGTAGGGCCACCGGAAGGTAAAATAAAGGTCCAGATGCCCTCTCTATAAGAAAGGGACTCACCCACAAACTCTATCTTCTATCCAAATACCAGCAACGTTAATCTGGTGCCTCGCTTACTCTCTCGTTCCACCCACCCCTCCTCATCATACTTCCTCATTCAGTTTATTCATTTTAACTCTCCCCTCCGCAACTAACAACTCCCCCCAACAGCCCCCTGCTGCAGAAGCCAACCGATGCTAAGAATTCAGTCACGTCCAATGGAAGTCTTGGTCTAGATGAGAAGGATGGAGTAAAGAGAATGCAACTGCCTCAATCGAAGATGTCTGCCATACTGGTTCCCTATAGGCGTCCCAGACTTACCCTTTGCTACGATAGAATCCACCAGGTTCGCATCCGGCCCGCGATGCCAGTCGAAATCTCGGCCGTAGCTCCGGTTCTCTTCTATGGAGAGCCTAGAATCACGGAAACGGTTGGTCAAGGCCGATTTCGCTAGTGGGACCGAACTAAAGGGCCCCTAACTTAATGGTACCGCCGCTCAACATCGTGAGGCTGTAACAAGCAAAGATCGCCGCTCGGGGGACATCTGCCTGCGGTGATCAAATCATCAAAAGCAACCCGTCTATCACCACCTCTCTCTTATGAGCCAAACAGCTGAGTTGACGTGATAATTCCCGCTGTTATGGACCATATCGTTCAAACTGGAGCTTCCTAGCCCAAAGTCTCAGACCACGGGCCCCAAATCCCCCACACTTAGGGTAGCATCTTCGCTGGAAGGATAAATGAGGCGCACATGCCTGCGCCGCTTACCCCCTAGACCAACGCCTCAGAAAATATGCCAGCCCCTCAGTTGCAGGAATGCAGACGCGTGCTGCAGCAGACTGGTGGTGCTTTTGACGGAGTTCTTGCTCCAGGGATACGTACTTCGTGCTGGGGCTGACGCTTAATATCCGTCTGGGCGACATCGTGGTCAGGCCTCACCAAAGGCTCGAGTGTATTTAACAAGGCTTCCACATTTTGTCTTTTGTTAGATTGAGGGAGAAAGATATTCCTGCACGTCACCAGCGCATTAGCTGGACAAACGCAAGTTACAAATCTTCCCGATAACGAGGGTGGCAGGTTAGTTATATTTGCTAGTCTTTCGCAGAAGCTCGGAAAGAAACCAGTTGATGAATATATCAAGCAAGATCGTCATATAATGCGTTCTCTGCAAGAGCGTCTAAACCGGGTCCCTCAATCAAGAGGGAGTACCGCCAAAAACGTCGTTAGAGAATATCGCGAACATCACTTCTACGACTGTCCCACCTTGAAAGTCATTTTTCAACCAGTTTGGCATAAGTAGTTGAAGCGACGAGCAACAGTGAGACATTAGACTACTCAATTCCACTGGCTTATTCCCGCCGAGTCATTCTCTCCCACGCACGCTGAGCCATTCTCCTGAGCTGTCCCACACTGAGCTACCACACTGAGCCATGCCGCCTTAGTTTAGCTAATCTCTTAGAAACAGTTCACCCTGACTTCCTGCTCCGCCTTTTCGGCAAGAGAAGTACAGATACGGGCGAGCTCCTCTGGACACTCCTCTGAGGAGTTTGTCGCCACCAACAGTCTCTTATATCCCGTTCCGTAGGGTCAAGTACCACTTCTTGCACGGATCCACACCACGGTTGCCCTCTATTGTATGTTGTGAGTGGCGATGTAAGTGAGACATGTTGAAATGCATGCCTTCGATCTGCTGTTGCCTCCATTCATTTACTTATCCCTTGTGACAGACAGCCTCCGTGTTCTGGATCTGAAATTGAGTGGTGATCTACCCGTGAACGCGAGTCTGTTAGCTTCACCGAGGGGCTTCGAATAGAAGAAAAAGCGGATAGCCGGTCGGCGGGATAATGAGAAGTCTGAGGAAAGGATCTGCAGCAGGCTGAGGGATGTCAGCTTTCATAAGGAGGAAGAAATCTCCATGAGGTGTTTAGGCCGATCTTCCAAGGCGTCGAAGAACTTCTTGAACGAGTGTCGAGATGAATATCTTCGTCTTATCAAGAACAAGACGGCTGTTTTTAAACACCGCAACGATCGCTGGGAGCGAGCGACAGCGGTAGACACCAGACCGCTGTCGACCGTCATCCTGGGTGACGCGCAAAAGCAATCGTTCATCAAAGACGTTGAGGATTTCCTTAATCCGCGAACTCGACGATGGTACTCTTGGCGATCCATGCCTTATCGACGAGGCTACCTGTTGTACGGCTCTTTGTCACATATCAGCCCTGCCCGACTACAGCAGCTGCCTGGTAGGCAGCTGCTACTGCCTAAACAGGCAATGTTTTCATTTGTGTATCCCTTTGACTGTCGTAAGACTACACTTGGGATCCGCGCCCAACACCCCACCTTGCCAGGCCGCGGTACAAGGGAGTGACCCAGAGTGCGGCAGCCTACGGAGGGCCCTTTCAAAAGTCTTGTCCAAGCACTAGCAACGCCACATCCATTTATCCCTGTCAGGTACCTAAGGTACATGAGGTTATGGCAGTCTCGTTTGCTTATCCGCTATAGCCTCTGTAATTTTAGGGGTAGTGGGCGCTGCTGACCAGGATCTAGCGGTCGCTGGTGTGCTGTAATCTGCTATCTTTCAGCGCTTGGGGAAATCAAGAAGTACTTAGTGTACTTACCCTCGTAATGATTGGTTGACTTACTAGCGTCGTTTTTTCCTCTGGACAAGACTTTTGAAAGGGCCCTCCGTATAGGGGTCACTGTTGCAACACCCCAAAAAGCACGCTCAATCAAGTGAAGTGGGTCTGCACAAATAAACTTAAGCCCCATAGTACATTGAGGCATGTACTTTTACGCAAAAACTCATTGGATTTAGACACGGCAGACAACAGCAGCAACAGCAGCGGGACCGCACCGGACCAGCGCAGAATAGCTTCATCCCGCACGGCGGAAAAGGGCCGGCTACAAATGGGCTAACCGCCTCTTTTATTGACGATATCAACGCTTAGTTATACTCGTCCTCGTCCTCTTCTTCTCCCCCCTGTCACGGGCCAGATGAGATCAACTCAAGAGGTAATGCCACTGTATTGCGAGGATACTACGATGGAGAGGAAAGAGAGAAGGGCAGGCGCGTAGACGCGTAGACGCGTATGATAGTCCCTGTGGCCTGCCCCGTGCGCCCTAGTTACGTATCGACCCCACTACGGATGGATGGATGGATTTTATTTCGCCCGGAGGGAAGTCCCTATAGGGCCTTGACACAATCTAGTTCACATTTCAGTACATTTGGTACCTGACACCCCAAGCCCCACGGATCGTCGTCTCATCGCTTGCTGCTTAACCTCGTCGCTGCTTGTTCCATGACAGGCCTGCTTGAAGGCCAAATTCTGCAAGTGTTCAGCATCCTATTCTCAGCAGCTGAAGCACGGTCTGCCAAATCGAGGCTGCTTTTTGTTAGTATAATCGCACGCTAGAGGTTAGTTTGTCGATGGCCGCTGGCCCGCATCGAGCCTGTTTGTCGCGATAGCAAATTTGATTGCCGCACGCACGGCCTGCATGTTTGGCTTCCACTTTTCGTCGTCCGATGCAGCTTTTCCTCCCAAGAAGAATGACAAATTCCCAATCTTTGTTCGTGAGCATTTAAACATGACTTCCCGTTGCATTGTCCACTTTTTGCATCGGAATAGGAAGTGCTCAATCGTCTCTGCTGCTTGTCCACAATCGCATATGTCCGATTCCGCTGCCCCTATCCTGTGAAGATAACTGTTCAGTCGTATCATCCCGGTCCGAAGCTGGGCTATCACGTCCGATTCTTTTCTTTTTAGTGAGTCGTATAGCGCACGGGTGTGCTTGCCCGGCAGCGCCTTGTCGATGCGCTTCGAGTACTGTCCAACGCCTTCCGGAAGTCGCCCACACTGCCGTTGTTGGAGGAGCGCCAGTCGAAGTGTTGTAGACCTTGCTTGGTACGACGGTGTCTCTACCATGCACTCTGCTTTGGTAGCTCTCTGCGCTGCTGCCTTGGCCATCGGTCCCAATGCAAAACCTTCGGCCTTAGCCGGCACCCACATGACTCTAACAGAACAGCCTCTTTTCCGACGGCACTTGGTGCGGTCGTATATCTGACGGATAGTGCATTGACCGGATTGCTGCCGAGGCTTCCTGATCACTTCCACGGCCGAGCGGTTGCTCGTCATGACCGTTACGTCCCGAAAAGGAAGCCTGGGCGGCATGCACTCCAGCGCCATCGCTATTGCTGCTAGTTCCGCTGTGTACGGATTCTGCTCGTCTCCGGGCCCGAGAGTGACAGAATAGCTGGCAACCACCTCGCCTGCGCTGTTGCGAGTCGCGTTGCGCGCGACGCCTCCCATTCCCACTATGCCGCCCTTCTTCGAGCTAGACGTTGCTATGATGATGCCCTCGACGTCGTTTGGTGCCTTGGCTGCCTTCGCTAGGTCGTCCTCGACCACCACTGGGATGCGACTGGTCCATGGCGGCAACGCATACTCATGGATAACCTCCATCCGCTCCGTATGGACCCTTTCCACCGCCGAGACAATCTTCTGCATTGGTGATATAAATCGCTTGCTTGCCTTGTTCTTCAAAGCTGCCAGCGGATGTGTCTTCGGAAGGGTCCGAAGGTTGATGCAGAATCTTGTTGCGGCTTGTCTGTGTCTTTCCTCTACCGTCTGGATACTGGCTTCGGCCTCGGCCACCGCCGTTGCGACAGTACGGAACGCTCCTGTAATTGCCTGCGCTCCCACCAACTGCGCTTTGTTCAGCCAGGCGGCTTCTCTTGCGCGGCGAGCGTGCGTCCAGACGTTGGAGGCATAGTCCATCGCCGGCGCGACCGTCGCTACGAATAACTGTCTCGCCACCCTCGGAGACAGCATTTTTAACCTTCTCAGACACATGGCGGCGGTGAGCCCCTTGGCGGCGGCTCTAGCCATGTGTTCCTGGTACCGCAAGCCTACGTCCATGACCACTCCCAGGATTTTTGCGCTGTTTTTAGGCTTGACCTCGTTCTCTTTGATCCAAAACGACCTGTCACTATTGCGCACGGCGACTCGCGTGAAGTGGATGACTGTCGTCTTGTCCGCTTCAAACGTTGCACCGCTGCGTCTCTCCCACTCGAGCGCTTGGTTAATGATCGACTGAATGCCTGCCCGGTTCGCCTCCGCGGTCGGGCCGGTCACCCAGGCCGAGTAATCGTCCACGAATGCAATTGAGCCGCCTTCCGCCTTAATCCTTCTCTGCACTAAATCTGCGTTGAAGAAGAGGAACGAGACCGGTGACAGTGGCGATCCCTGAGGGAGACCTGCTTGGGGTAACTCTCGCTGCTCAGACGTGTGCCCGTTCACCACCATCGAGGCTGTTCGCCCGGAGCAGAAGGCGTCCACCCACCTGACCAGTCTGTCTGGTATCCCTCTCGCCTTCATCCTCTCGAGTAGTCGCTCTTTGCACACTCCGTTGTAGGCGCCTTTAACATCGAAACTGATCAGGCTGAGCACTTTGCGAGCTCTCCATGCCTTGTAAATTTGTTCCTGCAGGAGCAGGAGCGCTTGTTCGGCCGACCGTCGCTTCCTCGCCCCGAAGTGGTTTGCGGGCAGGAGCCCGTAAGTCTCTACTGCGTAGGAGATGCGCTCAGCGACGACGGCTTCCATTATTTTACCAAGGGTTGACAAAAGCGATATCGGTCGCCACGCCTTCGCTACCGTGTAGTCTCCCTTGTCCGGCTTCTTCAGCGGGATGATTTTCGCACTTCTCCATTGGCGAGGCACTATGCCGTCTCTGAGCGACGCATCAAAGAGAGCCAACACCCGGTACTTTACCACCGGCCAGAGTTGTCTCCACACCATCGCCGGGAGGCCATCTTCGCCGGGTGCTTTCCATGGTTTTGCTGCCATGACTTTTTCTTCGATTTCTTCCAGGTTCAGGCCCGGCATGGGCACGGCTTTCCGCTGTGGTCGCACTCCTTCATCTTCGATTCTCGCTGGCAAGGGAGGGAAGAACGTGCCGAGAAGCTCCTCGGCTTGTTCTGCCTTGTCCTTGGTTATAGATCCATTTCCTCTCTTCAAGGGTGGCACCTTGTCGCCCATGGTGTCCTTGCTAGGTTCGAGATACTTGGCAGCCTTCCAGATGTTGGCATCGTCGGCCAGGAAGTCGTCCCAATGTGCTTTCTTCTGGCTCCGTATGGCGTCGTGGTACTCCTTGGCTGCTTCCTTGGCTCGTCGTTCCAGGTCTGGCCGCGCTTGACCTGCTCGCCGTTGCGCCCTCGCTTGGTTCCGCCAGAACGTGTATACCCGCCGCAGTTGTGTTAGGTCCTTTGACCACCAGCGTTTCGCATACGGTGGAGGTTGTGCTCGAGGCGTCAGCTCGTGGATTGCCTCTAGGACGACTCGCATCAGCTGGTCCGTCTGCGTTTGCACGTCGACAGCCCAGGGGAGCGGTCGGAGGTTATCTTCCACTCTGGCTCTTATAAGAGTCCAAGGAGCATTCTTGAACAACAATCTTTGCGCCGTGGTCCTCTCGGGCATCGCGATATCACATATCGTCTGGATCGCTCTGTGGTCTGACCCGTGTTCGGTCGGATGGAGGGCGCACGTTACCATCTCGTCTGCCAGTTCCGACGTTGCGAGCACCAAGTCGATGGTGCTCTCTTTGTCCGGGCCTTGCCACGTCTTCGTGCCCCTCGGAAGGAGGCTGCAGAGGCCGTGCTCGTTCATCAAGTCGATGATTGGCTCGGCTTCGCCTTGTCTTCTTGCTGATACCTCGTCTCCGGTCCAGAGTAGGTCATGGCGATTGAAGTCTCCAACCAGCACCACGTCCGTACGCGTACCGGTGCCATTACGGAATCGCTGGATCAGGCCATGCATTACTCGAACTGTAGATGTCAGCGCCTCTGTGTTCTTCCCTTCCACATACACTGACACCATCAGGATGTCTCTCTCTGGCAGTCGAAGCACCGCTGCCGTGAGATCTGCTGATGGTATCGGCACCTGCTCCGCCTCGATGTCGCTTCGTACCCAGAGCATACTTCGGATCGGCCAGGGCGCATTGTGCGTGTGCGTCGGTATCATCCTCGTCCAGTTGCTGTGCCCCGCAGGGCTCGTTACCACCTTGCCTTCGATCATTTTTGCGTACGGTTCAGAGACCGCCAGCACTCCGTAGTCCTTGAGGTCTGCGTCGTTCATCAAACTTTGTTGTACCGGTTCTCGCTTTCGTACATTGAGCTGTAGGATGCGGAAGGTCTTACACATCGCTGCGTGCGTTCCGCACACGGCAGTTCCGGCTGAACGATTCGTGTGGTCCGCCGCACAGCACGCACTTCGGTTCCACCGCCTGGCACTCCCTGTGATGATGCCCCGGTCCCGCGCATCTTCCGCAAATCTGAGGGTTCTTGCACCGGAACGACTTATGACCAATCTCTTGGCAGTTGTAGCACTGTACTGGTCCCTGGCGTGGTTCAAAGACGTTTGTGCACGCTGATTCCCCGGCTAGGTCAAAGTAGTGTCCGTCCACGAGCCGCATCGCGTCGTTCCCCTTCGTGACGTACACCACCATCGACCCGTACGCTTTTCCCGATTCCTTTTTGCTTAGCCATGAGATTTTGGCAATATTGACATTATTCTCGGCGCCGAGCGCTTCAGCCGCCCCAGGTAGGACGTTCCCTTCTGCGTCTAGCACTGCGGTTCGGTTGGCATTGTCCACCTTCACCGGGTAGAGCTGGTCTCTCATCACCCTCACTCCCACAACCGCCATCTTCTGCGCAGCTTCTTTGACCTGCTTCAATTCGTTTTCATCTCTGCAGATGACCTTGACTCGCTCTGCGCTCCGGGCATCCCTTACAACTGCCGCGCATCTCCAGGCCGCCTGGCCATCCTTCGCCCTCATCTCACTTTCGATGGCTTTCCGGATTGGTCCCACCTGTGCACAGTCTCTGTTCCCTTCTTCGACCCGCGACGTATCAATCGTGCAATAGAGCTCATTTGCCAAAGACGATGCCAAGGTGTTGTTAGAGACGTTCGTCCTCACATTGCTAGGCTCGGATGAGGGTGATGAACGCGTGACGTCAGCGAAAGAGACTGGCGGGGTAGCCGGAGCGCGCCCTGCGATAGCTTCAAGCAGCTCGTGTGCTCGCTTCAGGTCATGGCCCATCTGCTGCTTGGTGTCCTCAAATCGTTGGCTCAAATCTCGTATACAATTCAGCTGGCCTTCGACGGCTTCCCTCAACTCTCGGATGGTCTCTTGCTGGTTACGGATGGTTTCGCTCTGCTCCTTGATCGCCTCCTTCATCCCTTGGAACTCAGCGCGGTACTGACCCAACAACTCCAACGCACTCTGGAGCGTCGCTCCTCCCTCGTCGGTGCTGTCGCTGCTGTTTCCATTTCTTATGTCGGTCGCGCATTCCACTTCAATTGTTTTCGCGTTCGTCGTCGTCCTTGTTGCATATCGGCTGCTTTTGTTCGATTCCTTCCCTTGGTCGTCAATTTTGCGTTTCATGACACGGCGCCCTGTTGGCGTCGACATGGGACCCCGCGGCCCCACCACGGTCCCCGCACTCGCCAGGGCACTCATGATGCAGGGTAGTCCACCACAGCACAACTCTTTGAGGTAAGAAGATATAGAGATATAGAGATTTCAAGAAATCTTCCCGTCCGTGATCTCTCCTCCCCCCACTACGGAGGCCTATAGGGCACACTGTTGCAAAACTCCCTGTCAGCTGTCTTTAGTGCCCATCCCCCACTATTAGGCCAGAAATGACCCCACACCTTACTAATCCAGATACTTCAGCATACGTAGTAAGCAGGTACTGCGGACCAGCTGCGGGCCCGCGCGATTCGTATCCGTCCAACCTGCTGTTTGAATGCTATGAAGTGGCAACGTGCTCCAGTAATGTTGTAGAACCTCGATCTACACAATACGGTCCAAGCTGTTTAGTTCTTTCCAAGCAATCACTAGCGAACTATAAAGCATTGTAATCAACCTGATTTCATTTGCTATGGTTGTAAGTCGAAATGGCCGCTCTGCCGGATGTAAACTCCCGGTACTTATCCAGCCTTCAAAGTGGCCTCAACCTCCAAATTTGACGGCTGTGAAGGGTTCTAATAGTGTAAATTACAGCTATATATGTTAGATTGGATCATGTACAAAGCATCTGATCGGGTGGTCATATGGTGACCTCCAGGGTCGAGACTGCCTATTGGGGCAGATACCTCGGGACCCCACTTTTAGTCGACAGACATACACTCAAGCGATCACAATAGGGGCAACGGGGAGAACACCGAGAATACACACAATCAAGTCATCTGAAGTGCCACGCAAGTTTTCCGACAATTAAGAGTCTCATACGCATATATATCTATCGATTGAATACCTATCCAAGTACGGATTGCAAGCGAGCGCTCCCCGATCCCTCGCCGAAGAACAACAATGACCGCCAACGCCAATACGATCAAACTCGTTAGCGACGAAGACTGGATCTCTTGGTATAAGACCTTGAAGACTACAGCAATGAACGAAGACCTCTGGGACTACGTTGACCCCACGAAGACGGGGAAACCGGAGATGACATCTACTGCGCCAAACCCCCCGGATATCACATACTTCCGCAAGAAATCCTCGGCGAGCACGCGCTCAGCCGCTGCCGACACCCCATCGTCATCAACGGATACAATCACGGCTCGAACGGACGACGAAGACCCCACCTTTCCCGTTGGAAGTGATGTTACTCTTCAAGCCCGGCAGGTCACCGAGCTGACGGAGAAGGGTCTGCGAATGTATAACGCAATGTGGACCAACTACGAGCACCTAAGCAAGCGTCACAAAGACTTCCAAATAAGAACAAAGACCGTGAGGAACTGGATCCTAGATACAGTAGCCGAACCTCTGTCCCGCACTCATTGCACAGCGGAGACAACGCTGCCTCAATGGGTCCAATCGATCTATGATGAGTTTGCCCTAGCTGCAAAAGAACGCAAGCAGAAGGCTCGCCGAGCGTACCGCGAAATACTCAATGAACCACTCCGAGCAAGAATCACAACCTATAAGGCTGTGAGCGACTGGCTTATGCGTTGGAGGAACGCGATCAACGAAGCCAAGGATGTTGGCCTTCAAGAGGCAACAGAGCCTGACCAGTGGCTCCCAGACTTGACTGAAGCTCTTAGGGCATCACCTATGGAGTCATGGATCAACGCATACAGTGTAACCCAGATTAACAAGGTCGAAGACGGCACGCTGGCAGTCGGTCCTGTGATGGCGGACATTCGCCGAGCGATCGGCGGCCAGCAGGAGCCGCCGAAGAAGAACAAACTTGGCCACGGAGCCTTCCTCGGTGGAGGGGGTTCAGAAGAAGGAGAAAACGATCACTCGCCGAGGGATCAGCGAGCGAAGAACAAGAAGAGATTCCGCCAGAGTATTGGAGAGGATAAAGAAGCTAAGTGCCCTGCCTGCGACCAACTCCATCCGCTCTCACTATGCTACTACGTTTTTTCCTGAGAAGAAGCCAGGCTGGTTTACACATCGTCCTCACATATTTGAGAAGGTTAACCGGCGGCTTGAGAAGAATGAAGATAACCTAGTTGATCGGATCCGAAAGATCAAGCTGGAAAAGTCCGCGTGACTAAGGCCGGTCGGCTCCTGTAACGCGAACGCTGCCCTAGTGGCAGGCGACTACTACCCGTTGCGGGACTGTCTTCTCTTGGACTCAGGAGCAACACTACATATCTTTCGAGATACAACAAGGATGAAGAACCTTCGAGCTGCCCAGCTAGGGGACTTCTTCTGGTCAGGCACGGAGCAAGTGTCAATTGATGGATATGGAGAAGCGACTGTTACCCTAACGGCCGCCGACGGCTCGCCGAAGAGGCTCACACTCTACGACGTTGCCCTGTGTACATCCCTTACTACCAACCTTGTCTCGTTCTCGAAGCTAAGGCAGCGAGGCCTGTGGTGGGATACTAGACCAGGCAACAACTGTCTGAGGAGATCAGATGGGTCCTTCCTCGGGGCTATTGACGAACGGCTTGGGCAACAGGTCCTTGAATGGAGAGAGAAGTCACCGGCCTCACCAACCGCTCGACGAGAGCATGCGGACCGCTCGGCAGCACTCATCGCTAATCGGCCACAGAAGAAACCCCGCTACACATCGTGGACTCACAGGAAACCTCTACTAGGAGACACCCTAACGTGGCACCGACGGCTCGGCCATCCAGGTCCTGACTCCCTTCGTTGCCTTACAACAGCCTCAAGGGGCGTTAGACTGAAGATGGAAGAGCCCGAGGGACCCCAAAGAATTACAACAGTAGACTGTGATGCCTGCGGTGTGGCGAAGGCTCGCCGAGTGATCCACAGGGCTCCACGAGAGGCAACAGCAAGAGCCAAGCCGGGAGACCGAATTGCACTCGACTTCCACCCGATGGCCCAAGGCTACGCAGGCTATACATCGGTCTGGATCTTTACAGATAGAGCAACAGGGTACTCGTGGGATTATTACGCAGACAGTCGCTCAACGCCCACTATCTATACGGCAATCACTCGCTTCCTCAAGATGCTAGAGGTGCAATACTCTATCAAGGTCAAGGTAATCGAGTGCGACAACGAGATAACCGACACACACCCACAAGTGGCCGAGCTGCTGAGCGAGCGCGGAATACGCGCCGAGCCCTCGGCCCCAAATACCCAAGCTCAGAATGGAGGGGCAGAGCGTGTTGCTGCAGTCATCATACAGAAAAGCCGCGCAATGCGAGCAGGAGCTAAGTTACCCGAATACCTATGGCCAGAGTCAATTAAGGCAGCAACCTACCTCTATAACCGCACGCCCTCTATGCATAGGAACCGGAAGACCCCGTACGAGCTGTTCCACGGCCAATTTCGCACCGACCACTCAGCGAAGCCAGACCTTTCCCACCTTCGAGCCTACGGATGCAAGGCTTTTGCTCTGACCGCAGACGCACAGTTGCGAAGAAACCGGCTACAAAGGCAGGCTCCAAGGGCATGGATCGGCTTCCTCGTGGGCTATACATCAAGCAACTCGTTTAGGATCTGGAACCCTTTGCAAAAAGAAGTCTTTACGACTCGAGACGTTACATTCAACGAGCGGCAACTGTTCGACGGGCGCACGGAGAGCCTTCGGGACGACCTGCGGAAACAGAACCTAGAAGCCATTCAGCAACGCATTCAGGAACTGATGGCAATGCAAGAAGAAGCCGAGCAATGGTTATCTCAGCCACCAGACGAAGAAGCAGACGAAATTCTAAGTGGGGGAGAGTATGACTTTTCCAGCGAACACTCGCCGAGCGATCGAGAGACTATTAGTGAAGAGCCTGAAGCTGAAGGGGCGAGTGAATACACTACAGCTAAGTTTGAAGTCCTTCCTACACCACCCCCATCACCGCCGGTCGCGTTCTTCCACGCCTTGGCTGTTGGCCTCGGTGTGAAGGGGCGTGAGGAGGCGGCCGACCACGAGGAGGTTCGGAAAGAGGCTCCAAAAGGGCACGCCGACCGACTCGCCGACCGACTTAAGGAGGCTCGGAAAGAGGCCCAACGAGGGCACGCCGACCGACCGGCGAAGCAGCGGGTCTCATTCAAGGCCGCGTTTCTAGCTGGGAGACTCCAGTCACCGAAATACCGCACGAGCAACCGCCGAGTGGTCTGCGAAAGCCTGGCCAGCTCTAGCAGGCCACCTGACGGGGGAAGTGAAGTCTGCCCTCAGATCACACTAGATGTAGGTAAGCGTGAAACCCAAGGGGATAGGGAGAGCTCTACAAAGACTGTAGGAAAGCGAGAAGCCCCGCGGGATAGGGAGAGCTCTACATCTAGGGGGGAAAGGCGACCTAAGGTTAGTACACCTTGGCGCCTGTTGCAGCCACTTCCTAGCTCGCATGCGAAGATAGCCAGCCATCCATACAGGGATGCACTGCTCGAAGCGGAAAGACTTCACTTACAGAGTCACGCAGAATCACAATCGTGGATCGAAGTCGCTAAGTGTGCGGCGAAGGGTCGCCGAGTGCTCGGCTGTCACTGGGTATATGTCTACAAGCTCGATAAGCACGGAAGATTCCTGAAGATCAAAGCACGCCTTGTGGTGCGTGGCGACCAGCAAGCGATCGACAGCCGAGAGACCTACGCAGCGACTCTAGCCGGCATGTCATTCAGGACCCTTGTGGCAATAGCGAACCGATTCGACTACGATATGTTGCAATACGATGCAGTTAACGCCTTCGTACACGCGAAACTCGATGAAGAGATTTATATGGAAATGCCTAGAGGCTATCAGAAGCCAGGGATGATCCTGAAGCTGCAGAAAGCCCTCTATGGTCTCAGACGATCGCCTCTTCTGTGGCAAAAGCACTTCGAGAAGGGCTTGCTGCTAGCGGGCTTTCGCCGAGTGCCCGGCGAGGACTGCTGCTGGCTTCATGGAGATATCATCTTCTTCTTCTACGTGGACGACTGCGTCCTCTGCTTTCCTAGGCAGGTCAAACCCCAAGCAATGGCACTAATAGAAGACCTGCAGAAGACCTATCATCTAGAAGGAGGCAAGCCCCTACAGTGGTTCCTAGGGATCGAGGTAATCCGAGACCGAGGAAACAGTCGCCTGTGGCTCTCACAGTCCTCCTACATCGACAAGATGCGCCGACTGCTCGCCGATCACCCGCCGAGACTACGAGCGATAACTCCAATGATACAGGAAGAACTGTTGCCCTACGACGAGATCGCTAGCCCAGGAAGCGTCAACCTTTACCAACGCAAAGTCGGAACGATCATGTACGCGGCCGTGATGACCCGACCGGATGTGGCTTTTACAGCAAGCCGGTTAGCTAGGTTCAACCAGAACCCAGGGCCACAGCACCATCAAGCAGCCGATCGGGCCCTATGGTATCTCATCGAAACACGCGGACTTTGCCTCGAATATGGCACAATCCCCGGATGCGAAGAAGATGGCTTACAAGTGGCTTCCGATGCGAGTTTCGCAGACAACTCAGCGGACCGCCGGAGCTCACAAGCCTTCGTCATGAAGCTATTCGGAGGGATCACATCATGGAGAGCGAACAAACAAGATACAGTCACAACGTCAACCACGGAAGCGGAGCTCCTAGCGCTATCCCAAGCAGCTAAAGAAGCCCTCTTTGCTAGCAGACTCATCTCCGCACTGAACGTCGACTTATCTTCGCCAACAGCTCGCCGAGCGGTCGCCTCTCCTGCGAGAGTTACGATCGAATGCGATAACAAGCAGACTATCCGACTAGTCACCGCAGAGCTGGTGCAACTACGTACGAAGCTGAGGCATGTTGATGTTCACAACCACTGGCTTAGGCAAGAGATATTGGAGGAAAGAATTGAAGTGATCTACACCCCGTCAACGCAACTGCTAGCCGACGGCTTGACGAAGAGCCTGCCGGGAGAGGCATTTGCCAAATTCACCCAGCAACTCAAGCTAGCCGATCTCTCTGATCAATTGGAACAACTGAGGAAGGACGAAGAGCGCAGCTTGACGGCGATGCCCTCAAGCTGAAGGGGCGTGTTAGATTGGATCATGTACAAAGCATCTGATCGGGTGGTCATATGGTGACCTCCAGGGTCGAGACTGCCTATTGGGGCAGATACCTCGGGACCCCACTTTTAGTCGACAGACATACACTCAAGCGATCACAATAGGGGCAACGGGGAGAACACCGAGAATACACACAATCAAGTCATCTGAAGTGCCACGCAAGTTTTCCGACAATATAGTCCTCATGCGTTTTACATTTGAGTTGAGGAAGGAAGAAAGAAAGAAAGAGAAAAGGACAGAAAATCCTTCAACAAAATAGACTAAGTCGTCACCGGAGCAACAGTGCTCAGTCCAGCAAGAGGACAAGGCACTGCCTTGTCCAGCAGGGCCTAACCCGTTACAACGGCGCTGTGGACGTGTATATGCCAGCTGTGAAGGGTTCTAATTGTCAAATATTAGGGTGGAAAAATTGTGTATTGTCTCCTGCCCCTATGTCTTGAGGTTTCAGGGCAAGCTTTATATACCCTTTCTCTTCTGTATAGAATCAGCTAGAAGCTGATTGCTAAGCCTCGTGGCAATAGGTGGCAATAGGTGGCAACTTTCGCCACTGACGTATCTGACAATAGTGTAAATTACAGCTATATAGTCCTCATGCGTTTTACATTCGAGCTGAGGAAAGAAAAAGAAAAGGACACGAAATCCTTTAACCAAATAGACTGTCGTCACCAGAGCAACAGTGCTCAGACCAGCAAGAGGACAAGGCACTGCCTTGTCCAACAGGGCCTAGCCCGTTACACCAGCGTCCCTTTCACAATAGCCTCAAATTTTCATTCAGAGTGTTACAGGCTGGAGCCTGGGGATACGGCTGCGGCTGTGCCGAAGCCGGGGTTAAGACGCTAGCAACTACTAGTGTTAAACCGACAGGGTCTACGAAAGACACGGGAAGTTCCCTGGCAACCGGCTAGAAGACTTCCCGAAGACTTCCCTGGAACTACTATAAAGACTGTATGAAGATTTCTGCAGAAGGAAATCCTCTTCTCTTCCTTAGATTTAGAAAGACAATTCACAGCACTCTTTGCACAGAAGATCCTCAAAGGGCCGGCCCTTAACACAGAGACTCAAATTGCGATCCCCATTTGAGCTGGTATTTTTTTTGCTCAAGGATTCTTCACGCCAGGTGTCAACCGCCTATGTATGAGCACACAGCTTGGTAAGCCAGCAGCGGCTCAGCGCAGTGTTCCCGAGTCGGGTCAGCAGAGGACTAGCGTGGCGATCTCACGCTCAAGAGAGTCTAGTGATCACCATTCATCGTAGCAAAGGGCAACATTGTTATGTTTTGTAAACAATAAAATCTCGTTCCCAATGTCAACTTGTTTCATTCTTTGCTTCTCTTGGCCCAAGGTCTCTCCTTAAACAGAATGGAACCCCTAGACATTCCCCCTGAGTATGTCTACTGCGTCAAAGCCGGGAAGAAACATCAATAGGATATCCACGGCGGCCTTTTGGTGGCTGATTCAGCGGCTTAGCGCCACAACGCCGCCAAATCACGTCCGTGCCCTCAGCAACTTCGAATATTCCCCCCTCTCTACGGTCGCCGGCCTGACCAGCGTAACGCAATTTCTACGTAATCGAGGGTCTCTATCTTTACGCAATGACCGGGAACCTGCTTGGAGCTATCGAGCAGGGCCCCCCGATCCCGGATCCGTCAGGCAGCCCGGAGGGCTGCAAACTGCTTGCCTAGCCCGAGGCGGCCTGCGGATAAAAGAGGTATTATTCACAGCCCACGAGAGGAAGATTGTCACGGGCCAGGGCCCATATCCTTGCGGCTGTGCCGCAAGACGTACTTGGCTCGTGCGCGCCAGGGATGAGAAATCGTTCCACAGCTCAGGGGCACTTGGGAACTTCTTTCTTTCTTCTTCATCTTTGATGTAAATAGCATCCTGAACTAGATAGCTGGAATACAGTTACTAGAGGCCGTTCACACCGGGCACTTATCAGGTGGTAGTTATGTAATCGTATACGATTTCCCGAAATTACTCTGCAAAACGACCCCACGATAAGTTCTGTGTCAAATATCAGCTCTGCCCCACTATACGGAGAGCAGCTGCCTGGTAGGCAGCTGCTACTGCCTAAACAGGCAATGTTTTCATTTGTGTATAAAGAGCTGCACGACTCAGTGCATCTTGTCATTGAGTTCTTGCTCCTTAGATAATTCTCATCAATTGACTGGTGCCATCAATGATCCCTGTGGAGCCAATTGTCTGACATTCTGCTTATTATAGTTACACGTTGTTGATTATCAAAAATGCACTGTAACTAAACATCCGCGTATTCCCGAACTACATGGCGATGCAGACAGAACCTTCCTCATAAAAAATTCGCTACCTGATGTCTTCTCCGCTTGAACACGCCTCTAGAACCTCAATGATGGAACTTCACCTAATGGACGTCTTCTGGATTGTCGCCCCTGTTTGGAATGAATATCGACTTGCATAGTGGGCAGTCGACATGGTGTTTCCGGAACCAATGGTCGATGCAACTCGTGTGGAAGATATGTTTACATCTCAATCGTCGGACATAGTCCTGGTCTACGAGCACTTCTAGGCATATGGCACTATACTGATGTTAGTATTTGTAGGAAAATCTCAGTATTTCAACTATGAACTTACCAGACTTCAGCCGAACTGGGCTGCGTTGAAGTCCGGGTTGCCTGCTCCTTTAACGCCTTCACCGCCTCGTATTTTCGTGATGGGATTACGCGATTCAGCGTCTGCAGATCAACTCTAACCTTCGTTTTGCTCTTCGCGGCCTCGATGTCTCTCTGAGGTTGGTGATGGTGGTATCGTGATTTTACCATGTAGCTATGTTTATTAGCAGACATGAATCGCAAGAAACTTGAAATAGGTGCCGCACAAGATGAGAAATACCCCAAAAAAGCCGACGACGCCGCCAAATGTCGCAACGAATGGTATTAGCGTCCCTGAGGTGGGGACATTGTCCTCGCTCTGGTTTTTCGAGTCACCTGCGGGGATGTGGTTCATGGGCCGTGACTTTTAACGATGAATTATATGTGAAATTCTAGCCATGTATAGTGGGATATGAAGAATTATGAAGGCTCGGTTTCGGCTCGTTCTTATACAAGGGCTCAGTCGCGGTGTCTACCGATGTTTACTGAGCGCATGATCGTAGGTTTCCGCCATAACAACACCATACCGGTAACGGCGTGCTGAGCCGCATAGCGTGCGAGCCAAAGATCATAAACGAACTAGCTACTTGTTGCAATATTTTTCACTGCCTCGGGATGTGCGTTCGTAGAATGAATGGTGGTCTGATGGCGTTTTCTAGAATGCCTTCCCCACCTCCATTCTGCTCCATTTAAGCTCTCTCCTGCCACCGCTTTCGTGCATCCAGAATCAGGTGCTCGCTCATCACCTGAGGTGAGATCAGCTGATTGATCATACGTGCGTTCTTGTCACAAGAGATCGATCTTCTTCCCAGAGGAATCTATTGGCAGAAATTGCGGCACCAATGACGCAATGTGACTGATCATGGCTGTCAGCTCATGTATAGACACAACTGAGTGGGTGGATAACGCCCAACAATCCACTCCAGACAATTCCTCGAGCATTAAACGTGATGTAAGAGTTCTGAATGACTTGAGAAGCTTGTGAAGTGAATGTCATATGATGCCTGTGCGGCTGTGGGAACGATCAAGGATTGAGGTTGATACATTGTATGTTGGTACTTAACCTGCGCGAATATTGCGGGGTAAAGTGCCTGCAGCCACATCAGCTCACCCACTTTCTCAAGGACGGTGCTAACACTGGTGTGTAGCAGCACACATTATTGGTCCAATCAATCTTCATGGTGTTAACCCTTCTTAATCTGGATCTTGCTACTTGCTTCGCCCTCGAGTGGTTGAGTGGGCGAGTGGACTACTGTCCGGTCGAGATGGCCAATAGCTGGCAGAGCTTGGCACCGCAAAAATCCCCGTACAAGGACCTGCTGTCGCCATCCTCCCGCTTCAGACCTTGCCCTCATTCACCACTCACGCTTGAATTTTGTATGTTCCTCGAGTCCAAGATCCGACACTTTTTCGGAGGCCTGCCGGCTCACCGACCTAGCTTCGACTGTGGTGCATGAGTCATTGGCGTAAATGCGCATAGTACGTCCCCGGCATGATGCTTCCAGGAAGCTTTTACTGCGGCTTTTGTGGGGAATACAGTGGCAGGAACGCATCCACTTCCAATAATGAAGAGAATATATCCCCCTATAGCACTGTCTTCCGGGTTTGCTTTAATTCAGATCGAATCGCCATCTGACTATGAGAGGTGATGGCTCTCCACTGCGAGAGTCCTGGTTCTGGGGGCGATAGGCCTCGGGGTTCAAGTGAGACGGTAACCCGTCGGATGCACCGGCTTCCAAATATCGCAGACGTGCTTCTTAAAGCGGTTCGCGGTCCACTTGTCCTTACCGTCCAGTGCTGTAATGCCGAATGCTTGAATGGGATGTCGGTAAACTCCGTGTCCCTGCCATTTAGCACTGGGTATTCGCCGTGGACCCGTTCCGAACGATGACCCTGATCAGAAGATCAGACTCCCTACGGTGGTCCATCCGCATCTCTTCCTTTTTGTCCTCGCGGCTTTCAACCGGCGCTGTTCATTGCGTTCTGCCCGCTCTACTCTCTTCCATTCATCAAAAAGATTGACACGACTCCAGATCAATTTCTCTCCTCTTTTTGGCCAACCTTTCGCGACACTGCCGCTACAATTAGGACCCCTCTACGGACGATAGGGGCAACTGTTGCAAAACTCCCTGCTTTTGGAGGTTTTGCAACAGTGACCCATATAGGCTGCATATCACCCAACGGTTACACCGGCCAGGTTTCTTTCGAAGCCTGCATAGAGAACAGAGGGTACGTTCTCCAGGTGCGCTCCGTATGGATGCGGGTGATATGTGCCACCTTAGCGATAGCGTATTGTTGGAAAGTTTAGTGAACAGTATAGCCAACCGGGGGGCCTGAGGGCAAGCAGAAAGTGCAGTTCAAGCAAGAGCCATTAGCCACTCGATGCTGGCATGATCTCTAACCTTAAATTTCATCACAAGCTCCACTTTGGCGACCACAACATCAGTACCTTCGTGGCTACCGAGTAGGGGAGTCTCCTTCAGCGGCCAATCGCTCATCATCACGTCCAAATTGGTGTGGCAGATCTCCGAGTACTTCACATTGATCAGGTCCTCATCAGAGCCTGATTTGTAGACGGGAGCTTTCTTAGTAGACAACCGCTGTTAGTGATTACTTCGGTCAGTCAGACAGAAAAGAGAGATTACACACGTCCTTCGACTACTTAGGCCCATTGCCTCCGTCGGGATATTCAACGAAGCGATGGTGGTGTAACTAGGAGCGAATCCCTGCCAGTTATGAAAAGGTTCATGACCCATGTGTCAGTGAGTGACATTTAAAAAAGGGTTGAAATACAGCAGAGTCTACGTACTGTAGCTGACCAGTATGTCACGGATGCGTGCAGGATGCATGAAAATACAAGCCATCATACGATTGATGGTCAGCCACGAATTCAAAAGTTGAATATTTTGACTTCAGCATGTGATCTTGGATCTGCTTGTTAACTTGAGTTCAGCCACAATGCCAAAATCTAATGTGGCAACCACCTTGTGCAGGAGTGTCTAAGGAAATGGTGCCTCGCCTGTGTTCTATCACAAAACCAATGGCAGAGATTACACGCAAGGTCCTAGAAATAAAATGCGTGGATTAGGGGCTTACGCTTATAAATGTTATGGAAGAAAAGGCTCGTGACCACGAGATATCCAAAGACCCCATACGCCTTGCCTGGATCACCGCTCAGCTTCGAGGTGCACACACCCCACTGGTAATGTAGCACGACATACACAGAGGACAAGTGTAATGATGCCTCAGATACCATGAAGCGATACAGTCCGAATGGAAACCATGTCCACACGATAAGCGGCGGACGGAATCGCTGTCCCCCATCGCCTCCAAGCAGATAGCACTGATATGTGGTAACGGAAGCGGTTAGTTTGAGATAACGAATTAACCCTCTCATTTGAGACTGAGTTGCGTACCAGGTGACAAACGAGTCGGGCCATGCCAAATGACCTCCTGTGCCTTCAAGTTTCATCTCCATTATCACCTGTTTATACGTCTTTGGCGGAGCTACTGAGTCCAGCTGCTGCAGATTGCTAGTCTCGGAGTTTGTGCTGCTTGAAGACTGTGCATCTTCGGGATCCTCTGGACTCGCGAGGTAGTTGCTTCTAGCGATCAGACAATTGGACCTTTTCCATTGTTAGCTCTAGATACAGTGGCCCCTACTCGTTAGTTAGGGACTCCATATGCGTACATGGTAAGAATGAGGACATAAACGACAAAAATCACCCCGAACAAGACTATTGTGGCGAGCCATTGGAGCCTTCCCTCTATTGGCTGCGTCGGCGCTTGGTTGTCGAGGTTAGTTGAGGAATTGTTTGATATATTCATGACTGCTTGCCCATCCATCAGTAACATAATATGTGCTAGCTTCAGCGATATGCACAAATCGCGTGGAGTCTCGATTTATGTGCTCACAGCTTCGAGTGTATGTCCGATGCAAGTGGCCTGACCTTCTGGTCGACATTCCGACCCCGTAACTATGACCTTCCATCGGCTTGGCCATGTGTGAGCTGATCCAGAAAGTTTATATTGATGCCCCGGTATGGACATAGTGACATCGCCACATCGCCCGGCTGATCCGGAGCACGTGGTGGGGGTCATCTGAGAGGTTGTAACAGTGCCAGACGAATTGCGCGGGTTCATGGGATCTCATATCGGCGGGTATGGGTGTCCATCCAGTATGAATTTCTGGCTGTCAGGGCTTACTAGTTATTACGCCTGGTCACAAAAATCCTTTAAAAACGCCTCACGTCGTGGAGAGTTGCAAACTTGAAAGCGATGTTCCGTGTGAGGAGTCTGTTGAGGGGATCGAGGGTCAACAAATCCAAACAGGCAAGCCGCGGAGACGACTTCTGATAACGCCTTTGGTTTCGAAAGTGGAGGAGATAAGGGAGACATCGGCAACTTACACATCTAGAACTTCCACGCCCCTGCTTCCAGCTTATACTACGCAAATCACTCTCACGGACGCCGCGGAGATACGAAAGAGAGGTCCGAGGCACATTTGTGTGACACTCCCAAGCCGCCCTCGTTACAGGCTTGACGCTTATCACATGTTGATACATCATACGAGCCGCCTCCCGAGGGTTTGATTACGCCTCTAGAACGCTGGCCACCCACAAGACCAGGTCCTTAACGGCATGAGAGATGGAGGCAGGAACCCTGAAAAGGGGATCGAGATGGGAACTCCCCATGGCACGGACCTGAAGGTAGGTAGGTAGGGAAGGAAAAGAAATTAACATTCTGTAGGACAAGCCTGTTGCCCCCTGTTATTACACAATGCTTTGAAATTCCCCCGAAAGGATCTCCACAATGGTGTCTTGCCATCTTTGTCTTCTAGCCCCGTTTTAATCCCGCCATTATTCTTGCTCGCGTCGCGCACGCTGCTACGGCTGCAGATACGAGGCCTCTCGCTGCGGCTTCTCGTCTAACGCTTGTACATATTGCTGGGACTCATGGACGAGGTAGTTGTGAGGGAATGGTCACGTGATTTTCAACGTTATGAATAGTGTCATTTTATGAATTTTATGTAAATAGCTTTAAGTCAGAGCTTTCCTTAGGAATCTCTTTCTCTCCTCGTAAACAATCATTTTGCCCAAGTCGCACTAGACCTCGTTCGTGCTCTTGTACCGTCACAGTAGTTCTGGATCAAGGCACAGTTACACCCCGAGTGCTGTAGAAGTTGCATCTTGAGCTCGTATACCTCGAGGGTCAAGTCGGCCACGCAGGTGGACAGGTCGCGGTGGATGCGCTCTTTGTCCTGCTCACTAGACTTGAGTCCCAGCAAGGCTTCGCTCTTCTTGACCCGGAGCTTGTTGGATGCGATTCGGTTCCGTTCCTGGATCACTTTGATGTGGCTGTCGCGTTGTTGGGCTGAATGAGCACCGTTGCCGCTGGCATTGCTGTTGCGGCGAACAGTTGAATGTTTCGCCTTCTTCTCTTTCTGTGGATTGATGTCTTCGTCACCCGACGAACTTCGTCTAGCAGCATTGCGAGGCGGAAGCTCATCAGAGTCGCGCTTCCGCTTTCGACTCGGTTTCTTTGGTGTCGAGGGTGGATGCCAGTAGCCCTGGATGGGAGGTAATTCCTCGGAATCCATGTCCTCAGAATTTGAAGATGGAGCGGTGTACTTCGTGACAGGACCGGAGCCACTCCACGGCTCGGTGTAGTCGGTCACAGGGCTGGTATCATTCCAATAGTCTGTCGAGTTAGTATCACAGCGATATACAAAGCCATCGAGTAGAGGACCGGTCTGCGGGTAGACGCCGTTTGCCGTGCTGCTCTTGTCTTCAGACGAACCAAGCGGGACTAACTGGTCTATCGACCACCATTGTTCCCATAGAAGAGGTTGGGACATATAGGATGTCTCAAAGATCGAGTCATCTCCCATGGGATTCGGTTCGCCCAGGGCTCTGTCGCCCATGGGATGGAGAGGGATCAAACGGTATGTTTCTGTGCAAGAGGTTAACCTGATGGCCGAAGCAGAGGGAGGAAGAGCTAAAGAGAGGCTTTACCCATCTGGAAGTGCCTTGAATAGACCGCTGGCTGTCGTTTTGTGCTAGCGATGGCGGTTTTGGGTTTGGTGGAGCACCGTGTAGTGGAGGCTCGGGATGGTGTTGGAAGAACCGATGATTCCCCCTCAACTTCAGGATTAAAGTTAAGGTTTGAAGTCCTGAACTTAGATCGTAGGACTTTCTAGGACTCGAGTCCTAGAAGGGACCACTCAAAGATATAAGGTCTTAAAGGTCCTTCTATTGCAAGAAGATAACCACAAGAAGAACTACCTTTTGTCAAGTGCACTCAGCATCCCTGCGTGATACAACATCAGTTATTATCAGTCTTCAGCTCAATTTACAGTCTTTTGGCCTATCTATTTGATATCCTTCAGAGATCCGTTTGATCAAATGGTACCAGATAAGGCAGTCATCATTTTCGTTCAATTGACCCATTTATCCGAATTTTGATCCCGACCCTATCCGCCTTTTCAGTCACATCACTACCGCAGTCATCACCAATCTGCCTTTTGGGTGGGTTGTGGGTTTCTAGTGTCTCTTGTCCCTGCCCATTACACACTAATGATTTTATATTTTTTATTATACTTTTTTTAAATTTTAATTTAATTATTCAAACTGGAATGAGAGTTGTGACGGGAACGTCCGGAGCGCTGGACCCAGGGTGGGGTCGATACGTAGCTAGGGCGCACGGGGCAGGCCACAGGGACTAAGGTTATCATACGCGTCTACGCGCCTGCCCGCTTTCTCTCTTTCCTCTCCATCGTAGTATTCTTGCAATAGATACAGGCGTAGATAGAGAAGCCGAAGTTCTTGAGCTTCTCGTACCCATCGATAGACCACGTGAAGTTAGGCCCAGGAACCTGGAAGTTCTTCCGGTGCTTCCAATCAGCAAGGAGTCTTTGTTCGGCCCGCTTCTTCCACTCTGGGTTCGTTTGGTACTCGCGATATAAGGTATTCTGGCCGACAAGGACGCCGGCACGGATGCGGACGTAATGGTATAGATACCCCCTGCCAAATCCTCGGATGCTTGAAGGCTGACGGTCGTCTTGGAAGAGGAACTCTCTTGCTTTTTGAATAACCTCCTGTCGTTCAGCCAGATCTCGGAAGCGCTGCTTCATGCCATGCTTCAGACGATACTCCTGTACAGTCCGCTCGGAGATCTCGATGCCGCGTCGCTTGAGATCACGGACGATGGAAGTGTCGCTATATCCGTATCGGTAGAAGTAGCCTTTGATCAGCTCGACGAAGGTGTTGGTATCAATCTTTGAGTGAAGGGGGGAGTACTCCTGGGCACCCCATTCCGTTAACCTCCTTTTCAGGGTTCTGACGTCGAGTACGTGCCCATCGTCGCGGAGATGGGCACATATAGTGTCAATGGATAGTCCTTCTCGCCGCTGCTCGAGGATCCAGTCCTTGACGCGCTCCAAGTCCTTACGGGGCCTCGGCATTGTGCGAGTCGCAGACCAGGGGTTCGAGATCGTGGTAGAGGTCGGAGTTCATACCTCCTTCCAAGGCTTCCAGCTGCAATATCCCGCCCCCTCTGAACCGGCATTATCGGAGCTTCGGCGCCGATGGAATGGCATCAGCACCGCTTGGTATGGCATCAGCTCTGCTACATTGAAAACAGTGCGCTATCATATCAATACTGTAGCCCCATGTGAAAACGCCGGAAGCCTATGTGCGAAATAGCTCCAGTCATTTTCGTACATGGTTTTGTCACCCATGTGGTAATGTGCGACCGTAATCGTCGGGCGGGTCGGGGCACACTTCTTAGCTCCAGCATTCTGTGAGAGCAAACGTCAGCTGGACAACCCCCGGAAACTTCTGCGTCTGGAGCATACGGCTTGGAAAAGACCTGGGCGGACGGAAAGGTGGCGAGGAGCTGTGCTTTAGCGGCGGCATATGCCGTTGGCGGAGAACGCGGACTTCAAACCTTAACCTTGATCCTGAAGTTGAGGGGGAACCCTCAGTTCTTCCAACACAAATACTTTCTCATCTCTTCTTCTCTCTTCCCTTACAACCCGTCAATCTACACGTGCCTAACCATAATTGCCAGCAAATCGGCTACCGACAGTATTAAGAGCCTGTTATGCGCGTCCAATCGACTCTCTGATCGCTTCGAGCGAAGCCGCTACCAGTCCGACATGCAAAAGCCTGTATCCGTCAGTGATTGCTGTGATGGATCCTCGATGCTCGAGTCTGCATCTGATCCTCCCGTCCTCAGCACCGAGTCTCCCGCCGCTCCTCCGCATTGGGCCCGGTATCTCGTCCCGTATCCCACCGAAGAGACTTCCTCGAGTCCTACTCAGAGTTCTCTCTTTACTCAGCTCGATACTCACACTTGCATTGTCGAGAACCGTGCTCGTACTCGACCGCCTACTTCTTTCTCCGGCACCCTGCCTCCCAACTGCGACGACTATGAGCTGGCCCTCGCCATCAAGCCTCAGGTCACAAAGCATTTCGTTAAAGACCGCAGAGCATGGCTTCGCAAAGAACGAGCCCTCCTTGAGTCCGACCGACGAGCTGGTGCTCGCGTGACCGGGGCTTCCATTGCCCGAGCCTTGAAGCCGACCTGCACCCGCCCCGACAAACCTAGGCACACCGCCCTCCGTATTAGTGCCCCTACCCGTCAAGATAAGGACTTCACTCCGCTGGCCGATCGAACCAATAACCTTAAAGTGGAATGGACGGGAGAGCCCGTCGACCTCACCAACGACTCCTACGTGGGACCAACTTCATCATGAAGAGGTGTCGTTCGCTCGCTCGCTCGCTCGTTAGGACTAGATTGCGCGACATACCTGACGAGCAAGCGACATATCTTACTACAAGCGACCGCAATTCTTGCGAGCTGGCAGAGAGTTCCGTAAGACAGATGCACAGCAAGCCTGCTGTATTGATGTCAATACGGCCTCGAAGCTATGAGATTCCTTGAATAACGCTAGATGGTTTGATGCCTATTGGATGAAAAAGCACTTAGCGGACCCCATCAATTGCATGACTCTCGACTAAACCGAACATCGGCGCCTCTGTTTTCGGGTAGAATTGGGTGGCGGCGCTTCGACTGGATAGGGAAATCTGGAACCTACTGAACGCCTAAGACCGCGCGCAAGCCGATTGGTATGATCAGGATTTAACTCAGGTTGATGGCGTATAGCTGAAAATGCCTTTAGAGATTTTTTTTTCCTGATGTGGAATGTCGTACTGACTTCTTTTGCCATGGATTTGTATCTACCCCGATATACTAGCGAACTTTTTCGTATGTAGTAAGTTATATATTGGTAGTGATGGATTGCATTACCATGCCCCACCACCCTTTCGGACGCATCACCCTTTGGGACAGCAAAAAATCCACCAGCCCGTATAAAACTCAACCACATCACTTATAGAGATTAGGCTCAATTTTGAAGTTATTCGCAAGCCATCGCCTTCAACGATTATGAAAATGACTGAAGATCATTATACGCAATTTGTTTGGTTGATTGGAACACTGGGGAATGTGCGCACCCCTGTAGTGCAATATTGGCTGAGAGCCACCAAATTTGCTCCTGAATTCACTCAACTCTCTTTCTCTCAATCTTCAACGTCATCAAAATGGCTCGTAAAAGGCCTCGACACGTTTATTCAGAAGAAGCGATTGCTAACGCTATATCAGACGTCACAAACAAGCATCTATCCCTCACCAAGGCTTGTCAGAAGTGGGGAGTGCCAAAGCAGACCGTCTCCAATAGACTTAACGGACAAGGTGTATCACACTGAATGGATAGGATCACAATGATGATGATGAAAGCTCTTGATTTCTAGCTAAGGGACGGGCCTAGAGCCCGTCTTTTATACATGATGAAGACGGCTGCTGCCGGAGGCGGCAGTCCGTCGCCGCCGCACAGGGGCCGGGGCCCTGTGGGTCCCGGGGACCGGGATCGCGGTCACAGGCCCGACTGTGGTCTGAGAAGGAAGGAAAGTCGTGTTGTCTAGGAAAGCCGGAAATGAGGTTATCATGCGTCTCAGGATGACCCCGAAATGTGACAAGGTGCCTTAGCCGATCAGATTCAGCCAAAAGCACGTCTCTCCAAGAATCAAGAAGCTCATTTAGTATCCTGGATTCTTCGTCAAGAGTCTTTGGGTTATGCTCCCTCTCACAGTCAGATTCGTGCCTGCGTCGTGGCCCTCCTGAATCAACAAAATAACAAGGGGATATTGGGGGCCAACTGGGTAGCCAGATTCATCAATCGTTATCCAGAGATCAAGACCAAGCGCGGAAACGTCAAGAAGCTAACAGGTTTGACTCATTCACTCCCAAAGCCGTGAACTGGTACTTTGATATCCGAGAAAAGGAATATGGATGGATCAAACCGGAGAATACCGTTAACATGGACGAGGGAGGTATTATGTCCGGTTTTGGTGGGTATTCATGCCTTTATTCATGGGTGTAACTGATCAGATTGATTCCATTAGGCCTGGACAGTTTGGTGGTTGGAAGTGCAGAGCCTAAGAAGAAGGCATTTCTTAAGGGCTCCCAATCCCGTACCTGGACCTCATTCATTGAGGCTATCACCGCAGACGGGCGTGCTCTTAAGCCTGGCATCATTTTTAAGGTCAAGGAGCTCCAATCGCCGTGGTTTTTGAACGAGTTTCGGAAAATAGCTGATTGGCATTATATAACCTCACCCAACGGGTGGACGGACAACCACATCGCCGTTAGGTGGCTTGAAGAGGTGTATATGCTACAGACTAAGCCTGCAGATGCCTCTGACGCTAGACGTATCATCATGGACGGCCATGGAAGTCATGCAACGGTACGTCCTTTACTTCTATTCCCAAAGGTCAATGTTAACATGAAGTGGTAGGACGAGTGGATGACCTTGTGCTTTTTGAATAACATCTATTGTTGTTATCTCCCTGCCCACTGTTCTCATGGCCTCCAACCATTGGATAACGGAGTTTTTAATACCATGAAGACGGCATATCGAAAAGAGCTTATAAGTTGGCTTCTCTTACGGATTCTGCACCTGTTGACACAGTCAATTTTATACGGGCTTATGCCAAGGCACGGGAGATCGGGATGACCCCAAAGAATGTATTATCCAGCTGGAGAGTAACTGGGAATTAGCCAGTCTCCCGGGTTAAGGCATTGAGGCATCCAGAGATTCAAGAAGACAAGGCAGAGAGGCCAGAGAGTGGGCCTCCAGAAATTCCAGAATCTAGTCCTTATTTGGGCTCAGACGATACACTAAAAGTCGGGCGTCAAATGCGTGATTTGGGCAAAGGCAAAACCCCTAGCACTCGACGACGATATAACATTATAGCCAAAGGCTTTGAAGCCCAAGGACAACTCATTGCGGCCCACAAAGTCCAAATTGCCAGCCTGCAGGAGAAGGTAGCCCGGTTGGAAAGAGGAAAGAAGAGAAGGGCCATACCGAACCCGAATAGGCGATTCATTGCCCTCAGCGAGGCTCTAGCCCAAGGTGAAGGGATTACGGAAGTTGTAGATGGCGGATTGACTATTGCGGTGGAACTTAACTCGGACGAGGAGGCGGAATCAGACGTGGAGATGGCTTCAACAATTCAAGTCGCGACGGTCCCGGAGTCGCCTCAAATCACCACCAGATCGGGTAGGGTCATCAAAAAACGACGATACAATAGAAGAGTCAATTCTCTACAAAATGGTATATTTCATTTGTGTATAACCTCAAAATTGATTAGCTACCTGGTCAATTCAATTGGTGGGTTTTTGGTGGGAATGGCCTCAGCTGTTAGTCCGAAAGGGTGGTGCGTCCGAAAGGGTAGTGGGCATGGTAGTGCATTTATGCCAAATGCTGACCCCAATGGAAAAAAAGAAAGGCGGACAGCGGAGGCCATTGAGCAGACCCAACTGAGTCAAGTTGAATCGTTGATACCGGTACCTAAATTAAGAGGGAGCCTATCCAAGGGAAAAAAGATGACATAACTTTCAAGATTCTAGCTAATTCTTCCCCTCAAACTCCATGATCCGTGCGCGACAAATGTCGGTCTCCTTCTCCTAGGACTTGTCGCTACCCGGCCGCTTCCATTCCACAAAGTATTCAGTCCTCCCGCGCCGGGTTCGCTTCCCGAGCAATGGCTCAATTGCAAAGTAGTTCCCTTTATAACTCGCCTGGAACTCATAGATCAACTCGGCATTCATATCTTTCTTCTTCTCTCACGCGTTGTGCTTGTTATCAAAAAGCCCTTCTACTTCAGCAAACATCAAGTCGTTCTACCTCGCGTCTATCTGCCAAGTAGTGTGTCGAATTCCCATATGTTTTCCTTGGCATCTATTTAGACCGACTGATCGGCCATTTCGCTGCCGGAAAACCCAACATCACTTGCTTGGGAGATACCATCCGACGGGCATGATAGGGACATATCAGTGCTGGAGCAGGAATTCCAAACGCTGTTGTCTTGGCTGTCGGAGTATGAAGACGAGCTGCTGAATGGAGTTGGCGTCGCCTTGCGAAATCCTGCCCTCAGCTCGGCCACGCCGTTGTTCTGTGCTCATTGGTATGGCATCACATCTCCCACATGAACCCTAACGTCCCTCAACCCCTTTAAGGTGGAGAGTTGAATAGTGTCGCCGCATGGCCACCTTCATTTTACCGTTTCCTGCATTAAATTGATGTTCTTCATCAACTTGTCTCGCTCCTTGACCAGCACTTGGTTTTCTCTCTCCAGCAACTTGATGCGCTGCCTCGCACGGTCCAGCACTCCAGCTTTGCTGAGACATCGGTCGCCGATGTCGTGGCGGTCGCAATCCTCCGACTGCGGTGCCGGCAGTGCGGCGAGCAAGTTGTTGAACTGTTGGTTTAGTCGGTTCCGGTACTGCTTCTCGGCCAGGTTATGGCTGTGGCGTGGCTGTGCTACTGACGGTGAGAAAGGAACCTTGTTGCTGCCCAGTTTTTTGGATGATGGCTTCTTAGGCTTGCGAGATGCGGTGCGCAACTTGATGCCGGTGCGTATCTCAGCGCTAGCGTCCATGTTGCCATTTTGTGGCTGGGACGCAGGTGGTTGTTCTGTCTCTTGGCTCGTCGGGGACGGTCGCTTCTTGCCATGTGGGTTCAGGTTCTTGGAATTGACGGTATACTTTTGTTTGGCTTGCCTTTGGTCGATGATGTCGCAGTCGTCGTCATTGTTGCACAGCCCTCCCATCCCGCCTGCGGATTTAGGGATGACAGTTGGGGAGACGCTGTAAGGTAGAAAAGGAATGGACCCGATCTCAGAAGGGGTCATCGGGAAGGAGTCGTACAGCAACGATTCATCGCTGCTGAAGATATCAGGAGATGTGAAGCTAGCTGTCGGCGGAGAGAAGCTGTCGACGGAGAGGGAAGCAGACTCGGTGGGCTTGATGGGGCAATTTTGTTTGGGGGCAGCATAAAACGGGGCTAGTGTTTGTTTCGCCGTTGTCAAGCACCTCTCTTGGTCCCAATTGAATTCCTCGAGATCAAGGTCGTATTCCATCAGCGGCGCCTCAGCAGCAGGTAGTGGTAATCGTTCCATTTCGAAGTCTCGGTTGAATTCCAATGCTGCGTTCACTAGCGTGGAAACAGGACAATTGCCAACAGTTAGTTATTATGTAACTATATATACTCAAATTTATCATAGTGCCAATGCCTCAGATATTACAATTTGAGTTGTATTCTGATTAGTCTCCGTTGTCCATTAGTGCTGGTGCCGCAAGCGCAGCCTAGCCTGCTGCCGCCGGCCTCCGTTGATCCGTGAGCTGATGTAAGATTTTCCGGCCGAGTCTGGATCGTGAAGGGTACTCTCCGTGTGAAGCATCTGCAGTGTTCTAGACCCAGGTCCGTGCTTGGTAGGGTTGCCTTTTGCCCCATAGATCGGCAGCCTCCGCCGGGGTGGTTCGATCCGACCCTTCACAATGCCGAGCTCGCCACACTCCGCTAATGCGTAGTGCAATAATGACGTGCATGCTAAATGCCGTTAGCGGCTTGGCACAAGGAGGTCGTGATCATCGTGCGAGTCCGTCCTCCTCGGGATGCTCCTCCGGATGTTTCTCGGGATGCTCCTCGACGATGTTGTCGGCCCACCGAATATGCCGTTCCTCAGGCTTCATGACAACCCCCAACAATTGGGTAAACCAGTTCTCCTGGTCTCTCAACACGCCAGAAAGTTCGAGCATCAGAGACTCGAGTAGGTTGGCATGCCCGACGAGTAGGCGGAGGTTCTGGTCGGGTCGGGCAGCTTCAGAAGAGAGCTTAGCTCGTGCAGTGTTGGCAATGTGGTACAACTGGGAGATGGACATAGCGTTCTTGCTTCGGATTGTTGTGGGTAGCAAAGGCTCGCCTCAAGTGCCAGGACCCATTGATAACATAGACCGTTAGGGTGGTCACGATAATGCGGAGGGATATTTTTGGACAGCTCAGGGCATGTCATGATAATATGTGACATCGTGCAATACGCCTCGATCATACAGAGCAATGGGAACACTAGCATTCTGTGCCAGCGCTGGGAGTCGACTGAGTTATGTAGAATCGGAAGGGTGGTAGCGAGTTTTGACTCTGCTGCTAGGGGTGATGTTCAGGACCGGGTGAGCAGACCATCAACGCATTGGACTTCGGCAAAATTATGCAGCTTATATTCCATTTGCGTGCAACGCTAGATTGTGGGCAATCCTGGGATCCCCGCCATTCCTGCCGCCAGCTGTACCCATCAGAAATGGCTCTGCGCCTGTGCCTCGACGGGGGTCCCGTTCTGGGCACTCCGATCGAACCGACAAACGGATGGCGCGGGGTGATCGTAATCCTACCTCGACTAGTAGCAATACAGTTCACAGGGCGTTCGCCTTCTGCACTCCCAATGGTTATTCATCCTGCAACCTGGTCATTCAGATCCGACAGCTCTAATACACACCGAGACATCAATTAGCGGTGTCGACGACGTATCCACCAACGATTTTGCCCATGGCCATCAAACACCTCCGAGAGCCCCGCTGAGGGAACAATCGTGAACGGCACTTTGATGACACCCGCGCGGAAGAACTCGATCGCCTCGTTTGCGGCCACTCGGTTTTTCATAAGTTCCTAGGCCGGTCCCGTATACCGTAATACGCTTGTCATTGCGTCACGCACGCGTAACTACCATGAAGCCCATTAATCACATGTTGGCGCCCGTTGAAGCTGATCACACCACAACTCAACTATATTTCTTCCAATCTAATCTCTAGACCCTTTATACATCTTTAGCGCTCGATTTATTAAGAATGAATTTTTAGTGAAGTGTGGGGGAGACCAGGTCATTCTCATACCCCCCAATTCCGCGCCATTTCGCTGCAATTTCAGCCCACATCGCTAATATCCATACACTACCTCTGTTCTGTTATATTCGATCCATTCGACCCAAGATCTATCCTCTTTATATCCTCTTTATTTATTATTATCAAAAATGGCCAATGGCAGAAGAACACAAATTAGAAAATACACCCAGTGCGCAAAAGTGAAACCATCGTTCCATCACTTAACATAACCCATACGGACGATGGGGTATTATGTTTGAGTTGTATGTGTCGATGTCGCCAAGGAGGGGGTGTGCTATGAGCACACGCTGAGAGCAGTATCTGTCGGAGCAACTGAGCATTAAGATAGTGAACTTTACATAGAGCAGCCTGCACTAATGCCGGACTTTGTTAACGTTTGCGAAAATGAGCAGGATGATAGCTTCAGACTGCCAACTGTAGCATTTATAGATATTATGCTGTTATATCTAGAAGCTTTATGTTTAGCAGGTTAAATTATTAGTAGTAGTAGTAGTAGTAGTAGATTTATTACGCCCGGGAGAACGGATCTCATAGGGCCATGGAATACGCTATGCTATTTACATTTCTGCCACCTTCAATCCTGACCACAAGTAAAGCCCCACTTTCTCTCCCTGGATCGCTTTCGCTTGGCCTCGCTTGACTCTCTCTGACAGGCCTGCTTGAAGGCCAATTTCTCCAAGTGTTCAGCATCCTATCCTCAGCAGCTGAAGCGTGGTCTGTCAAAATGAGGCTGTATTGTGTTAGTATTGTGCCACTGTTTCCTGGTTCCGGCTGTTAGTATGTCCCATTCTCCTACTTCACTCCCAACCTTCCTGTCTTCATCGCAAATTTGATCGTTGCTCCCACCGCCTGTAGGTTAGGTGACCACTTCGGTCCGTCCGATGCCGACTTTCCTCCCAGAAAGAATGAGAGGTTTCCCATCTCGCTTTGTCCGATTCGCCGCATGCCTTCGCGTTGTGCATCCCACTTGCTGCAGCGAAAGAGAAAATGTTCCATCGTCTCGACTGCCCTTCCACAGTCGCACAAGTCTGATTCCACTGCACCGATCCTCGACAGGTAGCTGTTAATCCTCGCCATTCCCGTGCGCAACTGCGAAAGCGTATCTGCTTCGCGTCTCTTCAGTCCGCCGTATAAAACCTTTGTGTGTATGCCTGGTAGCGCTTTGTCAACCCTCTTGGAGAAGCCGCCCACTCTGTCCGGTAGTGTCTGGTGCTGTTGTAGCTGCTTTCTCGCTAGTCTTATCCGCGTCGATCGGGCTTGGTACGGCTGTGTCTCTGGCATGCGCCCCGATTCAGTTGCTCTCTGCGCCTGTCTCTTCGCCTTAGGCCCCAAGGGGAACGCATCATCCCGAGAGGGTACCCAAATCATCTTGACCCTGTTGTTGCCTTTTCTTAGCCGTCGGATGTGGTTGTAGATTTCTCGGATGGCGCACTGTCCCGATTGTTGTCGTGGTCGCGCGATCGCCTTCAGTGCTGACTGGCCGCTTGACAGTATGGTAAACCTTCGGTCCCGTAATCCGTCAGGCATGCATCGCAATGCCATCGCTATCGCCCCTAGCTCGGCTGTGTAGGGGTTCTGGTCGTCTCGCGAGCCGAGAGTGACCGAGTACCTGGCCATGACCCTATTCTCTTGCCCTGCTGCTTTGTGGCTGATGATGCCTCCCATGCCCGTCATTCCTCCTCTGTCGGAAGCGCTGGTCGCGATGGTGATGTCTTCGACACTGTTGGCTGCCGCTATCGCCACCTTCCGATCTGCCTCACACACCAGCGACACGCGGGGGTGCCACGGCGGTGCTGCATAGGCTTCGATTGTTTCCATCCGCCCGATTCCGCTCTCGCCGAGGGCAAGCGCCAGTCTCTTCATCGGCGAGATGTACCTTCGACTCACTGATACTTTGAGTGTCGCTAGCGGGTGTTTCTTTGGCAGCGTGTGCATATTGATGTACAACTTCATTCCAGCCAGAGCATGTCGCTCGTGTACTGTTTGGATGCTGGCTTCCGCTTCAGCTACTGCCCTCGCTACCGTCTGGAAGGCTCCCGTGATGGCCCGCGCTCCTATTTTCTGTGCCCTGTTGAACTCTTTCAATTCCCTTTCGCCGCGCGCATGCGCCCATACGACAGATGCGTAGTCCATGGCTGGGGCAACGGTTGCGACGAAGAGTTGTCTGGCAGCTTGTGGTGGCAGCATCCTGAGTCTCCTTAGACACATGGCTGCCAAGAGACCTTTCGTGGCGGCTTTGGTCATGTGTTCCTTGAACCTGAGCTCCGTGTCCATGATTACCCCTAAGAGTTTGGTCTTCGCTTTGGGCTTGACTTCCTCTCCATTGATCGTGAACGGCGCCTCGCTGGTGCGCTCAGCTACGCGCGTGAAGTGGACAATTGCTGTCTTGTCATGCTCAAACGTCGCTCCACTGCGTTTCCCCCACGCCAGTGCCCGGTCAATGATGGCTTGTATGCCGTCCCTGTTCGCCTCCGCCGTCGGCCCCGTGACCCAGGCCGAGTAGTCGTCGACAAACGCCATCGATCCGCCTTTCGAGTCAATCTTGCTTTGCACAAGGTCTGCGTTGAAGAACAGGAAGAGCACTGGCGAAAGCGGCGATCCTTGGGGAAGGCCGGCTTGCGGCAGCTCCCGTTGCTCTGACGTGTACTCGTTCACCACAATGCTGGCCGTGCGATTGGAGCAGAACGCGCTTATCCATTGCACCAGCTTCTTGGGGATACCTCTTGCTTCCAGCCTCTGTAGCAGTCTGTCATCGAACACTTAAATTATTATCAAACGCGCGGGGCCACCAGAAAAAAAGTGACAAAACCGAAGGTCAGCTGACTTGCCTTTGTTTGCGCCGCCCTTCCAAAAATGGCTGCAAATAATCCCACCAAAATCGCGTCGATCACCACCTCCGTCCTGCAATTGCGCCACAACCACGACCCTCCCGGGCCCAGCTGACCCCGTATCTTGTCATCTATTTACTATGGATTCTATCGCTATTGAAGATGCTCGCGTGCAGGCGGCCATGGACTTCTATTTGCTCGACTTGGAGGGGACGGCGCCCAAGAACACAGTCAAGAACTACGCGCCAAAACAGGCCGAATGGAAGGTCAGATTGTTGCTACCTGCCCTCGATTTATGTACTGACGCCACTGTAGAACTGGTGCGCCAGTAACTGGCCGCCTATCCCTGAAGACTGGGTCAACAAGAAGCTCTCCTGGCCGCCGGGCCAGTAGCTACC